CCGTATACGGAGACAATCTTGCTAAGGAGGCATGCCACGGACCGCTATGAAATGAGACGTACCGACGACACCCGTAATAAGAAAAGGAGGCTCGGCAGCAGCCCTGCAGACCAGCATCCACACCTGTAACGTTCAGCCCCCAAGGCTGCCGCAGCGCTAGTAGCTGCCACGTCCTGCGCCGACGCCGCAGTCGCCGCGGCACCTCCCGGCGGCTCCGGCGGCGGCGGCTGCGCCCAGTTGGTCGTCACGGCGACATTCCCCGCCGTCGCGGCGGTCAGGGGCGTGCCGACGGCGGCGGCGGGCGGCAACTGATGCTGCTGTGTTCCCTCGGCCGCACCGCCGCCGCCAACACCGGTAGCAGTCGCCGAGCTACGGCCGCCAGGCGACGGTTGGCCTTGGGGTTCAGAGGTGCCGGCGGGACCGGCGGTTTGGTGGCTCAGAAGGGCGCCGCCGCCGCCGCCGCCGCCGGTGCCGCCACAGAGGAGGATTTGGACCACCTCCGGCGGCGCCGCCGCCGTCATCGCTGTTGCCGCCACAGAAGCAGCATCTCCACCGTTCTGAGGTGCCTGCCATAAAGGAACATGTACCGTATGTATGAGTACAGCCGACGACCCATCGCCACCAACAAGAGCACACATGAAGCGACATAAACCGAGCCACCAAGAAGCCCCGTGCCCCCGTCACGCTGTCGGGAGTCTGTCAAGAAAGTCCGTCAAGAGTCTGTCATGAATGATTACATGGAACTTACTACTACGGGCCTTAGGTCCGGTCGTTTCACGAGAGTGCTTCTTACGTCCTACTTACTCTCAGCACCAGTACTGGACTTCTATACCTACATACGCTACCATATTCCTCGGCTCGTGCGGCGGTTCTGTGGGGGCTTCATCTTCCGACAATATCAGTACGTTCCTACTCGCGGCCAGTTTTCTTAACACACACACCTGCATCGGCACCTCCTGCGCTGGCGGTTGATCCTCCTGCTGACGTTGTCGTTCTTGCTGTTGGTGTTGTTGGTGCTGGTGTTGCCGTACAGCAAACCTTTCAGTGGACAAAAACGCATTAGGCGGCCCTTCAGTCGTGGCTTCAGCTGCTGTTACAGGAGGAGGCAATGAAGCGGCAGGCTCCATGGCGATATCGCCACCGCCACCACCGCCGCCGCTAGCGCCGCCGGCATCTCCTGCACCACCGCTGGCACGGTCTCCGGAGCTGTTGTCGTCAGCAACCGCATTCACGGCATCCCCTGTCATTACAGGTGCTGCAGAGCCCACGTGCTGTTGCTGCTGTTGTTGTTGCTGCGGTTGTGGCTGATGCTGTTGCTGGGTCGCAGCCCCAGCCCCTTGACCACCATCGCCACCACCATCACCACCAGCAGCCGTAACATTGCTAGCAGCAGGTACGGGCGTACCCGTAGCAGCACTTGTGTTGCAACCGGGCATCGCTCCCACAGCGCCTGCCCCGAATGCGGACGCCGCTGCCGCTGCCGCTGCCGCCGCCGCCCCTTGCATCGCTCCCATTATGGGCCTGTTGGCGTCGCGGTCAGCATCAGCGACAGGCATCATCATCATCGCCGGAGCCGCCGCCGGAGCCGCCGGGTTGTGGCCGGCGCGACTACGCTGGAGGGCGGCGGAGGCAGCAGCGGCTGCGGCTGCTGCAGCGGCGGCGGCGGCGGAGGAAGCTGTTCCTGTGCGCCGGGTCCCAGATGAGGAGGCGGTTGGCGGCGGGAAGGGCTCGGTCAACGACCGGCTAACCTCCAGATGTGGTTGCTCCTGCTGCTGTTGCTGCTGCTGTACCTGCCGCTGTTGTTGCTGCTGCTGCTGCTGCTGGGCTGCCCGCTGTTGGCGCAGGAACTGCATCAACAACATCTGTTGTTGCTGCTGGTGCTGCTGCTGGAGATGAGGCTGCTGTAATTGCGCTTGCGCTTGCGCTTGCTGCTGCTGCTGATCCCGTGACTGCTGCTGCTGCAATCGTGCTTGCGGCAGTTGCTCCTGTTGCACGTCCTGGTGCGGCTGTTGCTGTAGAGGGTCCCTCGGTCCTTCCGGTTGCATGGACAGCGGCTGCTGCGGCGGTGTTCTTTGCGGTTCCTGCAGCTGCCGCTGCTGCTGGTGTTGCTGCTGCTGTTGCTGCTGGCCCTGCTCCCCCTGCTGCTGCCATGGTCCTGTCCGCTGGAACTGTTGTTGCAATCCCTCCCAGCCCCGGGGACGGTCGTGCTCGTTTTGGAAGGAAGAGGACTCGGAGCGATGATGACGCTGGGGTAGCAACCCTTGCATGCTCAATTGCTGCTGCGGCGTCTGTTGATGTTGCTGCTGTTGCTGCTGCAGCTGCATTTGCCGTTGCTGTTGCTGCTGCTGGTGTTGCAGCAGCAGCATTTGAAGCCGTTGTTGGTGGTGCTGCTGCGCTTGTTGCTGCTGGGAGAGCAGGAATGCGGCGGGGCTTGCGGCAGCAGCAGCAGCAGGAGCAGCAGGAGCAGTAGAAGCGGCTTGTACGGAAGCGTACGGTCGGGACAACAGCATCTGATGTTGTTGTGGATGCTGAAGTTGTTGTTGTTGCTGTTGCTGTTGCTGACGTTGCTGTTGTTGTAGGTATTGATGATGCGGCGGTAGCGATTGCGGCGGTTGCGGGGATGGCAGCATCAGCGAGCGCTGCTGGCTTTGTTGCAGCTGCTGTTGTTGCAGCTGCTGTTGTTGCGAGTGCTCCGGGCGCTGCGCTTCTTGTGCGGGCTGTCCCGTTGGATGGAGGGGAGCCTGCTGGGGGGCGGAGCGTGTGTTGCAGCGAGACATGGACGCTGGGAAGGTGTTCGGCGGGGATGGGAAATTTCTGCGATCTATTCAGCTACCTCGAATGCCCTTAAAGTATCCTAGGAGATGCGTAGATCGTGCATGTTGACGAACGGAAAACAAGGTATTGAAGAGCAGCAGGAAAGAGCAGCCACGCTGTAAAAGTCGGCAATCGCTAGGCAGGAGAAGTAGCGTGCGCTTCCTTTGGCGATGTGTGGCGTTGAGAAAAAGAATGGACAAACTGGTTGATGCGCGACAGCACGTGGCTTCCGCCCTTAACATAAGCATCCTAGGCATATAGGCCTCAAAGTCTGCCCGCTTCGCGATGCCTAGGCAACGCCTCGACCGACGCACGACGGCACGAGCAGGAAAGCGATGGCTCTTTCTCCACTCTCAGCGCGCGAACCTACCTCCAAAACAGCAGCGTCCCTAGCACCGCTTTCGTCACAATGCTTTTCAGCATCCATTTGCTCAGCATCCATTTGTTGGCAAGAGGTAAGAGGCCGCAAACCGCCTGCTAGCTTCCCCCAGCTCCGCACAAAGAGGCCAGCTATCTGGTGGCTTCTCCTCTATTGCGTGCAGTTTATTGCTGGTTGTCCTTCTCAAACCTGGCGCCTCGGACGTTTCGCAAGCGCGGTGCGCGAGCTTCCGGAAACGACCCAAAGGTCAGATTTCACTAGCGGTTAGCACTAGCAGCCCTGCGCGAGGAAGACCTCAAACTAGATAGAATGTTCCTGCCAACACCTAATCTCAGTCTTGACAGGCATCAGGCAAACCAACAAGTCTAGCGGAGTCGCCAAACCGTAAAAGCTTCTTCAACAATTACAGGTTACAGGTTCATGGCATATATTGCTGCTTTCACACCACCGTAGTGTATCAGCCCATCGCCGACTTCAGGGCCGTACGGCAGGTGGGGAGCAATTTGACGCTCCCGGCAAAGACAGGTGTACTTTGTCAAACCAAACGCCCTAGCACTAAGCTTATGCTGTAAAGCTCGCCTTCCAGTCGGTTTGATTGCCGTCGGTCGTCTTCCGACTGGTTACAGGGCTTTGTGGGGGAACGTGGGCTCTGCGAGTCCATGCTTCTATTGGAACGTAAAGCTACCGGTAGTATCTTGGCTACTAGAGGTGTGGCTACTTAAGGTGTGAGCCCGAGCATGTGAACCAGTTCCGCTGATCGCAGCGTTTAACCGCTTAACGGACGGTTTGACCCCAGCACCGACCCGTGGGTCAGCTGGCCTTCCTCCCGGCCTAGTAGGCGCCTTGGGTGAATGAATGACCGTTATGCAGTGATCCTGTAACAGTTTTGTCGGCACTGTCGCCCCTGCACCTGAGCAGGCATCATGGTGTCATGGGAAAGGGCGTGTAGCAGGGGCTCGAAATACCTCCCAGCGACGTACGTACTGTCTACTTGGTCTACACGCCCTGCTGCCGTGCAGACATACTGTGCCTGTCTACCACCACGCAGTCCTTTGCCCATCCTTTGCCGGTCCTCAATGCTGGCAGGGGGTGCACATGACCATGCGCCGAATGGTGCGGTGTGTGGTTCTTGGGTGTATTCCGGGACCTCCTCCGTGACCCTCTTGACGCGCCTGATGGGGGCTGTTGCATGCGTTCATGCCGCGTTGTAGCGGGTATCGCTCTACCGGTAGTGCTCCATGGTTCGTGGTAAGCGACGGCAGGAAACGAGTGACAACGCTAGTGGCGGGCTACACATGTGGCTTAGTAGGCGAAGAGGGATGGTATGCAGAGGGAGGGAAGGACCGGTTGGGGGCACAGCGGTTTTCAGTCGATGAGGCAGTTCATGTAAGGAGCAAAAGTAAATGAAAAGTGAAGCAACTGGAGGGAAAAAAGAAATTCCAAAGTGGAGGGAGGGGGCCGAGCGTGGAACCAACTAGCCAATCCCAAATGGTGGTGTGGCTGGTGCTTGCTTCCCAAATTCTAAGCCGCCGTTCCTTTGGTGCCTTTGTCGCCCTACGCTTAACACTTCTGTGTGATCGAATGTGTGAACATTACAGTGGTCTCTCTCTCCCATGAAGAGGACACGTATTTGTGCCACAAATGCCTTACGTACCTGCAGGAACGTTATAAACAATTTGCTATGTGCGTCTTCGTAAGACAGCCATGTTTATGGAGGGAATCACACTTGCGCGACGCCTTACAAGTGCCGTAGGTTTCTAGCAAGACTTTTCTAGCTGGCCTTGCGTTGTCTATCTTCCGTCCAAATCTCCGTTGCTTTGAGGTCTTAAAGCTTAGGGAACACGGCAAACTCCCATTTGTGCCCATTGGGAGTACGAATGGCGGTTGGGCCTTTGGCCTAGCCGTCCTTTCTCTGATGGCCTTATACTTATATGGGACGTTTCATAGTTCAAAACCTTTGCTTTGCTATGCCCCATTTTTCCTGCTGAAGTCGCTTTTTATTGGAGCCCTATTCTGGCACTCTTCAACAGGGCTTAGAATTTCTATCCCTCGTTTTAGTCCTTCCAAAGCAACGAAGCAGATGCAGCATAGTCACCAAGTAGGTCCATAGTACTCTGCGGCTCCTCTATCTGGAAATCCAAGCTAACAAACATCGCCTGAAGCGAGGAGGCAGGCAGCCGGTAGCGGGGATTGAACACTACCATGGGTTGTGGAGCATCAGCTGAGAGGGCGCCTTCAGTCCCCGCTGCTGGTAAGGGTGAGCGGCAGTGCCCGGTCAGCTGCCCCAATGAACTTCTCGCCACGTTGATTGCCAGTTTGGGAAGTGTTGTATTCGGTAATTCCATACACATTCCTTCGCTACAACACGAAAATATTAACGTCTTACCTACTCCGTTATGCAGATGCCGCGGCCAACGAACGGCCGGGTAAACCTGCAGTCGCCGCCAAAACCGCGGAGCCTTTGACTCCTTCTCTCCCGCCGGCCGCGGCCCCTCCTTCAATCGCACCCCCTCCCGCTCCATCTCCTTCTACTGATGCTCCACAGCCAGCACCGAATCAAGATGTAAAAACGCCTGACGAAGTGGCTCCCGCTGCGGCAACAACATCAGCAGCAGGGACGGCTCCTCCTCGTTCCCGTTCGGAGGCAGCGGTTCCAGCTCCTTCCCAGGCCCAGGCCTCATCCACACCAAAGCGTCCTGGGTCGGCACCCCCTGTTCCCCAGCCTGCTGCTGCTACGCCCGCGCAATCTGAAGCCAACACGGTGCGGCGCCCGGCGTCTGCGCATTCCAAGCCGCCCGTGCAAGTTTGAATGGTTATGAGACAAGCATGTAACCCAGGCGCCCATAGCCTAGGTGTCTTCGTGATACCCTCATAACACGCATCGGTGCACAACCAGTAGTGTATTGTAGGGCTGTTGCCATAGATGCCGTACATCCCACCTGCGCAGATAGATGATGTTGTGCTCTTTATCCTGCCGTACACTTCATGTCGGTTCATGCCTTTGGGTGCACATAAGAGTGCTGGAACGGTACTACGCCTGGAATGTTATCGACAGCAGCCATGCTGTTCTGTGCTGTGAATGATTCCCATAGTATTGGGTTAACCTGTGTTGGCCGCATGTGCCTCATGTTAACTTGGGATTAATATGCTTGCAAGAGCTGACTAGTAGCACAGCCTGGTTGGAGTTTTATTCCTCTCTTTGGGGCTGTACGCAGGCCGGTGGGGTTTACACGGGCAGGATGGGGTTGCCTGTTTATGTCTAGTGAGGTGTCGCGGGATTCGTTGGGCGTCTCCTAGCTTCCTAGCTCCCTGGGGCTAGGGGAATGCACGATATGCGCTTAAGACGGCTGTAGTATCTACGTGTCGTGCCGATTCCCGTATCCCGACGTTGTATTAAGGGGACGGACCGTGTATGCATCTTCCATGCATGTGCTAGGGTGTGCCGGGTTAGCTGAGCATCAACGGATAGCGACATAGTATCGGTACCATACAGCTCGGTATGGCGGGTGGGAATTGCAACCGCATTGGTAGTTAACGGTTGGATGTGCAGTTTGACTGGATGGATTTGTCACTAGCGACTTAGTGGCATTGCATGTCTGTCCTCAAGCCCGCTTGCAATTCTGGTCATTTTGCAGGGTGGTGATAAACACATGTGCATGTGTGTCGTAGCAGTCAAGGACGGCTTGTTAAGCTAACTTGGCCTTCTTCCTTTCTTAACTAGGTTTACATTGGGTTATCATGAGGTACCGGTACTCCTTGCGACTTGTGGCTCTGAAAAAGGTAGATCCAAATCGCAGACGTCATTTTGTATGCAGATAATGTATTTTGCCTCGCACTGCTGCTGGTGGCTGGCGTGGACTGCCGGCCGGCATGTCGCATGGGGGACACGGGAAAGTCATGGTCAGAGTAGGAAGAGCAATGGCGTTAGGAGGAAGCTCTGCATGGTCGGGGATGCAGACGGTTACCTCTGGTGGCGCGAATAAGTTGCCTCGCGCACCCTTGCCAGGTGCTTCCACGCACGCCACATAGGCTACATGACTGTAAGGTCATGACCGCCGTCCATAACGCCCTTCCCGCATTACCAACATCGCAATAAGGCAGCGTTGATCTGAGCATGGAGTACGAGCAACTGGAGAGGCTGACCGAGCTACCTGAGTAACCGTACGGGTAGAACCAGTGCGAATTAGCGGCCAGAGCAACTAAGACCTCTTCCTTTGCGCAAATAGATGCAACCATGTTTCTGGAGACAGAAATACCGCAATGAAGTGCACGTCTGCGAACAGTTCCTGCGCCGTAGCGACTGCGCTGTTTAATCGGTACGGAATAGCGGTTGACTGGGGTGCTATGGGACTGTTCTTAACGGAGGCAAGCACACAGCAGGTACGTGATTCACAAGCCTTCTCTGTCCATTGCTAGCCGTCGACACTTTTCGCCTTTGTTTACTCGGTTCCGTACGGTGACCTAACCTGACCTGAAACTCATTATTGCTAGCTCTCGTCCGCAACGCAGGCAAACAGCATATGCATTTCGCTTTACCCGAATTACAGCCTATAATACGTAGGAGGGCACAACTGAGCAACACGCTTGCTTAATTCCATCTTAGCTTCGAAGCCAAGGGGGCGCTCTTTTTCACACGCTAAGATGGGTTGTGGCGCCTCCTTAGACAAGAACTCATCGTCGGCAGTTGTGGACCCTGGTGAGTCGCTCGCATGTCCGGACGCGGATGCACGTTCGGTGCTCTTTCGCTCAGCCGGCAGGCTATGCCATGCCAGTAGTATTCGTTGGGCATTTCAGTGCATCATCTTTGCAGTTGACAACTTGGCAACTGCTAAGCTGCTTTAGTCCAGCTCTCCTCGCAATTCCCACCTTGCCCTCACAGCGCACTTCCTCCCTCCGCCCTCCTTCCCCCTCCCTCACCACTCACACATCCTCTCTCTAGGGGGCCTGCGAGACAGATCGCTTCCGCAAACCGTCATACTACAAGAGGGCGTTGCAAGAGCAGGCGCACGCAACCCAAGTGAGCAGCAAAAGCAACAACAACAACAGCATGCACAAGAATCACAACAACAACAGCAACTCCAGCAGCAACAAGAGCTTCAGGAGCAGCAGCAGCTTCTGCTAGCTTCGTTACTCGCTGCATCTCCGCGACCTACCTCTGTTTCACCCACAGCCTCCTCAGTCCCAGCCCCTCCAAGGCCCCCTGCCGTTTCTGCCCCCTCCGACCCACCACCACCACCAGCAGCATCCTCCGCTGCACACGCCACCTCCGCCCGCCGGCCCGTCTCAGCCTCAGCTCTAGCCCCAACCTCCGCAGGCGCCGCGTCTACCCCGCCGCGCGCCGTCTCCGCCCGCGTCTCGATTCCTCAGACTTGCGGGTCCAATGCATCTTCAGCACCGCAACCGCAACCCGCATCAGGAGCAGCGCTAGTAGCAACACCACCGTCGCCAGCAGCAGCAGCAGCAGCTGCACCTGCAGCATCGCCACCACCAGCACCTGAACTCCGTATCGCAGCTGCTCAGGAGGATGCGTCAACACCCTTGCCCGAAGAGGCAGCTGGCAGGGCTGAAGACCAGCAGGCACAGCAGCCTCAGCAGCAGGAGGAGGAGGAGGAACAGGATGAACAGGATGCCGAGCAGGAGAAGACTGCGGAGCAGCAGCAGCAGCCAAAGCTAGAGGAGGAGGAAAAGGAGCAGGAGGCTCAGACCCTGCTGGTGCCGCAGGCTGCTCTGGGCGCTAGCGTACCGTCCTCTGCTGCTGCAGTCCTCCTTCCGCCAGAAGAGGGCCAGCAGGAGCAGCAGCCCCAGCAGCAGCAGCCCCCGCCCCCGCCCCAGCCCCGCATGGTGGACTGCGCCGTGTCGCTGCGGTTCCTTATGGACTTCTGTGACAGCGTGCCGCAGGTGTGCAATGGAATGTGTGGGGGTGGGGTTGGGGTGGCCAAGGATGGCGATGTGGGTCGGGGGGGAAAGGAGATGTAGGTCGGGCGGGGAAGACATGGTGATGTGGGTCGGGTTGGGAAGACGGCGATGTGGGTCGGGTGGGGAGAAGAGGCGATGTGGGTCGGGCGGGCTGGGTGGGGGAAGGCGGCGATGTGGGTCGGGCGGGCTGGGTGGGGGAAGACGGCGATGTGGGTCGGGCTGGGTGGGGGGAGACGGCGATGTGGGTCGGGTGGTGTGGGGTGGAGACGGTGATGTGGGTCGGGTCTGGCTAGGACCTAGGTGGGTGTTGGGAACACGTGGTGCATGGGGAGCAGAGCATCCCTGAATAGCTTCTTGCAACGAACGGGTGACAAGACATGTCAAGTTACTGTACGTACGGCATTCTGTCGTACTGCCGTACATCCAATAACCGCAGGACATGCCGACATGGAAGGTGGTGACGGACGTCATCGTGCCGGCCACTCGCGAGCGGCGGTGCCGCTACGTGGAGATGATCGACCCACGGGACGTTGGGCGCTGCGACTACTTCATTAGTCACAGGTGCGATGGAGGGCGTCCAATGATGCTGGGTGGGCAAGGTAGGTTTGCTTTGTACCGGTACACACGGTATCCTACGACTTATCGCTTGTCGTACTACACATTCACCTCCTTTCGTATCATCTTCGAAACACGGAACAGGTGGGCCACACCCTTCAGCCACCTGGTACACTACGTGCGCAAGCACCTGATCGAACTGGGGGACGTGCGGGAGGCAGCGACAGCGGCAGCGACAGGGTCAGGAGCAGCGCCGCCCCCGGGATCAGGAGCAGATGCAGCAGAAGCAGAGGAAGCAGCAGGGGCGGCTGGGGCCGAGGAGGAGGAGGGCAGCTCTGAGGCTCAGCTGAGGGCGGACCAGGTGATAAGACGAAGTTTGGGCGGGGCCCTACATCTGCTGCGGATTGCCCCTTTGCATATTCCCCTTTGGCCCTGCTTGCACTGTGTTTTGTACTGTTACTGCCCACTCATGCGCTCACACCTAAACGACACTACTTGCACCACCATACCACCACCAGCACCACCAACCTCCCGCATTTGGGTCAGGTGTTTGTGTACCGGTCATGCGAACTAACCACCACTCACGCTGGCATTACCACCGATCACGCCTTCCGCTCTTCTGCGCACTCCTCGCCAACCAACCGCCCCCCCCCCTCCTCACCACACTGGTGTTCCAGGTGTTTGTGTGGTGCGACATCTTCGCCATCAACCAGCACCCGGGGCAGATCCAGGCGGACGATCTGAGTCAGCTCAAGGTGCGTGGGCGGGTAGCGTGGGTGCCGGTAGCAGATGCAGGCAGCGGTTTTGGAGCAAGCAGCGCACATGCAGCGCCCATGGAGCAGCTGTACTGCAGTACTGCGGTAGCAGGTTTGCGGGCCTGGCTGTAGCGGCTGGGGAGGCGCATGCGCCTGCTGCTGCAACACACGCCCTGCCTCCTGCTTGCGTCGCGTAACCCGTGAGCGCAGCCCATGGTTTCTTTTTTATGACACGTTGTTGAAGCGGAACGACTGGCCGCGATGGGGAGGCAAATCCTTGCATAAGTATCGCTTCAAATGAATGTGCCCCTTGGCTTCCTGAGCACCTGGCTGCCTGCTTGTCTGCTCCCAGCGGGTTTGCCTGCAGCTGTCCACCGGTAAGCCGGTACCTACATCTCTCCCCCCTCCGCACCCCCACCCCCTCCGCACCCCCACCCCCTCCGCACCCCCACCCCCTCCGCACCCCCACCCCCTCCGCACCCCCACCCCCTCCGCACCCCCACCCCCTCCGCACCCCCACCCCCTCCGCACCCCCACCCCCTCCGCACCCCCACCCCCTCCGCACCCCCACCCCCACCCCCTCCGCACCCCCCCCCCTCCGCACCCCCACCCCCACCCCCTCCGCACCCCCACCCCCTCCGCACCCCCACCCCCTCCGCACCCCCACCCCCTCCGCACCCCCACCCCCTCCGCACCCCCACCCCCTCCGCACCCCCACCCCCTCCGCACCCCCACCCCCTCCGCACCCCCACCCCCACCCCCTCCGCACCCCCACCCCCTCCGCACCCCCACCCCCACCCCCTCCGCACCCCCACCCCCTCCGCACCCCCACCCCCTCCGCACCCCCACCCCCACCCCCTCCGCACCCCCCCCCCTCCGCACCCCCACCCCCACCCCCTCCGCACCCCCACCCCCTCCGCACCCCCACCCCCTCCGCACCCCCACCCCCTCCGCACCCCCACCCCCTCCGCACCCCCACCCCACCCCCACCCCCACCCCCTCCGCACCCCCACCCCCACCCCCTCCGCACCCCCACCCCCTCCGCACCCCCACCCCCTCCGCACCCCCACCCCCACCCCCTCCGCACCCCCACCCCCTCCGCACCCCCACCCCCACCCCCTCCGCACCCCCACCCCCTCCGCACCCCCACCCCCTCCGCACCCCCACCCCCACCCCCTCCGCACCCCCCCCCCTCCGCACCCCCACCCCCACCCCCTCCGCACCCCCACCCCCTCCGCACCCCCACCCCCTCCGCACCCCCACCCCCTCCGCACCCCCACCCCCTCCGCACCCCCACCCCCACCCCCACCCCCACCCCCTCCGCACCCCCACCCCCTCCGCACCCCCACCCCCACCCCCTCCGCACCCCCACCCCCTCCGCACCCCCACCCCCACCAGGACTGTGTGGTGGCATCCAAGCAGACGCTGCTGTGTCTGGATGACCAGGGCATGGTGAGTGCTGGATTGCATGTAAGGGGCATCAGGGTGGGTGGGCGGGCGGTGAGGACGAGCTGGGGGAGGGTAGAAATAGGAAGCCGACGAGCTGTATGACAAGGCTTCACCGTGGGTTGCTGCAGCTGGGGGATCAAATTAGACCGAACCATATGAAACCACAAATGGGCAAGTTCATTGGGGAATGAGGCGGCAGGGATCCACAAGACAGAAGGAGGGTTAGTGGGCCCTACCGAAACCGAATCCGTCTTGGGTGTGGGAGGGAGCAGCCCTCAGGAACCAAGGCGCTAAAACCCGTCTGGGATAGATCCTTGCCCACGCGCGCGCGAATGCATGTGTGTTGAACTGTACATACCGTATGCCGGTTCTGGAACAAGCCTGTAACCACCACCACCGCTCCTCCATCCGCCTCACCGCTCTCCTCAGGTGCTGACTCGGATCTGGTGTTTGTACGAGATCTGGAACACCGTACTTGTGGGCGGTGCGCCCAAGCTTGCCGTACTCGGGTACGACGTTAAGCAAGATGCCTTCAAGGTGAGTCCAAGTCCAAAATATCGTTTTTGGTTAATGGGACCTGTCTTGTTCACCTACTTTTGCTGTATACTATGTTGATAACACATGAGTCGCTGCACAGTCCTCTGAAACGCGATCGCACCAGCCATGTCTTCATGCAAACGCATGCAAACGCGTGTCCTTGGGCCCCCTGCTGGCTCGTATGGACACACGGTGCATCGTACAGAGACTGTAACTGAAGCAACGTACCCAACGATAGATAAGGATAGCCACCTCCTTATCCTCATGGCTCTCCCATCACTTCCCCAACGCTTCCCCCATCCCCCACAACTTCCTTGAAATACATTCAGGAGGTGTACATCACGCTGGATGTGGGGGAGGCGCAGGCCACAGTGGAATCGGACCGAGTGCGAATTCTGGCGGACATTGCGGCGTCAACGGGTAATGCGGAGCGGGAAGGGGTAATGAACTAATAATGAGGTAGGGGTAATGAGGAAACCAACTACCGTATGATGACTGTTACCTCTGCTGCCCAACCTGCCCTCCTGCACAGGCCTACAAGAGCTTAACCTGGTCATCAAGAGGGCTCTGATTGAGAGCACGCAGGTGACCCACGCGTGCGTGCGTGTAACCCATGGGTCATGAAACGCATGATGTGGGAGTGTAGACAGGTTGGGTTTTGCTTGCTGCCGACCAGCAGCCTTGTCTGCAGCGCGCGCATGTCTGCCTGATGCCGACGCATAGACTCGGGGTGTGTGTTCGTCCAAGGCTGTCACATGGCCCTTCTGCGACGGTTACCATCCCTGCTGGCCACCTGTTATGATGTCTTGCTGTACTGAATCACTTTTGCCGCTTTGCCTCTCGCCAGGCGGAGGCCGAGAATGCGCAGAAGGTGCTGCTGCCCAGTGCCAAGGACTGGAAGGACTTCCAGCGGATTATAGAGGTGCGTCTGACCCCTGGGTCGCCGAAGCGAACCGACAGCTTAGCGGGTAAGGGAAAACTTCGGGTTCTTCCGTCCGGATTCAGGTGCTTCTAACGTGCGTGCCGTTACGAATGGTCCCACGCTCCCATGACCCGACATGCCCCGTCATGTCCCGCCCTGCTCCCTCCCTCCGCAGGCCATTACCAAGCACACCCAAATGCTGACAGCGGTGGGGCGACATCAGGAGTCGGCGCGGTACGGATACCTCATTCAGGTACGAGTTGGTTTGTGTACGACATTAAAAAGCCCGGATTCAGATGTTTTTCTTCTGGTTGTGGCTGTATGGCCTCACACGGCCAACCCTAGTAAATACCGCTGCTGTCTTGGTCAGCCCCGCCTTTTGAGCTCCTTACATAAGCGACAACGCACGGTCCACATACCGCCATACGTGTATCCACACCACTTCCGTTCCTTTTGCTGTGCCGTACTGCTGCAGGCTGTGAGTGACAAGTGGCAGAAGTCCCAGCAACAGCAGCAGCAGCAGCAACGCCCCACACCCTCCTCGGCAGCTGGGGCCGAAGCAACAGTAGAAGGCGAAGCCGCTGCTGGTGCTGGGGCTGCTTCTGACGCCTCCGCCCCAGCCTGGCATTGGTCGCACTACCCGCGCGACCCAGAACTTCGACAAGTGCGTGCGTGTGTGTTTTGCGTGTGCGTTTTGCGCACTCCGAAACGCCCCGGGGTCCTTTTCTTCAAGTGCTATATGCCACAGCTCCGGTTGTAAGGCGTTGTCACGTTCCGTTAGTGCGGCACTCGCACTGCTTCCTTTCCTGATCTCCCCACTCCCCCCGGGTACTGTCAGTTTCCTTACTTTTACCCCCCGGCGTGCTGCTGCAGGTGCTAGAGCGGGCCCGGGCGGCGGAGCGGGCGGCTCGCTTCGACAGCGCCATGACATTCTACCGGTGAGGGGGGAAAGTGGGACACCAACCTGATGGCTTGGTGGTAAAAGGGTGTAGCAGCCACAATTGTGGAAGGGAGGGAGGGACCCTGGTGAGGTCGTGCGTCGTTTTTGGATCTTGGTTCCTGTCCCATGAGGCGTCAAGCCCCCGACCCCGACCCCGACCCCGGCTCTCATCACCCCCGCGCTTCATGTGGCCCTTACCTTTCCTTCTTAGGGAGGTCGTCTCTAAGGCTATTGAGAAGCAGCAGCAGATGCCGCCGCAAGAGGCAACAAGCGGGGATGCGGCCGAGCCCCCCGCTGGCACAACAACTGAGGCCGCTGCCGCCCTCGGCCTGGACCTGGCGGGTTGTCGGCTGCATCTGGGGGTGTTCCTGGCGTCACGCGGATTTGTGGAGCAGGTGCTAGGCGTGTGCGTGCGTGCATGCTTGAGGCTACATCCATACTGTTTAAGCTACATGCGAGGAGCGAGGGGTGTTCTTTAGTCAATAGGACAAACGCAGGCAACACGTCATCATGAGGCAGGGATGGGGGCCGGCGGCGTCATGGATGGCGATCTCAATCCCCAATGTCACACATGTCCTACCAACACATCACCGCTGCCTTCGCATTAACCGTTAACGTCCAACCAACGACACCGACCCTATATCATTACAAACATGTGTTCTGCTGATGTGTACTGCTCCTCCTTCAACCCATTCACTGGCTCACTTGGTTCCATGCAGGCTGCTTGTGAGGAGGGTGAGCCCGCGGTGCAGCTATTTGGCCAGCTGGCGGGGCGCGACAGCCTCTCCTACGCCTCCGCAGCTCACCAGGGGGCGCTGCTATGCAAGCATGTGTCCCAGAGGTGCGTGTGTGGGTGGGTGGGCGGGTGGGTAGTTGAGCAGAGGTTCGTCAGGCGCACGGCCTTTCTCACCGCCGTTAACGCCACGCGTCTTTCACCGCGCATGTAAACATGCATGGATGCCCGCACGCAGCAAGGTAAGCACTCATTGCTGTAACCGTCATTCACACCGGCACCATCATGGCGCATGCCCGCATGCCCCCCCGCATTCATTCATGCCGGCCGCATGCCTGCCCTCCCATGCAGCACGGAGCTACGTTCCCGGCTGCTCGCGGAGGCGTACGACATCCTGGAGCCCCGCCTGGGCCCCTCGCATGCCGCCACACTTGACACACTGAGGGAGAAGGCGGAGGTACGGCAGATGATGGGTGGAAGCAGTGGGTGGCCTTGCTGCTGCTGCTGCTGCTGCACCCGCTCCTCTCGACATCTTCTTGCATGGCTGCGTTTCCGTGTCGCCAAGCCGCTTCCCCGCCTCTCCTGCTCTCCCCGTTCGTGTAGATGACCTACTCCAGCGGTGACTTCCCGGGCGGCATAGCGCTCTACCACCAGCTGGCAGTGCGCTTGTCGGTCGGGGCGGACCTGCTGCAGCTGGTGCCGGATACCGGTGCTGCGGATCCGCCTGGCGGGGTGGAGCGGGGCTCGGAGCAGGTGGTGTGGCGGCAGCAGCAGCAGCAGCAGACGTTGGTGGAGCTTACGGCAGGTGCATCGGCGGGTGCTGCCACCGGCACCATCGCAGCTACCGCGGCATCCACTACAGCTGTTCAGCTGCTGAGCGCAAAGGCCGTCGAGGTAAGGTACCAGAAGGAGTGCCGCCGCCAACACTTAACCACGCACCGCAGATCAGCAGATCGGAAGAGACGCAAAGCTGTACACGTGTCTGCACTGCATGGTGGATATATTGCTGTCCAAGTGCATACCCGCTATCAAGTTCTGATACCTACAGTCCCCATGTACGGTACCGTGTGAAGGCGTACGCATTCGCTTCTTGAGAGGGGTGTTTTGTCCGGCTCCCACCCATCCCCATGTTGGCTTCCCATGTCCGAAAAAATGACGGCACACAACCCCCTCGTCTGCTCCCCGTCCTGTCTTGGCTCCATATCCGCTCCAGACATGGTTCCTGCTGGCGAGTTATCTGGGTAACAGTGCCGGCCGGGAAGACGACAGCATCCGGCTCGCAAGGTGCGCTGTGGGGTGGCGTGCTCGCTGCGTCCTTGCGTGTCGTTGCGTGTGTTTTGACCGGTAGTATGTCACTGATACAGCACCACCACGGAACCATCTAAAATGTAACCATCGTAACAAACGCTGCATAATGCTCATGAGGTAAGAGACGGTATAGCTTGCGGAGGAAAAAGGCTAGCTTTGCCGCTACGTCACCCAACAAGTTGAGAGCTCGTTAAGTGCCTCCTTCCTTCCCGCACGAGCACACCCGCAGCACATCACGTGACGTACCCGATGAGCACTGCCGCCCCTCGCCGCGCAGGGCGCTCATTCCGCACAAGCGCCGGGACTACATCCGGCGGTTACGTGAGGCCGTGGGATCAGGCGGCGAGTACGCATCCACTGCAGAGGCTGAGCTGCTGCGGCTGCAGCTGCCACGGCGGCGCGCAGGGGAGGAGGCTGTGGGAGGAGAAGGAGAAGGAGGAGAGGAGGTGTGGGAGCCGGAGGGCCTGGCTGACCCAGACGACCCACGGGTCGATATTGTCGGCATTTGCGCCGAGCTGGTCACATGGTCTACGGCACTGGCGAAGAAGGTGTGCCGTATGGCGGCGTGCTGCCGTGCGTGCGTTGGTATGTGTCGTTTTGTCTTGGTTGGTTATCAGCTTTGTTTGCTCCTTTACAACCCTGCTTCGGTCTCTCACGTCCTCACGTTCTGGACCAACCATGCCTCTCCGTGTTTGCATCGGTTGCATGCACGCACGCATGCACCCATGCATGCAGGCCCAGCTAGAGGCTGCGGTACGGCTGCAGTGGCGGCTCGCAGACATCTGCAGGGCCAATCAGATGGCGGCTACCGAGATGCAGCTGCCTAATGGAAAGGTAGGTAGGGGGGGCGTGCGTGGTGGTTTATCATCTTATCATGGATTTACCGGTATGTACGATGGTAAATGTATACCGTACCTTCGGGTAATCATCGCGCAGCCCCATTAAATGGAATTATTTTTCAAGCTCGCGCAGGGGTGTAAGGAATTATTTTTCAGCTTCGCGCAGCTTATGTCCACCACTGCATTTTGACTGTAATAACCCATCCATGTCAGCCCAGATCGCCAAGACAGCTTTACAAATACCGATATGTGTTCCATGGGGCATACTAGCAGGCAGCCCGGGGTTGGGCAGCGTAGCTGACGGGGTGCTGGGGCATGTTGGGGGGGCGGGGAAGGGTCGCGAGAGGTTTCCCCAGTTTCGCGCACCCCTCCCAGCAATTATTTAAATTTGCGCGAAACTGCGCATTTTCCGAAATAATTATTTATTTTTGCGCGATGATATCGTGAAGGTACGGTACTCGCATACCGGTACAGCTGTCTACTGGAAAGGTAGGTAGGGCGCTACCTTTTCAAGCATGGATATCCAGGATATGCCGGTATGCATGTGAGCTTGCAGTTTGCAACGCAGCTTGCTCGGTGGTGATGAGTCATCATGACTTACAGCACCCTCCGCATGGCTGGCTGGCTGGCTGATGCTTCCCCAGGTCAGCACTCCGGATGCCTACGAGCGCTGCCTCCTGCTCGACCTCTCCGTCCCTGGAGTCGCCCGAGTGGCGGCTCGCATGCTCGCACAGCGCAACAACGGCAGCGCTACAGCCGCCACCTCCGCAACCACCGGGGCAGATTCCGCCGTCGATGCTCCATCATCCAAATCCGCCCCAACCTCAGCAGAACCCGCATGCGCATCCCCTCAAAAGGCGGGCGCCGAGGGCCCCGACGGACCCCACGACGACTCCATGTCATCCGCGGGCTATCTGGAGCTGATTCAGGAGTTGGGTCGGCTGTGGGGCGCGCAGGACTACTCAGCGGCTGAGGTGGCGGCCCGGCGGATCGTGGCGGTGCAGAGTGCGGGGCACGGGGCGGTGAGCCAAGAGGTGGTGGAGGCGCGCAGGCAGCTGGCGAGCTTGCTGCACAGCGCGGGTGAGGAGGAGGTGAAGGGAGAGCAGGGGAAGTGGAAAGAGGAGGAGGGGGTGCTTGGGTAGCAATCGGAAAGGTTATGGTTTTGGGGAATTGTAAGGGTTTTTCGGTCGGGTTCCCGGTTGCTGACTTAACAGGGTCATCGGGCTCATTAGCAATCACGCCTTCATGCGATAACATGCTGTGGTGTGCTCGTTACCCAATCGTATGCATGCGTGCGCGCAGGCCGGCAGGAGGAGGGCGTTGCGGAGATGCGGGCGGCTCTGGGAGTGCACCAGCGGATGCTCCACGGCAAAGACCCCGGCATGGCTCAGACACTGCAGTCGGTAAGCCCCTTTTGGCAGCAAGCATCATGTCTCCCTTTGCCTTACTGCGGTGTATGTCAAGGATAAAGCCGCGAAGAAGTGCATGTAAACCCCATGAACAAAACATGTAATCACCCTTCGCGTGTACTGTGTGTTTAACTCACTTGCATGTACCGGTGCGTACGTATATGTCATGTCTCGTATATCGCCGCATGGTGACGTCACCTGTAACCTATGCTGCTGCCCTGCAGCTGGCACACATGCTGAGTGACCGAGAGGAGGCAGAGCAGCTCTACCGCCAAGCCGTGGCGCTCGTGGAGAAGGTACGGCGGTCCGTACGGCGCCACCGTACAATTGGTTACAACTTGATTACGGCGCAGTTATTAGGTGTACCGCGCTAGCTGTTGCCCGCGGCTCTGCGGCTTCCCTTATCCGTAACTAAATCCGTACCCTTTCCGCACTCATCATTAAGTCATCATGCCCACATACATTCGGTTGTGTTCCAACCTACCCTCCAACCTACCTACCCAGGTTCACGGTCCCGACCATTTCGAGGTGGGCATGGCTCTTGTGTCGCTGGGCGGATTCCTGATGGAGGATGGGGAGAGGCTGGCGGAGGGGCAGCAGGCACTCAACAGGGGGCTAGCCATCCAACAAAAGGTACGGCAGGGTGCGGTACAGTGTTGTACGGCACGGTATTGTAGTGGTGCTGCCGGCCCCGTCCGTGCGTGTTTGGATGGGAATCGGCTGCTGTCGCACACAACGATCATGATGCTGTCGGCTAGCGTGCTGTTGGCTGGGCTCTTCTGTTCTCCGCGGGGCGTTGGGGGCCGCATGGGGGAGATTGTTGGTTGGGCTTCGTTTCCTCGCGTGTTAGTGGTACGGTAGTTAGTTAGTGGTCTTCCCTCCGCCGAAAGTGTTACCGGTATCATACAACCGCTGTGGCTCCCGACAACCCTCTTCCTGACCCAAACAACGTTGTCGCAGTTCCAAGAGCAGCAACAAGCGCTGGCCAAGGCCTTTTGAGGACACATACAGCAGGTAACAAGGCTTCTGAGAGGACACATTGCGAAGGGGTTAAAGAAGAAGAAACTCAAAGTTAAATTCTCAATGCCCAGAACCCAATCACTGCTGGGCTGCAAGGGGGGCAGGGACGTACGGCGTGGATCGTTGGAATGGCAGCATGGATAGCGATAGCGGCGGTGCAGGCTCTTTGCAGGACACAATGCTACAGGAGCTGGAAGGGAACGTGAGCTATGGTGGCAAGTTATAACGCGACTCACATTGGTCGCATACCTTGTACGTCGCATATCTCGTACGATCTGACGTGATACATGACGTGATACTCGTATAGCTGCAGTGCCCGTCTTGCTCGTATACCTTAGACTGGTACCTGTGGCAGACCCAACTGTTACTGTCAGGAGCGTTACTGAATGAGACCTTCTTTGTGTGAACACCCAAGCGCACACGTGATACGGTACAGCGAGCCGTGATACGGTACTTGTACGGATATATCGTACCGTGGATTAATGAACATAATTTTAATACCATCCTGCATGCATGCATGTAACGCCAACCCATCAGATTCCTCGTTCACTACTACTGCCCCCTCTCGCCTGACTTAATGCATAAACAACTTCTCATTAGCCTTGCCCTCCCCCAAGCATACATGCCTAAACGACCAACGGCCTTAACTACCACCCGCGCTCGCACCGGACCATCAACCCTGTGCAGGATATAGCATGCCGAACACACCAGCGCGCAAACCCCACAACAGCCTTCTTCCAGGGCACATGCACCGCGAACAATGCATCCCGATGCAAACACTAACATCACCACCACTACGCCCTTTGTGCATCGTAATTCAGCAAACAGGCGCAAGGTATGCAACCCTCCATCCGTTAGCTTTTACGTAGATTCGCCCTCGGCTGCGCATATGCTACGGCCCCACACCTCCCCTGCTATTATCCCTGCACCTTCTGTCCCCATTGCTGATCCTGCCCTGTTGCCCATCTGTTTGCATCCCCTCTCCCCTCTACCGCCGCCGCTATGCTTCCCACCACCGCTATCCTCCCCGCTGGTGCAGCACTTCAGCCTGATGCTGCGCCTCCAGCCAGCCCACCAGCTCCGTCCCCGCGTAAAACCTCCTCGCTACCGTCAGCGCCGCCCCCCACTCCACGGGACAGCCCAGCTGCAGCAGACACGTCAGCAGCCCGCGCGAGAGATCCCCCTGGCACAGCGCGCATGTGAACACCGCACCTCGGGCTCCCCAGGGGCAGCCCAGGCGCCACAGACAGCGCAGCAGGTCGAGGTCGCCGTCTAGGACTGCGTGGATGTACGGCAAGCCGTCCTCCTGTGTATTGGTGGTGGGTTGCGATGGGTGATGCGGGGATGGGATGGTGAATGGCGGCACAGGGGAATGGAGGAAGAGGGAGCAGCAGGTGCGTTGTCATGACGCGATACCAAGCGAGAGAAACCCTCTTACAAAGTTCAGACAAAGTATGTCTGGCCTTGAAACTAAAGGTGGTAGACAGACATGCAAGGTGGAGCAGCGATGCAATAGTGAGGGCCATGGGCCTGGGCCAAGGAGCGGCCACGCCTCTTCCGCCGCCTTCCACCGGTTGTCACACGTGTACATGCGGCCCGGCTCCCCCCTTCCTCCTTCCCACCCGCCCGCCTACACCTCAACTCACCGGCATGGGACAACCCCGCGCGTGCAGCCACTCCAGCAGCTCCACATTCCCAGAACTGGCGGCGTCTCGAAACACGCCCACAGTCAGCGCAGCAGCACCACCATCACCACCACCGCCACCACCGTCCTCGTCACTAGCAACTGCCGCAACCTCCGCCGCCATGCACTCTACCAACCAAGCCACTACAGCCCGCTGCCCGCCCTCCGCCGCCGCCCCCACCGTGCCCGCATGGGCCGCCTGCCAGCCGGCCGCATGCATCGCCTGCAGCACCCCCAGGTGGCCGTTCCTAGCCACACGATGTGCCAGCGGCCTGCCGCCCCTCCACATGCCCGTGCAGCAGTTGCTGCTGAGGAAAGCACGGGGCTGCTGCTGCTGCTGCTGTCCTCCTGGCACCTGCTGACCCTGCTGCTGTTGGTTGCATGAGGCAGTCATGGCAGCGGCGGCAGCGGCTGAGGCGGCAGCAGCGGCGGCTGCAGCAGCAATGGCCTCCTCCCTTTCCAGCAAGTAGTGTACGGCAGCCACATTGCCGCTCTCCGCTGCTCGGTCAAACACATGGGTGATAGTGGCGTTGACACGCTGAGGAGGCACCAAACCAACAACGGCATCACCATCCTCTCCGTACATGCCGCTGTTGCTGCTAAAGACGCGGCAGCAATCTGCTCCCCAGCCTCTTGCGTTCTGCAGCCAGTCTAACCGCTCCCGCCAATCCGTAACCGCTCGATCCACCGCACCCGCACACGCGTCTGCGTTCCTCGGGTAGCCTTGCGACTCCAGCCAAACCACCTTGGCCTGCCAGTCGTGTGTACGGCTGCCTGTGGCCTCTGACATTATCTCGGTCTTCTGGGCCTGGGTTAAGAGCTCGTCTAGTGCACCGCCGGTTTGGCGTGTACCGGTATCCAGCCAATCGTGCATAAGGCGCTTAAGGGTGGGGAGATCGCAGCCGGCAGCAGCACCCGCAAGTAGGCTTGGTACTAGCTCGTCATGACGATAGCAGAACCGGGAGAGGGGATGCCTTAGGAGCCATTGCATAAGGCCCACATGACCGCCGCGAGCAGCCAACCCTGGAGCAGGGTTGCTCCAGGGGCAGTCTTGGTCAAGTAGCCATGCGCACATGGCGTGATGGCCGTTGGTAGCAGCTGCGTGTAGCAGCGAGCGGAGAGAGAAGATGTTGTGACGACGTGAAAGACAGCGGTGCTGGGAGGTTGAGGGTGGGTCGATGGTTGCGGCCATGGAGTCGTAATGGATGTTGAGGGGCGCGGTAATGTCATCGGACACAGCGAGGATTCTCATGTTGTCGAGGTTGCCGCTGGCTGCTGCGGAGTGCAACAGCAGGCGACGTTTCCGCAAGGGGAGACTGCGGATGGCGTCCTGGTTTGTCCATTGGTGAGCAAAGATTGCGTGTGGGACTGGCTGTGAAAGGTGGATGGTGGTGTGCTCGGGAGCGCGAAGCAGAGCAGCTGTGGACTTGTCGACTAGGCGTAAGCTGCACGCCACGTCGTTGGCTGGCATAAAGCTAGCGATGTGCAGGATGAGCTCTGGGAGCCATATGCGAGATGGGTCAAGCATTGCTCCGTTGGGTTGAAATCGCTGAGGCCGATGCAAGCTACTTGCCGCCGCAGTAACTGGTTTTCTGTAAAGGCTGAGATGAGTGGGTAGACAACCCTGTAAGGAAACGTATTAGCTGTTCGCTAGACTCCGTTACTATGGTACTTCTCGACTGAGCAGCATTGGGTAAAAGTAACCAGTCTGAAGCGATAGTAAAGATATTCCTAGTTAAGTGTTGACCCAAATAAAGAAAAATGATAGCCTGGGACAGGACGTGGCGTAAGCGGTTACGAAGCGTAAAGTGATGAGTCAGAACCCTGAACGTGCAGGCGTTTCGTATGATCCGGGCTCTACTAGATACGGTTTGAAAGCTAGTTTAAAGAAGAGACAAAAAGAAAAGGCTATGACTGGGCCAGACGGTAGGCTTCAATTCAAAGCGATTGACAGACGGTCGAGGTGGACCGTGGACAGTCCCTTCCTAGTAGCGGTGGCAATCTTGCTTGCGCTAACAATGCTATGTATCGAAGGAAAGCCGTTCACATAGCAAGCAATTATGAAAGTAGAGGTTGGTTCAACGTTGACTCAACCCTGCCGGGCCTAATGCAATGCTCAACAAGGACTAAAACCCCGCAGCTCACTCGCCGCGAACCAGGTCCAACTTCCCAGCCGCCGCCCAACCTCTCATCCAACCTTAACGCCTCCTTACCCCACCGCCACCATCAGCAACCACCGCCGAAACGTCTGGGCTGGCCGCCGCCGCCAATAACTGAGGCACGTTTTTATTCAGCCCCGCTGCTCTTCTAAACGCTTGGCTCCTTCACATACCCCCACAGGTACTTGCCGGTTGCCGCTGGGGAACCAAACGCCTAACGCTCGGCGGCTATCTGTGCTCTCATCGACACATGCTGCCAGCACCAGCCGCTCTCTCTTCCGCAACGCAACATGCATCTACAGAAGGAAGCATGCCGTTCCTGTCCCCGCTTTCCCTTATCCGCTAGACCCTCATCTGCTCCCTACCTCCCCCCTTCCTGCCTGTCATTCGAACCTGCTGCAGCTAGATTCCCCGCCATCCATCCGCATCGACCCCATCTCATTACATCCATCTGCTCACCGCCCATCGTCCTCCTCTTCATCCGAATCCGCAGCTAGATCCGCCAAATCCAACGCCCTCTCCACTGCCTTGTGCCATCGGGCGTACCGCTTTCCCGCCGCCGCAGCGCTAATGGAGGGGCAAAACGCGGTGAAGCTGTTGGCAACACTGTTGCTGCTGCTCAGGCTATACCCATTGCTACCGGTACCATTGCTGCTGCTGCTGCCGTTGTTGTTGCTGACGTTGTTGCCGTCAGTGCTAGCAGGGCAATCGCCATTCTCCCCTTCTGCCCGCGCACGGCCGCTCGGTGCTGTTGTCGCTTCCTCTGCCTCCTGTACCGGCCCTGCAGGCGCCGCTGCCACCGCTGCAAATGGCCCCTTTACGGCCTCCGACTCCGCCGCAGCCCCAGCAGCCGCAGCTCGGGGCGATGCAGCAGCCGTCTGCAGGCGTCGTGGTGAGGCAGCAGCCGAGCAAGCGGCGGCGGGTGAGGCGGCCGATGCAAATATCTCTTCCTCGCTCCAAAACCCCACTGCTAGGCCGGCTGCCAGGGCAGCTCCAAGACTGGTGGTCTCGCGGAAGGCGGGGCGCAGCACGGGGACCTGGGGCGGGGGGCGCGGAGGGAGCGGGGGAGGAGTAAGGGGAAGTAAGAAAACGACCAGGTTGGTCATGATAGGTGCATCAACCCCGTGACGCACCACGCCTCTGACGAATGGATGAAAGTGACCGGGGATCAAAGAGCGGAACAAGGCAAAGATTGAGACCCCCAAGTTCCCCAGTCCCTCATGCAGCCGATCCAGGGGGGGTTCTCCTAATCCCCCAAACCACACCCCTCCCCCCCCATCTCGTCAGTTCTCCTTACTTTTACCCCCCCACACACACACACCTGCAGCAGGTCCGCCTGCAGCTGCATGAGCAGGTCGTTCGCCGCCGCCCCGCCGTCCACCCTCAGCGCCGCCAGCCCTCCCTGCAGCCCTGCATCCTGCCGCATGGCGTCCAACACCTCGCGGGACTGGAAGCAAATGGCCTCCAGCATGGCGCGAACCTGGGGGGGGAGGGGGGGCGCGGCCAGGAGGGGGTCAAAGAAATACCAAACCACAAGTGAGGGGAGGGGGTAAGCAGGAAAAAACTGACGAAACAGAAGACACGTAGGCTCTACCATGGGTGTGTGTGCATCATGGTGGACAGGAGAGGCGCGGGAGGGGATAGGTCAGCGAGAGGGAGGGACATCATCGGTAAATGTAGTACTGTAAAGGGGTCACTCCCCCGATTGCACCTCATCATGTAATAGAAGTGTAGACTACACCTCATCACCCCTTCCCTGTCCTCCACCCCATCATGTCCATAGCCTACACCACCGTGGTACCGGTGTCATCTTCCGGAGATTTCAGTACGTTCCGACTGGCGGCCAGTTTTCGGAACACCCCCCCCCCCCAGCCCCGCCTAGCCCCCCACCACATGTGCCCGGGTGGTGAAGGAGGTCATGCCAATCAGCACCCCGCGCGCATCCGCACGCCAGCGGGGGGCCAGCAGGCCGGAGAAGGCAGGGACGAAATACACACCGCCTGGGAGGGGAATGTGGTTGGGGAGGGGGAGAGTGAGAGGGGGGGTTCAAAGGAGTACCAAACCACGAGTGAGGGGTTCATGCGCCCCATACCAATTCACCCACAGTGAAGCCTTGTCGCACAGTTCGTTAGTTGCTTCATCGTCCCTCCTTGAACACCGTTAGTCCAACCCTTCCTTCACCCCTCTACACCCCCTCACCCGTGTCCTTCACACTTGCCGCCAGCTCCCCCGACTCCCCCGCGCTGCCAATCAGCCCTAGGTTGTCCCGGAGCCAGCTCACTCCCAAACCCGCCACCGCCACAGAGCCTGGGGAAGGGAAGGAGGGGAGGGAGGGGAGGGAGAAAGACCATGCCGTTGGTGAAAGGGGGGGACAGGGCTCACAAAGGCGATGCACACCGGGCCTCAGCGCATCCTCGCCATCACACCCGCATGCTCCGAAACACACACGAGCATGGCACGACTGCAGGAGCGTGTTTCAGCATGCATGAAGCAACCCAGCCAACCTGTCCCCACTTCGCCGGTTGTCTACATATCAGACGTGCAGATCGAAGCCACGGCAGGTCGGAAGCACAGGGACAAGTACCCCGCACATACCACACGTCAACACGCACCCTCCAGTGCGTAGTTAGCCGGCTGCCCGGGTCCCAGCTTGAATGCCAGCGTCGTGAGCAGTCCGTGTGTGGAGGCGATGCGGCGCCCCCCGGTGTTCAACAGCATGAAGCAACCCGTGCCGTACGTATTCTTGGCCTCACCGGGCCGGCAGCGCTGACCTGGAGGGGGAGGGGAGGGGGAAGGGTTGGAGGGGTTAGACTCCTACAATGTAGCCTTGCTACAACAGCCCTCTCTGGTCAGTACAATCATGCGGCAGTTACGCAACTCAAGTTGCTTCCTAGCTCTAACAACACTCCACCACACTCCGCCCCACTTCGCTCCACCCCACCTACCGAGCACAGCCGCCATCTGGTCCCCCAAGCTGCCCGCAATGGGAACCCCCTCAAAGGCAGCCAACGGGTGGTCTTGGTCACCGTTGCGACCGTTGTAGCCCTCCCGGTGGCCGTTGTGGCGGTTGGCGGTTATTGTGCCGTACACTTCCGCATTGGATACGATTCGCGGCAGTACCTCCCGGGGGCAACGGAACGCGGCCAGGGTGGGCGGGTGCCAGTCGAGGGAGTCTAGGTCCATGAGAAGAGTCCGGGAGGCGTTGGTGACTGCATGAAGGGGGCGGGAGGCGAAGGGGGCTTGGAGGGTGAGTTCTGAGTTGGAGTGCGTGTGGGGGGGTAGACAGCTACACACTGGTGTTTTTAAGACAAAGCAGTATCGTAACCAACGTTGGCGCGTGACGGATACTCGGGTACGCGAGACCCAAATACCCGACTAGTGCTTAATGCTGTTCGCAGCCTGGCAAATCCAAATGAAAGAACATTTATCCCATGAGGACATGGGCATGTTGGTATAAACGCCGCCACCCACCGTCAGTCACGTGGACGCCGCCTCCGGCTCCGCCCGTCAACTGCCAGATCAACCAACTGTCAACGGTACCAACGGCCGCGTCTCCGCAGTCAACCGCCGCACGGACCTGCAATCCGGCGAACGAGCGCTCATCTGACATGGGACCAACCGAACCAACCACCCGCAAGGAATGCAGGTTGCAGATCTTTCATAATCGCAGACGACTCAACTGCACAGCCTTCCATACAAGCATGGGGCCTTGGGGCGTCTTCGCTCTTCGGCCCTTCACACCACGTGGTCCGTGCCGTACGTCATGCAATGACGTGTGATGCAAAGCATGCTCAACCCTACAATCATCCAACATGGAAACCCACACGACGCAAAGTGGCTACCGGTACGACGTCGGATCATTCAAACACACGCCCTCGTCGTAAAAAGCAATGCACGACACCACCACGCCACCTCCGTACCCCACCTCAGGCACATGGTCGTACAACCAGAGGTACTTGGTTGCGGAGAAGTACGGCGAAATCGGCAGTCCGGTGATGCCTCGGAAGGCGTCCCGCCCGCCGTGCTGCTCCGCCAGGCGCCCGCAGAGGTCACTGTGGGCGTGTCGGTGCAGGTCACACGGAGGTGTGTTGCATGCAAAGGGTGCAAGAGTTGCGAAGCGGAGCAATGGACAGGTCACGGAGGTGTGTAAACGGAGCCATGCGGAGCCGTGTAAAGACATGCAAAGGCTCCTGTGCATGGCCCCATGTAAACAAGCATTCGCACCTGGTTCGGGTGTCCAGCCAGACAATGGCGTTGTGCAGCGGGCGACCCGTGGTTCGGCTCCACACCACCGTAGTCTCCCGCTGCGGTGAGTTAAAAGAACAACAGGAACAAACATAAGCAACAAACATAAGCAACAAGGAACAAAGGTAATGCTGTCGGGTGGGGCCCTAGATCCACCAGCAGCACAGGGGCGTTCACAGCCCCACTCCTGCATGTGCACGCTTGGGCGCGTGCACACCTGTAACATGGGTCCTTCAGGACACCACCATCACCACCATCATCGCCATCATCGTCATCTGGGTCACCGCCGCCCTCACAATCCCAAGGAACCCGCCTGTGCGTGTGTTGGGTGCAACACCTGTGCAGGAGTCCCATCCCCTTTGTCGTGCCCTCGCATGTGGTATGGTATTTCTCCGAACACCCCCCCTCCCGCGCAGACGGGGCACACCTGGTTGGTGATGCCAAGGCCCAACATGCGGAGGGGCGGCCGTCCCGAGGCAGCCATCTGCTGCTGACCCAACTGGGGTGTAGCAGGGGGAAATAAGGGGGTTGAGTACCGGTATCGTGCATGAGGTCATTTGCTACGTGCTAGTGATGTTGGACAGGGGGAACGGGGGCAGCGGAGGTGTTGAGGAGTGTGGCCCAAATGCAGGGATGAGACAAAAAGGCTAGAAGCAGGGGAAGCAGGAAGAGGGCAAGGGTACGGGAGATAACAGATAAGAGATGGAGCACGAGGCAAGGCAGCATGATGGGATACATACCTCCCAAGCCTTGCTTAGACACTCCAGGACAGTCCGCCATATTTCCAGCGGGTCGTGTTCGCACCACCTGTAGGGGTTGGGGGCGTCGATAGGTTGCAAATGGCCGGGTTTTGCACACGCGGAAAGCAAAGTACGTGGCAACATAAATGCGAGAACAGGAGTAGTCATCCTAGGTGCTGTGGGCTTTGATGCAAAAGTGGAAATGCTGAAGGTGACGCAGCACTGCGGGGAGGATGGGAAGGACAGCAACAACTGCTGCGACTGGATGCAGCACAACCATTTTACTAAGTTCAATGTCTGGCCCGGGATAGACTGGAAGCATTCATATTCTGTGTTAGCCCCGGTTTTCATCAAACGCTGGCAGAATACCGTGAAACGTCGACTTCCCACTGCACCATGCGCTGTCAACTGTGTTGAATTCGCCGCTTCGCCAAGACCAACCCCAACAATTCTGGCCTTGCGTATGTTACTTACCCTGCTTGTGGGTAGATTTGCGGCAGGTCAACTTGGTGAGACGCCAATGGATTGCAATCCTTGTCGAACAGGAAGACGCGCGTCGACTGGGTCCCTTGATCAAGCGCGGCTATGCAGTCGGTAAAGCCCATTTCCGTAGTAGTTAAAACCGTGGTTGCTCCAAGGGCGCACAGCAAGCCTTAGCCAACTGGGACTCGGCGCGCAAGGAGGCCGCTCTTGAGCGCGTAGACTTGCAGCACGCCGTAAGGCTAACTAGGCCTAAGTCGTAGCGCTTTATTTAGCAAGGATTACGCGGGCCTACGAGGTAAAACCATTATTGAAGGGGTTGGCGGTTGCACGGATCCACGCTGACGTATGAACCACAACCAAAACGATAGACACGGCTTCCTTGGCTCTTCCATGTTTTTGGGCTCTTTAGCAGTGTTAACTCCAAGACATGCTGATCATTCGAAACAACCGTAACCAGTATTAAGCCCCAAGACCTGCAAGCGCTATTGTTGCTCTACAAGTTACAGATACTTCATTCTGATATCATTCTGACCACTGATACACCACCAATATGAGTCGTCATTTGCTTGGAATGGTTGAGGAGGCACCAGCCGACTTAGAGCTTAATTCTGCGAGTGACGAACTTGTTAAGACAGTAGATACCCTAGGGCTACGCATTGCAGCAGTATTTATCATCCTTCTGGCTGGCCTTCTTGGCGGCTTGCCGCCTCTCTTCCTTAAAGCCTTTCAACGCCAAGAAAGCTTGCAAACGTTTTTAATACGTGCATTTTCAGCGGGCGTCATCCTTGCACTGGCTTTGGTGCATATCGTGCCAGGTGCGTGGGAGGTTTGTCACCGATCGCCAGCGCTTTGCAACCGGTTTGATATACTGTAGGCAGGTAGATGCGTGGATAATACCTGAGGTCATGTACAGCGTGTGCTGAATAAATGTTGCTGGAATGCACGTTACAAGGGCATCTGCAAGTTGGGCCAGGTCTCGTCATTGACCAGCAACTGCCTAGACCCGCTTGGAACCCTAGGTTACGCAGCACCAGCAACGCACATATTATCCATAGAGCCTGGCCTTTTGATCTGAAGCGCCTCGAGTAACGCAAGATTGTACGCCTAAGCCATCCAGCGCCACCTTGCAACCATGCCTTGCCCATCCGCGCAGACGCCATCCAAGACCTGGCCGACATCGGCGGCATAAAGTACCCTATCGGCGGTACCTCCATCCTCTTTGGCATCGCTGCCATGATCTTCATAGAGCACGGGGCGCACATGATGTATGGCATCCCTCACGTGCATCATTCCGACGCCGCACCGCCAGCGCGGCCGCTCGAGTCCCAAACGCAGTCGCTGCCCACGCAGCAACCCTCCGCCATCGGAGAGGGCTGCGAAGACGACGCGAAAGCCAGCTGCCGCGGCAACCAGCAGCCGGGGCATGCCCACGCTCATGCCCATCCACACCCACCTCAACCGCCCATGCTCCAACAGCAAGAGGACAAAGCAGCCTCCTGCGGCCACCCTCAGCATTTGGAGCACCAACAGGAGAACCCTCTAAGGGACCAGCAGCTCCCCCTCCCTGCACCCACCGCCACCACAGCCGCCACAAGCACGGCCGCATTCGCACGTCGCTCAGCGGGCCCTTCCCTCGGCCACCGGAGCGCCGGCGCCGGCAGCGGCCCCTGCGGCAGCCCCCTTGCCGCCACCTCCCTCCCGCTCTTCAGCAGCAGCGACTGCACCCTCGCGCGCAGCGAATGCAGCACTCCCCATGGCGGCGCCATGGCTACCGGCGGCACCGCCTCCGCCGCTGCAGCTGCCTCGACGGCGCTGCTGCTGCACTGCGCGCCGGATCACTGTCACGACTGCGTGTCGCGCTCTTCAGCGCCCAACTGGGCCTCCGCGGTGGAGGTCAGTGCGGCGGGGGACTCGCCGCTGCGGCTGCGCATCATAGCATACCTGTTCGAGTGAGTTGTGTGAAAGCGGTGTGTGTGGGGAGGGGAGGTAAAGAGGAAACAACTAACGGGAGGGGGTGCGTGTGTGTGAACAGAACTGGCTGTGTGTGGTGGGGAGGGGTGGGGGTTAGGCGACGACGGGTAGGACTAGGGCATGGGGGTGAGTCGTGTGGGGTAGAGTGAGTTTGGGAGTGAGCGCGGGAGGGCCGCGGGGTGGGGATGAGGTGGGCTTGGGGCTTTCATGGTAAAAAGCGGGGTACAGGGGATGCGCTTGTGTGGGATTGTTGGCCGGGTGGGCATGGGGGCTGGGGCTGTTAAGGCGGGCGACTCCTACCGACTGCACCCCGGACCCCTTCTGCTGACTGCACATCTCTGACCCCTGTCTGTCAACGCAGGTTGGGTTGCATCTTCCACTCGTTTATCATCGGGCTCTCGCTGGGAGTCAACCAGACCAGCATGGCACAGGTGCGGCCGGGCAGGCGGGGGCGGCTCGTGGGGGGCTCGGCAGGGGATGCCCTCGTGGACTGCCATTGGCTTTTTGGGACGGGAAGGGCTGCTCCCGCCCCAACCCCTGTGCCGTAAACCCTTTCCCTCCCTCCCCCCCCCTTCCTGTCTCCTCTCCCTGTCGTACCCAGGTTCGTGCGCTGCTGATTGCGCTGTCGTTCCACCAAGCGCTGGAGGGCCTCAGTCTGGCCAGCGTCATCAACCGGGGGGGCTTCTCCGGCGCTCGAGCAGCGCTCATGGTGGCCATGTACGGCGTCACCTGCCCCGCGGGGGTGGCAATCGGTGGGTGGGATCTGGGAGGGGCCGAGCATGGGGTTTGGGAATGGTGGGAGTGGCGGGTAAAGAGGAAACACCGAACTGATTGTGGGGGTGGTGGGGGTGATGGGAAGGAGTATTGCATTCGAGCGTAGGTTATTGTGTGGCTTGAGGGCTCCTCCTGGTGCTACCTGGACCGCTACCGTACGCTACGTGTATACCGGTCATACCCTGATTTCCACTGGAGTGCTGTACGTACCATGTTGTCTGGGCCTGTCCAAGTTCCGCACACACCGGCTTCAGCTTGCCTGCCTGGGTGGCTGCCCTCCATCGTGCGCCGCATTGAAAGTGCTCGCACTGTCATGGCACTGTCCGTGATTCACGTGTACTAATCACAGTCTCACACCCTCTGTGTTACAACACGCACGCTCGCTCGCAGGCATTGCCATTGCGAAATCCTACGAGCCCGAGAGCCTGCAGGCGCGTGCAGCCCAGGGGGTCCTCAACGGTGTGTCAGGCGGAATGCTGCTGTACATCTCCCTCGTACAACTCATCGCGGAGGACATGGGCAAGTATGTCACGGAGCCCTCATCGTCAAGCAGCAGCAGCAAGAATGCGCATGGGTCCGGACCCACGGGTCGTTCTGGCTGCCATGCATCGGGCGGCTCGGAGATTGGGTACCGCATTCGCATGCCCTCTTTCCTGGCGTTCTGCGCGGGTGCTGCCTCCATGTGCTTGCTTGCGGTGTGGGCTTGATGCGAAGGCAAGAAAGGAAGGGGGGAGTGTTACTGGTGCCTGGCGCTCGTGGCTGCTAACCGTTGGTTGGCTCGTTTGCACGCTTTACACGTCTGGCGGTGCCATGGGTCCATTAGTTTACAAGCCATACTAGTAGCTGTTATGTAAGTTACGAGGGAGCGGTGGAGCTGCAAAGAAAGAAGAGCCCGGGAGGCAGTAGCAGCGGTGGCTGCAGCGCCGTTAGTAGTGGGTTGTAGTAAATGTGGATAATGACATGACGTCAATCCAACATGGGTATAATGTAGAAGTTACCGTTAGTAGGATGCATGATGCTTTCATGACTCATAAGGAGGACCGCATAAGGAGGACCGGCCTTCCCAGCAGCAGCGGTGTTGTGGGCTGTGCCCTCCTGCAGGCTGTGCTGCGCTGTTCCTATTAATTGCTAGGATGCTAGCCGCGTGATTCTTCGCTGTAGCACATCATTGCTTGCCAGAGGCCCTCTGCTGTGTCGAGTTGTCGTGAACAGCAGGCATGCGTGGTGCTGGCAAGGGTGTGTGTGGGGTGTGTTTCCGAACTTGCATCCACGTTAGCATGCAAGCCCGGATAGACACATGCAGGCAGGCAGGAATAACATGAGGTGGGCTGGAGATGACAGAGAAAGAAGCGGGGAGCGGCTTGTCATAGCTTGCGGCTTGGTTCGGGGGGGGGCAAATACGGGGTGCCCATGAAGACGAGCTGCATGCGTTTGTAGTAGTACAAGAACAATGTGTGAACGGTGTTGTGCATGAGTGCATGTGGGTGCTGTTTGAGAGCAGTTCAAGCTCAGTAGCAGCGGCGCTGATGACACAGGGTTCTGCAGCTGCTGATGGGTTGGGTTGCATGTGCCTTGACACGCTGTTGATGATGGCGGGTAGCTTAGCTGGCGGGTATGGTAATAGTGACTTCCATTACAAGGAGGAACATCTTTCGCTGCACATTGTTTCCCGTGTTGTTAACGGTAATGCGTTAAGGGGGCTTACTTAGTTTCAAGCACTGAATGGATTCCTGTTGCTTTAGACGAACACAGTAGACCCCAAACGTTTAAAGCTGTGGGTTGGTGGGTTGCCAGCGGCTTTGTCCAGTAACGCATGTGTTCCGCAGGAGGTGTGGTGCTGCTGCTCAGTTTCTTCTTCATTGTTGTGGTTTGTACGGCTGTTGCGATGGCCGCATGGGGAGGAGGGTGCGGTGTTGGCGCTTGGAGACGATCCCCTGTTGTTGCCTGCCTGCCCCGCCGTGTGCTTTTACCCCGGAAGAGGGCTGGTAAGGGCAGGGTAAACAAGCCCATAGCAGAGGGGAGGTGGTGCTCTTCTCGTTTGTTGGTTAAGGCAAGCAGACGCGTGCTTGAGCTTTGTACATACAGGCGTGTGGCTCGGACTTGGTAATGCCCCGCGAATTTGCGGACAACACGCCTTCGGGGGGAGGAGAAAAGGATGCTTATGTTGGCAGCAGAATCACAGGTGCCGAGACAACGATTAAATGTCGCACATTTCGTGGCGTGTTATCACTTATCGTTGCAATACAGAAAGGATGCTTCTGCCAGTGCATGGTAACAGCCTGAAGCGCTGTGGTGCCCCCCGCCCCAGGTATCGCCCCCAGAAAACCCGTGATGCAGCCATGTGGGAGCGCGAACAGCTGCTACTTCTCTCAACCGCCGCCATCGCCTAAACCACTTTTAAACAGGAACACATCGTCTGCATCCCTGCACGATGTTCATGGGCAAGGCAGTCACAAGCGCCGTCACACGATAGAACACCCACGAGCTGTGATACCGGTAGTGCACATACTTGCTGTGCCGCTGCTGGTACCCCTGTTCCTCTCCCTATCCGCTTCACCCACCCTCGGCATAACCGCCCGCCAAAAGCCAATGCCCGGCGCTGTTCGCTACACATATCCGCTGTATCGCAGGGTCACAGAAAGCGGAATCGCATTTTTGCTGATTCCGCTTTCCACCGCCTCCAGCCTTGCCGTCATCGGACCTATTTGCACAATGGCTGCTACAGCAGCAACATCAGCTCCTACGCTACCTCCTTCAAACCCACCGCTACCTCCAGGCTTCGCTTGCTGCCACACCGCCGCTGCTGCCTCCTCTGGTTCTGCCCTTCAGCGGCTCCCCTTCAGCGGGGACACCGCATCCGCCCGCCCCACAGCCTCCAACATGACCTCCCAAAAGCCCGCCACATCCACCCGCAACGCCACGTTGACGTTGGGCGGCAGGCGCGACTGCCCCCACACGTCGCACACAGTTTGACCGTACGACAGTTGGGAAACCGTTTCCACGTCGACACGCATGTGTTGGCACTCGAAATGGTCGGGTCGGATGACGTAAGCAACTGCCACTGGGTCCTGTTAAGGAAAGTAAGGGGACAGTTTGGTGTTTGGTACTAGCGGTGGCTGAACATCTGTCGCTGGCGAGATTGCATTACGGAAGTCGCATGGATGGACCCATGGAGTCATGGTCTGACCACGTGGCATGGTGGAACTGATACGACAGTCACAGCGGCCCTCATCCCCTCCTCCTTCCCTCTCCCAACGTCCCCTTCTCTCCTCCTTGCTCCTTCCACCCCTCCCTCTCTCCTATCTCCTTCCCTTCCTCAACTCACATGTAGAGGCGGGTGCTCAAATCGAAACACCCGGCGATACGTCTTGGCAAAGAACAGCAGCAGCTGCTGGATGGTGTGGCGGAAGGGGCTCGGCGCAACACCATTGCAACCGCTGCCGCTGCCATGACCATTGCTGCCGCGGCTGCCAGCCCCGTTTACACCAGTCGTGCCGCCGGCCTCCGCTTCCGCTGCTGCTGCTGCTCCTCCTCCTCCCTGTGCGTCAGCGACGACTACGTCGCCACCTTCGCTGGGTGCGATGCTGGGTGTGGAGGTGGCGGTAGTGCCGGTGCACGGAGCGTCCGCATCCAACCCAACCTCGCATGCAGCCGTCGAACCACCGTTGTCCACGCTGCTGCCGCTGCTGCTGCGGATGTTGGTGCGGCCGCTTCCAATGGCCGCCAGGACCTCCGGTGTCGCGAGCACCGTGTGGGTCACCTTGCGGCGGTAATACCGGTAACAGAGGGGGGGAGAGAGAAGATGCATGGTGGGGCGGGTTAGGGCAGCAGCCGACACAGACCATGTAGGTGTGACTAGGCCATTACGACCCAGTCCATTCAGCCTCACATCCCTCCACATCCCGCCCTCCCCCCGCCCCCCTCACCTCCAGGGGCACCATGGTAATGGGCATTCCGAACTCGAACACGATACGGGCGGCCTCGGGCTGGGAGGAGGGGGGAAAAATTAAATAAGTGGGAGTGGCTGGGAGGAGGGGGAGGTTAGACAGCAAGCCCATGAGTGGAATAGGATATAGCAGGCATATGAAAAGAGAAGCTAGGGGCAGGGAGGGGAGGGTGAGGAAGGACTGGGTGGGAGACGGGTGCAGGAACGTGGAGGCGCGGAGGAGGCGACCCGAGGCCGGGTTATCTGCTCAAGGCTGTCGTTGCGGCATCCACCAGCGGAACCTAGACCTTGCTGCCAGCACCCTGCTGTCATGCAGTCCCTGCTACCCGGCACTTACGTCCGTCTGGATGTTGAACTCCATGACGGGTCCTGGGTGGCAGTACGACAGAGGTGGGGCAGGGGGGCGGGCCGGGATGATGAGGTGGGTGGTTGCGGGTCGGGGCGGGGTGGGTGAGACTGGAGGCAGGAGCAGACAAGAGCGGCAGCGAGCATGAGCATAAGGTAGGATATCAGAAGCGGGGGATAGCGGCGCGGTGGCAGGGGTGGTGGTGCAATGGGATGTCAGGAGGAGCACGACAGGGGGCAAAGGAGGCACCTCCGCCCCACGCACCCCTCCTCCCCCCCTGACTCACCCGTATTGCCCACCCCCATGCATCCGCCCATGAGCACCACCTCCACCTGCTCAGCCACCTCGGGGTACAGCGTCAGCAGCAGCGCCGCATTGGTGAGGGCGCCCGTGCACACGAGCCTGGGTGCAGCGGGGGAAGCAGGGAGCAACGGCATCGGAATCGGCATCAGCATATTCTTCAGGGATTCAAAGCGGTTACGATTTCAATTACGATTACATGGTACGGTGTAGGGCCCTCCCGCCCTACCGCACAACCTCACGAACCATTCCGGTCAAGAGGTGCAAAGCGGGAACTGGTATGTCGTACACCTACTACACAATCACCGCCTTGCAACCAGCGTAGCAAATGCACGTGGTCATGGATTCTAACGGCCTTACTTGACTTTTCGGGGCGCATGGTGCAACCCATCGGCGGGGGTTGGTGCTGTCGTAGCATCGGCAGCATGGGCCGTAGCCGCCGGTGCTGCTGCGGGGAGAGTTGCTGTCGTGCAGGCGTCTTCCTTTTGGAGTTCTTGATATGCTGCTGAGATGGCATCGTACATGACATTGACCGCCTTGCCAGTCAACGGCTTGCGTTGGCTTCGGGGCAGCAGACGGCCGCCAGAGGGCCCATCGAGTCCTGAGTCGCCGTGGATCTCGGGGCATAACTTGGAAGGCCGCATCAAAGGCCGGGCTTGGCCCGCGACCACATCTGTACGTCAAACAGGTAATCCGTAAGTTGCTTTCATCAACCTATAGCCCGCTTTTCTACACCATATACCGGAGCATGTGACATCGATATAAGAGGTCCTGTACTTTCTCACTTACCTATGTGGTTGAGGCCAATGGCATCAAGCACATCTAGCGCGTTACGCGTCACCTTTTCCAGGGTCTGGTTTCCGCCCACAGTACTGACGCCAAGCAGCTTTAAGCCAGGCGTGTGGCCTGCGCGCGCATCGCGATAGCATGGAGGTAGGTTGTTAAGGTGGGCTGTCTCAACGCAATGCTTATACTCGCCCCATGGAATTATCTTGACCTGGACCTACCAGCAAGAAGAATAGCCATTGCATCATCATGTCCTGGATCGCAATCCAGCCAAACAGGCATGGGCTGTGCCATTTTTTTGTTTTGCTGTGGTTATCCTGACCTGCGAAGCTGCAATAAATAAGAGTCGCAAAGCTTTCAGTACATAGACAGCAGCTTACGAGCTGGTTCTTTGGTCCTAGCTAGGCTGTGCCGCACGACGGTGCCGTGCGCTTGAAGCAAGTGTTTCCACACCAACTTCTTAACCTATAACGAGAGCTTCCTCATGGTTAGTCATGCTCATGGTCTGTTTTCAGCAACTCCGTGCACCCTGGGCCCCTTTGCTTGCAATCAGTCTTTCCTTATTCTCTTTCCATGCGTAGCAAGCCCTTCAACCACTAATGCAAACTGTCTAGCACGGAAATGCTTTAACGTTGCGTTGGTATATGTCCCCACGGGGAGGGTTTGCTTCGGAAGTATTGTGCGCCTGACGAGGAATTCCTTAATGCTTGGGAAGCCGACGATATGGGTTAACACGTGTTAGCTTCCTGCATGAGTCGGTGTAAATGATGTGTCACCGCAAGGGGTTTACGAAAGCAGCTAAGGGTGGGGTGGGGGCATACAGCGGTTGAATTCGGGCGAGTTAAGAATTGTGGTTGGCGCAATCCTTCAGATAGCCTGGACATCGTTTTACGATGTTTAGGTGTGAAAACTGCGCCCGGGCTGTCGGGCCGACGGTGGCCGTCATACATAGCGTCAACGGCAAGGCAGTGGAGACACGTAGACTGGACATTAAGACTTGCATATGGGTGGAATCTTAGATACATGCTACACTTGTATAGAACACTATCTACATTTACGAACCGCCAGTTGTATGTGTTAGGAGAGTTGTAGCTGGCCGTACGCGACTGCAGCGACAGGCCCGCAATCTTAAGCAGACAGCCTTCTTAATGCAAAGACTTTCATAGTTGAAGTACATACTCCGCAGTAAACTTTCCAGGAAACCCGACAACGCGTATTAGTTAGAACTAACGGCCCTTCTGGCCCAAAGACCTGGCGACACCCAGATTAAATTTCCTCTCTATTGTATAGCAGCAAGCCAAGTTCGTGCCGTTTGTATCTTTACCGACCCATTTAGCCTAGCTGCTATCTTCACTGTGGCGTCGCATTCGACCCATCAACCGACGCAGTCATTGCCGGCTGGGAACCAACCCAATCGAAACCCCACTTGACAGCTCCTCTATCCAGAACGTTATCGACGTCCTAACAAAGATGACTTCGTTGAAACTGTCGACTTGGTTTGTCTTGTCGGTGGTGGTGCTGACATCGACATGCGGTGCTCAAGCTAATGCCGGAGCCAAGCACGGCATGCACAACAGGCGGCTCCTGTCCACAACTCCCGGCACTCAAGCCACATCTCCACCACCTCCCACCGTCCGGCCCTTGCGGTTCCGCCCTCCACCTCCACTTCCGTCTCCCTCCGTTCCTTCCAATCCATCCTCGCCATCTACACCCTCCACACCTCCTCCGCCTTCTACCCCTTCTACGCCCCCTCCCGTCCTTCCGCAGTCTCCCCTTCCTCCCTCCACACCGCCTGCTACTCCTCCGCCTTCGCCCCTCCTTCCGCCGTCCACACCTCCTCCCTCGCCATCCATCCCACCTGCCTCCCCAGACGTCATCGCCTTCCCCATCGCCGCTGACTACCGGATCCTCCCCTCCCCTGCCATCCCCCCTCCTCCTCCCCCCAAACGCATTCCCCGATCCTCACCACCGCCTCCCAAGCCACCATCTCCACCCAGCCCTCCTCCACCACCTCCTCTCAGCCCTTCTCCTCCTCCAACCCCATCTCCTAGCCCTCCTCCACCTCAATCCCCCATCACCGCTCGCGACGATTCCTCCTCCTCCTCCTCCTCTTCCCCTCCACCCTCCTCACCACCCCCAAGCCCAACCAGCCCTCCTCCCAACTTCATCGTCATTGTTACCGACGACCAAGATGACATCCTGAACTCCACACACCCCTACTACATGCCAGCCCTCAACAAGTACCTAGCCCAGGGCGGCACGCGACTCTCCAACTTCGTGGTCTCCACTGGCGTGTGCTGCCCCGCTCGCGTGTCGCTGCTTAGCGGCAAGTACGCTCACTGCACCAATGTAACCGGCAACTGGTACCCCTCCGGTGAGATGAGATCGGGGAGGGGGGAAGAAGGAAAGACCCAATGTGGCTGCAATGGGTCGAATGATAATGGCAACTAGATGAGGGAGGAGGGCGGGCGGGATGGAGTGGCGGCTAAGGGAACAAAGGCAGCAGGCTGGGGGTGGTCTGCTGCGTGTGTGTTTGATGTGTCTCTTCCCCCCCCCCCACCCTCCTTTCTCACACCCCATACACCCCTTTTTCCGCTGATTGCCCCCAACCGCCCCACCTCATCCCCACCGCACTTCCCTCCCCCCTAAGGCGCCTTCCGTAAGTTCTACGAGCGAGGCATCGAGGCCAGCTGGCTACCCTCCTGGCTGCAGGGGGCGGGATACAAGACCTACCTAGTGGGCAAGGTGGGGGAGTGCATGGGGGGAAAAGAAGAATATCCAATGTGTGGGGTGATGTGTGCATGGGGGGGGGGTAAAGAGGAAACAACTAACGGACCGGACCGTGTGGTAAGGCGTCATCATGGTTGGTTTGCAACAAGTGAGCCAGCCCGAACCGCCCAGCCAGGTGGTAGATGATATCTGCAGACAAAAGGAACATAGGAAACGAATTAGTTAGGGCAAGGTGGGATGGCGGGCGGCGTGAGGGTCAGGACTGGCGGTGACCAGTGCGACCTGGGGAAAAGCGGGAGCTAGGGGATGGCAACAGCGGTTGCATACGTCAACGCCTCTGCTGCATGTCATCCCTCATCCCCGTGCAATGCAATGTGCAAGCTACTACCGCTACCCTCTCTACTCTTCCGTGCAGTTCCTGAACGCCTACACCCAGACTGCGGCCTTCATGGGCGACAAGACCGGCTACTACCCGCGGGGTTGGAACGTGTTTGATGCCCTCACGGTGGTGAGTTTACAGAGTCTTGCTGTGGGTGCCTGTTAGTTGCTGGTACGGTATTGTGGTATTGTGGCACGCCGGTATTGTGGCACGCTGCATCGGCTTTGCCAATCCTTCCGAGGAATGAATTTCTGCAACTCAACTGCAACACCGGTGTACTTGCTCTCCTATTGCTGCTGCCCTGCCTGGCGCCATTCACCTTTCCTGCTCTCCTTCTGCTCGCCCCCGCCTACCCTCCCCTCCCAATCTAGCCCGTTACCCGTTACCCGTTACCCGTTACCCGTTACATACCATCCCCCCTAACCTCCAACGCATGACATTCTTCTGCTTCTTACCCACCCGCCAACCACTTCAACCACCGCCCCCAACCACCGCACACAGGGCACCTACAGCCCCTACGGCAGCTGCTTCGCGCTCAACGGCGGGCGCGACAACTGTTACCCGGGTCTCTACCAGACGGACATCATTCGGGACAAGGCGTTAAGCTACCTCAGGTAAGGCAGACCGGTGCAGCAGGAGACCCCATGCCATGACGCCCCAGGGCGGGTATAGCAGCAAGGGCGCGACAACACCACCACGGTCAAGGCTGTATATCTGTGATATCCTGGTATACCCGCAGTCAAGTCAAGCACACGCTCCACCAAACTAAACCACACACGCACATACACCTCCTCCAAACACCATTTGGCTGTCCCATGCGCTACCCCAGGGATGCCGCCGCCTCGCAACAGCCCTTCTTCCTCTACGTGGCCCCCACCGCACCTCACGTGGACAACGCGGGAGGTGGTTGGAAGCCGCCTGCACCCGCCCGCCGGCACGAGACCCTGTACGCAGGAGAAAATGTGAGTCGGTGCGGTGGGCTGGCACCAATGTTGCAAACGGATGGCTCTTCGAGCTGCTGGGGGATTCCCAGGTGCCTTGTCATATATCGAGGCCCGATTTTCCCGAGGCCTCTTAGCGAGGACCTTACTACCGTACCTGAAGACCTCTCAACTCTCCGGCCACCTTGCCACGTATCTACCAGCACTTTTCTCGCAGAACCCGCACCCGTCGTCCTAACCGCCTTTCGACACCCCTTTCCTCCGTCCACGCATCCGCACTTCCACATGCAGATCTCCATTCCCCGAGGCCCCAACTGGGCTGTGATCAACCCCAACATCCCAATTGACCCCGAGGACATGGGCCCCGCGGCCGTGGCTGAGCTCGAGTCCCTCTACCTGAACCGACTGAGGAGCCTGCGGGCCGTTGACGAGATGCTAGAGGCTATCGGTGAGTTGTACGACGCAGGCGCACGAAGAGCACGTGTCGTAACCTGCCGGTTCACGGCCTCTGCTATGTACGGATTCCCCTAGCCTGTCGCCCCAACAAGCTTCCCTTATTCCTTTACTCCTCCAACCATCGCCGCCACCGCTACCGCTACCGCTCTCACCCACAGTGGCGCAACTCCAGGCCTCCGGTCAGCTCAGCAACACCCACATCATCTACACCAGCGACAACGGCCTCCACATGGGGCAGTTCTCCCTCACGGACGGCAAGTCGCTGGGGATCGAGGAGGATGTACGGCTGCCCTTCTTCATCCGCGGGCCGGGAGTGCCTGCCGGGCAGGTGCTGCCGGTGCAGGGCAACTTGATCGACATTGCACCCACCATCCTGACGCTGGCAGGTAGGGAGGCAGTGGCGGAGGGAAGAACTGAGGAAACTGACGAGCTGTATGACAAGGCTTCACCATGGGGTGCAAACATGCTAGTAATGGATGGATGGACGGAGGGAGGGAGGGAGGGAGGGAGGAAGCTGTGAGCCGGAGCCGGGCCTTGTGTTTTGGGGCCTTCGTACCGGCTTGGGGCGTCCACTACCATGCATGGCATTGATCCTTAAACGTATGTCGCATGTAGCACGTCCAGCAGCTGAGGCAGCCTGTGAACTCCTCAACACCAACCGCAGGTCTGCCCGTCCCTGCTGACGTGGACGGAATGGCCGCTCCCGTCAGTCCTGTCGCCACGGCGGCCCACGTGGCTCAGCTTCGAGACGCCTCTGCAACCACCACCAACCCGCCGCCCCAGCTCACCCCCAGCCTGTACAACACATGGCGCCGAGACGCGTGAGTTCCTGGTTTGCTCGTTCAGTTGGTGGGGCGTCTTTGTCTTAAGCTGGCTTTTTACAGTCTGTCTCGGGCATGTCCCAGTTCCCTTGAGGTCTGCTTCCCCTTCCATTCCCACACGTCATACCGTACCTTGCGTTTGGTGCCCATTTCTTCTACTCTCACCCCACCCACAATAACACGCAATCCCACTGCTACTACTCTGCCTTTACACTTTGCGTCCTGCCCACAGCACCATCCTAGAAGCCTGGGACAGCGACGGCAGTGCCGCCACCACCAACGTCGTCTTCAAGACGCTGCGTGTGTGCTCCGACTTTAAGGTCTTTGGCGACAGCGGCAGCCGGCCCGATGGTCTGGCTGCACGGCAGGTACTGGCTCCCGGCGTGGCTTGCTACAAGTATGTGGTGTGGTGCAGGGGGCAGAAGGAGTTTTTCGACCTCTCAACGGACCCCTATGAGGTTAACAACAGGTGGGTTTGCTGGCTTTGGGTTGGCTGCTTGGTTTCATGGCGGAGATCGAAGCGCATTGACATGGCAATAAGGAGAGATGACTCACAGCATGTGTCGGATAGCACTCACACGTAGCACCCGTAATGCGGCTCTGCTAGCAGCACTGCGCCGGTATAAACACGGCTGCTTTGGGGGCCTTGAACCACCACTCCTGTTTCCTCTGCTGCTTGCCTGGTTGTCAGTGTCACACTATGATGACACGAATTCACACACCTAATGTCGTACACACAACATTGTCAGTACGTTCCGACTCTCGGCAAGTTTCCTTAACAAGACATTGTCGTACAGGATCTCGGAGGTGCCCACTCGCATCATGGACCGCATTGACGGCCTGATGTCAGCGCTGGTGCACTGCAGGGGCGCCACGTGCCGCCACCCCTACGCCATCCTGCACCCGGGGTACAACGTGCTTAACTTTACAGGGGTAGGTGCTACGAGGGTTAAGGGTGGTACTGGCTGCTTTGGGATAAAGACGGGCTTTGGGAGATACAGCAGAGGTGCCAAACGATGTGATGCAGGCAGCTTGCGACTGATGAATGCGTGGGGTTTAAAGGTTTGGTGGGTTAATGCTACGGCTTCAAAGAGTTATGCTAAGAATGATGTGCCCGCTGTTGTTGCACTCCCTGCCCTGCCGCAGACAATGGATAGCCGGTTCGATACCGTGTACCGCAAGCTCTACAAGTTCAAGTTCAACAAGTGCAGAAGCGCGTATGTGATAGCCAACGAGCCCACTTGGACGCTGGGCTTCGGAACACAACCGGTGCCCGCTTAACAAGCTCATGCGGTCTGTTTTCTGGGGCGCAGATGCTGCGGACCTACTATTGCCTCAGCTGTGTGGCGTCTGAAGACCTCCAGCAGTGCTTGCTAGCTGCTAGTTAAGGTGATATGAGGTTACCGGTGGTAAGGCCTGCCTGTTTCCTGCATGCCAGCTGCTCCTGCAGCTGCGGTGATTGCTCTTGGTGGTTGTGGCACATGCACCTGCCGCGCATGTTGAGATGCATGCTCTGTCGTACTGTACGGAGGGACCGCTGCTGCTTGGTGTTGGCCATGTTGATGCATGCCAGAATGTACATTCGTTGCTCACAGGATGACGTGGAAGTGCATTCTTTGGTCGGAATGCACGTGTACTGCGTGTATTGCGGTTCGGAAGAAGATTGAATGGAAGGACAAGTGTTCAATTCATGAGACACATTTATCCCATCCTTGCATTTGTTTTTATTTTGCGTTGCGCGTGTGCACTGTTTGTGGTGTGCATGGAGAGGTGGTTACCCGTCGGTTGCTGCTGTACCGGTAGTGTTGCTCTTGTTTTGTTACCGTCATCAACTGTTCGCTGCACATGGCCCGTTGCAACTGCCAAAAGCGCATGTGGCTGCTCTGGATGCTGCAAGGGCGGGACAAATGTACCAAATTAGATGTGCAGAACTGATGTGTTTTATGTTTCTCATTCTTGCATTATGAGCCCTGGGCTGCCTCTTCTTGCCGTTAAGCTGCGGCATTGCAGTCATATGGAATTCCTCCCTTCTAGTGTATTATTCATGGACACTGCTGGTCATTATCGATGACGGTGAAGGTGTTTTCCTGCGCTCCTTAGTCATTGCGCATGCAGTGCATCCATTGTGTTGTGCGTATTGCAATCTTTTGGGTGCTCTAGTGCATGTCTCCCAACTGGGTGTGACAACGGTGCAACGTGTATCCTGCCATAGCCACATCATTGGTTAGATTCCTTACGAAGGTGGCAGGCTAGACGCCCGCCGCAGTGGGCCGGTTGACGGCTACATGACCGACCCTTGGGTCGGCGCACGTGAGCCCTTTTTGTTGTTTACGGTCCTTGGTTGCGTGCAGCAGTCGAATACGGCTGTTACAACCTAAAGGAAGCGGTTTCACCGGCCAACGAGATGACTATCGTTGCCAGCGTGTACGTAAGTAGTTGCGTAACGGCTGGTCTGTCATCAGAATGCCCTTGCTATGAATGGGCGTTACAGTTAAGGAGGAGCGTCATGAGCCTCATGACTACTAGCCCTCCTCCGGCTTTAACCGGCTACCTTGTCCGTGTTTGGAAGGCTCGCTTGTGCCTCGGGAGGTACACGGGTACTATGCACACGACAGCCGGCCTTAACAGCCTGTTGACAGCAACATTGACGTTGCGCAGGTTTTGAGAAAGCTTACACCACCTCGTCCCTCCCTGAGATCCAGAAGCAGCAAATGCATTCACTGCCGACGTGGCTTTGCATGGGTGTTACCTGAGGCACGTCCAAAGCGGACCCTATTGCTTCATACCGTGCTCGTATAAGCCTTTCAAGGCTGCCAAATGGTAGGATTGGGCGGCAGCCCTAGGGGGCCCTCCGATTGCTCAGTAACATCATACCTTCAACTAGAGGGTAGACAAGGGAAGGCGCACTTTCCCCTTACATGTGACACAGGAATCACGCCCAACTATATACCACACGGCTATCCAGTTCAGCCCAGGGCACACACGTTAACGTAAACCTGCGGAAACTAGTATCGGCCGTTACTGCACCAGTGGTCCCAGTTTGGCGGAAATGGCGGAACAGGTTTCGCCACACTCCGGACATGCTGTACGGCGCCTGATCCCGTACGACAGGTCGGCACTTCCGATCGTGATGATAAATGTGTTCCTCTGGCGTTGTATACAGTAAAGGGAGTACAATTTCACAATTTGCAGGACTGTACTAGGTGGGTGGGGAATTTAACGGTGACACCAGGGAGGGAAATCCGGCGGAACTGCCCATCACAGGTCGCTTGCCTTTCTGTTGCCTGCCCGGTCGTCAGGGCCATGGCCTGGGCCAGGGCCATGCTGGGCTTATACGGCAGAGACCGCTGCAATAGCAAGCGCCCTTTACTTCTCCGATGTTTGAACGCCCTCTTGCACACCGCAACTATGCTTATTGCATTGCTGCACTGGCTATAATTTGCGCGAATGTTTTCGCACGCAAATTACCTGCGAATGCTCGGAAATGGAGCGTGAAAGCTTTTAGAGCAAGGCAGTAATGGTAAGCATCTCTTTCTCCGGTTTGATGAGCGGTAAAGCAAACACGGAAAGCGTGCATTTCGCTGTTTGCATAACCTTTGTCGTATAGGCCCATCACGGCCATCACGGCCCATCGTATAGGCCCATCGGGGCCCATCGGCCGGGCGGGTCCCTGCTGGCTTCCACGACTTCAATGCGGCTTGGGTCGCAGCGTTGTTGCTTTACTACGTACTGCATATCGCCCAAAGTGGCGTTTGGCTAGGCGCGCTGCCTTGCCATCTACGCTGCCGCTACGCGTGCCACTAGGAGTTTTACAGTGATCAGACCCAATACGACTTCAGCGAAGGTAACACACGTATAGGATGAATCTCCGGTTATTACTCTTTGCTATGCTGCTTGTCGCTGGTCCACTGCCAAGGGGAACGATGGCGGGAAAGCGGAAGAAGAGTCCCCCGCCACCTCCGCCACCCCCGCCATCAAAGAAGCCGAATATTATCCTAATCCTTACAGATGACCAGGTATGTTCTTTGCTTTTGAGCCTCGCGCTGATGTGGTTCATCGCAGAGTTAAACCAAATGTCCTACCATGCCCTCCTACCTTTCGCTCCTGCACACATCCGATTACAGGATTATGTGATGAATTCTACACATCCGTATTACCTCCCCATGCTTCATAAGCATCTGCGCCTGCAAGGTAGGCCCATGCAGCTGTCACCGCAGTTAGCTGAGCCCCATATCCGTTCCTCCTGTTGGGGTTACCCAGCCCTTTTTAAACCAGCAGAAATAAGCAACTCAAAAACAAAAAACCAGCAGTTGTTTCCGCTTGCGTATTGCGTATTACACCTTTTAACCCATTTCGATTCAGTGATATCGACATCCTCGCAGGTACTGAAATACCGCACTTCATCACTTCCGTTGGCAACTGCTGCCCGAGCCGCACCACGCTGCTGACGGGTCGCCACTGCCACAACACAAATCTTACGGCAAATGACCCGCCATATGGTAAGCACTGTGCACTATCATACAATGACTGTATTGGAAGCATATCTTCTAGATGCGTTGGTTGCCGTCCCGAGCAAAAGAGGCGAACGCTTTGACAGGAAAGAGATGAGTTGGGACATTTGTTGATGGTTCAAAAACCGACGACTAGCACCCTACCTCTACTATGCATTGAACACTATGCATAGAACACTATGCATTGCCGCGAGTACGCATCGACTAACTGTACGACAAGATACTCCCTGTTCGTACGTCACTACGTAGGTGGGTTTCAAGCGTTCAAAGCGAATAAGTTGGACAAGAACTATCTGCCCTTGTGGCTCCAGGTCGGTAATTAACTACATTGTATGTGTTTAGAGAATCCTCGTACTGCCTCGGGACTTCACTCCAAGCGATTCCCCCGCAGGCTGCAGGCTACCAAACGTTCTGGGTGGGCAAGGCCCTGAACGGCTTTGACAGCCTGCAGGCCGACAGGTGAGTGCACGCGTAAACAACCCAGTTGTGCATCCAGCAAGCCTGCGACCCACACATCCAAAGCGGGTGTCTGGCTACGGTCCCATACTTGTACCCTCCCAAATGTCCCCACTCGTCCACACGTCAGGCTGGGTTGCCTGCCCGGTTGGAGCCATCTGATGCCCGCCGTGGCCCCGCCCACCGCGGCCTACTGGGCTGAGTTCCAGGCGTCCATCTCGCAGCGGCCGCCCGTGTACCTGAAGTTCTATTACACCAACTGCCAGTACTATGAGAAGAAGACGGGCTTCCCGGACGACAACCTGTTTCAGCGTGCCTTTGAGTTGATCGAGTAAGTGTGGTGACTTCTCATTGCAAAGCGCACCCTGCGCACGTCGGTGCATGCACCGGTAGCTGCATGCCCACTGCTGGCTGGGCGGACTGGGACTTCTCTCGCGGGGTGTCTTTCTTGGGAAGCGTTGCGCATGCTCCTCGCCCTTTTGCATACTTGCATGCACCCCTGCATAAACTACGTAACTCTCACTTCCCGGGCCTCTTCAGGGACGCGACGGACAAGGGTTCACCGTTCTTCCTGAAGCTCTCCGTGTCAGCTCCCCACGACGGGCCCGTGGACAACCTCCCCCGCATTGCTGAGCGCTTCCTGCAGGCCTTCCCAGGGCTGCAGGTTCCCAAAGTAGGACGAGGGGGGCTGCTTGGGTGAAGGCGGGCTGGGGGCGGCTGTTGTCGTACGACACCTTTATGCGCACATGTCCCAGCTGACATGTGCGGAACACGACAGAAAGGGCCGCCACAGCCCGCTGCATATGTGCAGCAGGGGGCCCGTAACGGACCCGGCGCCATCTGTCGGTGGCGTGCTCTATATTCCTGCGGCCTATCAACCTGAGATCCCCCACCCCATGAGCAATCTTTCTACGCTTTAAATGACTGCTCCCCGAAACGGCATGCACAGGGTCCCAATTACGGCAAGCCGACCGACCCACGGTTCGAAATCTCGAAGCAGCGGCCCCTTTGGTGGTGAGTGGCAAAGGACCGCCGCAAATTTAAGTTAGCGCGCATGCATGGGCGCTGTTTGAATTGTGGCATGGCCAGAGTGTGCAAGCAGAGAGTTGGGTCCATCATGTTCCGCGATCCAGCCTCTTATCGTGTTATGTCCCGCCTTTTGACCTCTTTTGCTTTATGCCCACTGGCATAAGGGTCCTGCAGGACCCCTGCACGCAGCGCACCTCCCCGTTATCATATCTCTCCGTTATCATATCCCTAGCGCCACCAACCGCAACTACCGGTAACCGCAACCAACACCGTCAGAGTGTGTGCCGCTGCCCCTCCCGCCGCCATGCGCATGTGTGCACCGCAGGAACTTGGCGGACAGCGATGCTCGCTACCGTGCTCGCGCGCAGTCACTGCTGGCCATTGATGAGAACCTGGACAAGCTAGGTGAGAGGGGTGGCTGGGGATGCCGCTCGGCAGACTGAAGGACAAAGCGTCCAAAGGACGGGGCGTGGGATAGAGAAGGGAAAGGTGGTGTCCTTGCAATCCTCTGGGGATTAATGCGGATGTGCGTGCAAGCTAGGTGAGGCGGATCAGTCGTCCAGTACCTGCCAGCCACCACTTGCATTACCAGCCTCGCATATAAACTGTGTGCCCACTCACGTTCCTCATGCGCTCCCTTGTCCCACCCTCCCGTCCTCCCGACACCTCTTCGTCCAACATGCCCACACAGTCACAAAGCTCGAGTGTCTGGGTATCCTGGATAACACGTACATCATCTGGACCAGCGACAACGGCTTCAAGCTGGGACAGCACAACATCCCACAGGTATGTTTTGTATGTAGGTAGAACATGTACGGCAGCCAAAGCGGTACAGCTGGACCGCAGTCGAACAGTGTGCGACCGCCGGTTGTGCAGGAGATGCCCTCTTGCGCGGTGCTCAATAAATACTACATCAATACAACGTCCTCCTATTACGACAACGTCCTCCCAGTTCTACATCAATACAACATCCTCCCATGTGAACCCCCCAATGACCCCGTTCCTTGGAAACCTCCCTTCAGGAGAAATGGACCTACTTTGAGGAAGACGTGGCTCTTCCCTTCTTCATTCGGGGTCCGGGTGTGCCTCGTGGCGTGTATGCCAGCACGGTCCAAGCCGCCATGGTTGATGTGACCGCTACCATTGTTGATATCGCGGGCGCTAAACCCACAGGAACGTACCGCTTGGACGGCGCACCCATTCCCTTGGACCTCATCTCCTCCCTCAACCCAACACCCAACAGCCCCTTCTACAACTACACGGGAGCATATTGGAACGCCCCATCAGGCACCGACATCACGGTCCTCGGTTCTCAGATGAGTACGGACATGTGTGTACGACAAACCCGACCACCGCCAATGCCCCCGCAGCCGCCGCGGCCGCCCCCATGCAAGGGCGCTGCATGCAAGATCAAGGGTTATACGTCTGATGACGATGATACGGAGGACTCCTTTCTGAGAACCGATGCACTGTATGACGTGGCCGTCCCTGTGCCATCTGAGGCAGCAGCGACGGCAGCAGCGGCGGAGGGCGGTGTTTCCGATAACGGAGGTAATCGGAGGCTGATTGCGGCTGGGGATGTCAACAGTGGTGTGGCAGGCGGCCGACTGTCCAACTGGTCAAATTTGTGAGTGCACTTTGGATTGGGTTTCGGGTTCAGTTTGGGGGGCGGGGGGTAGGAGTAACAGCATAGTGCGGCTTGGGAATCGGTTTGGGGTCCAATGTGCGGGCGGAAGGCGGGCCTAACAGCAAATGCCAAGGGTTACCAAGATTTATGACGACTGGAGACGGAAAGGGGTTGTACATACATCGCCGGTTGTGGGTTGTTGCCTTACCTCCTTTTGCCTTGCTGCACCGCTAACCCGATGTGCGCACTTGTGCCTCCCAGGGCGCTCATCGAGCAGTGGAAGACCGGCAAGACCTATCGGGGCAAGGACTACCGTGCGCTGAGAGCATGCATGCCGCCTGATGCCGCCATTTCGCAGTCGCCCCGGGGCATCCTGCGTACCGGCAATGCGTGCTACAAGTATATAGTGTACTGCAACATAAATAATGCGTACGGCGACCTCCGTCTCAACCAATTGTTCAACTTAACGGTCGACCAAGCGGAGGTCAACGACTTGCTGTGAGTTGCTGCCTTTACGGTATCTAATCTTTTTTGTTGATGGCCGAAACTAGTCTCATGCACTACCTCTTAAAGTGTGTCAACGGACATTGCCGTTCATGTACGGGATTGGCAATCGTTGTCTTGGGGCCTTGAAGGTCTCGCCAAATGACATACCCCCTTAAAGGTTTGTCTTCAATGTCCCTCTGCACAGGCTGAAGCTGCCACTGCCAAGTTACACGAGGCGTCTCGTTGACCGACTGGACGCAGCGTTGACCGTGATGTCGTACTGTTCGGGATCCACCTGCACCCAACCGTTTTCGCGAATTCATCCCGACGGTTCTGTTGTCAACCTGGCAGAGGCCATGGATCCCGCGTACGACAGCCTTTACGCTGGATTCCAAAAGCTGGATTTCTACAAATGCGCCGAGTATTACGATCCAGCAAACGAAATCCCGGATCCACGGTTGGTCCCCGTTGAGTGGACGGCTCCTCCTCCCAAGGCCCCTTTGAGCTATGCGCTTTCTTACAGCGGCTTGTCAACTGCTGCTTCTGCGTCTTCAGCTGATACTGCAACGGAGGCGGCAACGGTAGCAACGGCCACTGCTTCAAAGGTCGTTAGGAGGCTTCGTGTGAGGGGAGGTCGTGGCTCACGTCGGGGCTCCCGGTGGCAATAGCGGCGCACATTACACGATGTGGCTCGGATATTGGCTATAAGGTTAGGCAGCCTTCAGGATTGAGTTCAGTAATAATAAATCTACAACACTCCTTGAAGTTCTTCTTATGTTTGGTTGGTTACGGGATGTAAATCCTGCTGTTCAGTGGTAGATGATTTGGGTGGAAGGGTAATGGTAGGTCGCAGGAGGAGGAGACCGGTACGAGCAGGCAGGATGAGCGGCAACAAGCAATCCTAGCTGTCAATTCATGCAGTCATGAAAACGGGCAGTACTTGGAGGGACATCTGTTGTTGTGCAGTGTTGTGAAGTGCGGTTTGCGTTGAATACTCTTGTATGTGTTGAGAAGACGGAATCAATCGTGCGAAGATTTTTAGAATCCGGTGGCTACTTTATTGCATGCTGTGTCATACAAGTAACAATTACATGACATGAGATCGTACGAAAATGCATGCGCAAGATTGACAGGGCAGGATGATTGGTAACGTGTTGAAATTTATTGAACATCGTTGCCTGTCGTACGTAGATCTCTACAATGATTGCCGTACCCAAATGCTCAATACCACCACATTCGATGTGCGTGGAGTTGGTACGCTGGTTGGGGCAGTTCGTTCGTTGTGTTCGGAGGTACATTCAACCTTGTATGTGTCTTCAGTCAACAACACGGTCGTTGTTATGCCAGAGAAGTCGTCATGCCATCCTCATGTTCAGCGAAGTAAGCAGTGCTTTGCACCTTATTTACCAGGGGCTGGCAACCGGTCATGCATGAACAGGACATGCGTGCGGTATTTCGTTTGCTACTTCTCAACACAGTTGTCGTTCTGTATACCTGTTACTGACGCGTGTCGAAAGCCCTTGATGCACGTTGAAAGCACTTGATGCGTGCACCTGCTTGGTACACAGCATCGCATCCAATGAGCGATGCTATGTATGCGGCTGTGTGTGCGGGAGTCTTTGTATGTCGCGATTTCAAACCAGGTTGGGTGGCGTAGGTGTGTTGACCTAGTTGGGACATTTCGGCTTGCTTGCTTGTTGGGGAGCCCGCTTTGTTCGTTAAGCACAGCTGCCTGCTGTCAGGGGTTTCTGAGCCCTGTGTTTGTTTCTTTTTGCCTCTGCTGGCGCCATTGAGGGCTGCCATGGTATGGCCATCGACGCGGGAAATATGTTCCAGCGTTCATTTGCGCCCTGGTTGTCGTTATTTTGTAAGTCATACGTAAAGCCGTCTCCGGTAGGGCGATGTTCCTAACCAAGGGGTAACGTGCTGATGCTTATAAGGTTACCCGTTACCGGCTGCTATGAAATGCAAGGACGCAGGCAGATGTGTGTGGCTCGCAAACACACGGGTCTCCGTGGCTGCATTCAGCTTTGGGTAAGGAACTAATGATAGCGCGCGTTGTTCTAATATGTAAGATGGGCAATTATTGGTCTTGCCGGGGCAATGTCAATAGCCAAGCCATGTCATCCCATGTGGCGGCGTCTACACGGCTGCAAACATTGATGTGTGGGTCGCGTACACCAGCCGTACCTTTACTTGCAGGCAATCAGAATCACGTGCTTAACTGCTGATGCGTGGGCTGGTCAGGTTTTATTGTGTCGGCCAGGTTGCCGGGCCGGTGCCGGTTGGTGGTAAGGATCGTGAGCGCCACGATGACCCATGGGTCGGCATGCCCTACGTGCTGCTCCCACTTGAGTGGGCACTGGCCAAACCCTTCCTGTGCGCAGAGGTGTCGCCATGGCAGGGATTAACATAGCCTCTAGGTAGGGCCACAATGGAAATGCAGGCGCTCCGTCTTCGCAGATTGTTATTGTAATGTTAGCAGCTCAGCCACAAGCTCAGCACACAAGGTATCGTGTCTGATGAAGTCCGGCCGTGATAGGTTTTCCGAACTCAGCCCTCCATTTGTCAGCTGCCGGATAAGTACCAACGGAGATGACTAAACAATGCAACGGCTGCCTCGCTAGTCATTAGGGGTTGCTGCTACCAGCCTCTTCCTACACCCTCCACCTGGCTGCACAACTATTGGAATATCGGTACGGTGGTCTATACCCCTTCCACCCAGTTCCCCCGGTAGCACGTTATGTCACTCAAGACAGCACTTCTTGCAGAAGGGATGCTCCCATGTACACGAGCAATGGGGCATCTAAACCGAACTACAACTGCCGTACGTTCTAACCTTTAAGATTGGTATCGTATAAATGGACATACAGCTCAGCATCAGCTCAGAACACAACACTTCCTGGGAGCCGTGCGGGGTATGAAACGCACATAACGGGTATGTACAGACAGACAGGCAGGCAGAGAGGTAGGCAGACAATCAACAAGCCTGCTTCGCCAAACAACAAGATCATGAGCCCACCCCTCCACTCCTCTTCTCTATTTCGTCAGTCAAGCTGCACCACGCCAGCAAAGACGAAAGTCGTCTCTCCAAACGTCGTCACGGCCTCTGCCACGCCATGTAGAGAGAGAAAGAAACCAGAGTCTGATGGGCTACATTGCTTGCTAGACCACAGCTGCCTGCCACAGCTACGTTGCTTGCCATGCCATAAGGCACACAGACAGACACACACCTACTCGCGGCCAGTTTCTTATTTTGACACACACACACACACACACCAGGGAGGACTCCATCTTTCGGCAATCACAGTACGTTTCGCCTCGCGGCCATTTATTTTAACACACACCAGGGCCAGTTATTTTAACACACACCAGGACTCCATCTTTCGGCAATCACAGTACGTTTCGCCTCGCGGCCATTTATTTTAACACACCAGTACAGTGCCGTGGCTCAATCCGTTTTGTACGCCGCTTGCTGTTCACGGTTCACCAGTCTCTAACTAACCATGCAGTCACACGCTGACATGCATGCCCGTGTGAGCCGCACTAAAGCGGCCCATCTGCCATTCTATCTTAGCAATCTGCACTCAACCGCATCAGCACCTATCATCATTACAACCTTTTTCCAACGTCAGTTGCCTCTTCAGGATACTCTTACAGTGTATGTCACAGTATCGTACAGTTACGTCAGCAGATGACAACAGCTCGCGCTCCTCTATCCATCCATGCATCCATCCATGCTCGCGCTCCATCCCTCCTCGGCTCCGCCGGGCATCATTCAAGCCAGCCATCCAGCCGGCCGGCCGGCCACTCCACCATTACTTCTACATTGCTCCAAGCACAAGCCGTCACCAATGCAGCAGGTGCAGGAAGGGGAGGAGCTGTTGTTGTTGCTGCTGCTGCTGCACCGCTGCTGCCGCTGCTGCTGCAAAAACCGGAGCCCCCTGCTGAGGGAAGGGTCCCATGGGTCCCCCCACGTTGACAGTAGGCACACCAGCAGGCAGCTACGGTCCGAGCAGGTGGGCTGGGCAGCTGGTTGGTTGGTTGGTAGCGGTTAGCTGCGGTTGGCTGCGGTCCAGCTAGTTGCTACGCGCCGTTACCATCCTCTGTCGGGCCATATCGCCTCTTGCCATCTTCATTTACCGCCTGTACCAGATGCTGCGGTCGTCGCCTCGCCAGTCGTTCAACTGCTGCTACCCTAGCTAGCTACCACCCAGCGGTTACTCATTGTGTATAAATTTTAATCCTTGAGTTTCTGTCTGCTGGTGTGGGTTGGCTGCACCGGGTTCGGAGCCCAGCAAAGCCATTTTCCGTGTCAGCAGCCCATGACTGAGGGATGGGAACTCCCGTGGGCGCATACAACCCATGCATACGTACTGCATGAGGCGGGGTCCGACACTGGGCGGGGAGGTAGACCGCGGAGGTACATGCTGCGGACAAGCAGCCCTCGGTCGAAGGGTCCACCGCCTGCTGCCTTTTCCCATGCGCTTCTCGCTCTTTATCCCGCTGCTCTTCCTCGTCCTCTCCCATGTTCTCTCTTGCTTCTCCCTACTTGCTTCCCAGGCAGGTCGCGCAGGTAGCGCGCATCAGCTGAGGATGCCTTTGAAGTTATCCGGGTCGGTTCGAAGCCGGAAGTCTATGTCGTCAATAAAGTCCTGCGTGGGGTGTGAAACACATTTAAAGCTAAGGTCCTATAAAAGGTAGGCACAGAGTCGGTACGTGTTGTATGTGGGCAATGGCCTAATGGGTGTAATGATTTGCGTGATGCAGGGAGCAGCCGCTAAGACGTCGTGTGTAATGTGTCGGTTTGTCGTACCGTACCTTGCGAACGGAGACCATGGGATACGACACAAGTTGCACTCGAATGCCCAGGTGCCCGATCACAAGTGCCGTACTCTCAAACTCCACCACCTGCAACGGTGCGAAGACAACCGGCATTCATTGGAGGCTGTCATTTCAGGCGGACTATCCTGGGGGTTGATGTTGATGGTGCATACACGCAGGGATCCCGGGCCCATGTGCCGTCCGTAGTACTTCTGTAGAAACTCGTACATTCGTGCAAGCACACAGCAAGATGAAGATGACCCAAAAGCCCAGAGCCTGCAAAGCAACGTACCGTGACCAGCAACGGCGTATCAGCATCGTCCGCTAAAGGTGCGCCCGAACGTAACGGTCGTTCGTACACAACGTACTCCCAACCGTCGTACGTTACAACCAACTTGAGTGTCGTACGGGCCACGTCAGAGGGGAGGCTCAGGCATTCCTGTAAGGTTGGCCACCACCAACCGCGAGGCGCAAAGATGCAAACACAGCGGCATAAGGCACAGGGTTAGGCCCGCTGGTCAGCAGGCAGGTCGTTAGTTTGAACATCCGGTAATGCCGAGCGTAGCACTTGCATAGCTACAAATGTCGGTCGCCTTTACCGGAAGCAGCTGCATACGGAGGCGCATTGAAAACGTTTACATTACATGGCAGCATGGCCAGGCCCCAAATTTAGCGCTGCTGCATTGCTTTCCTCGCTCGCACCCCCAGTCCAGCAACATGCAGCAGCCCCCAGCCTGACAGCCCAAAGGACGCAGCAGCCCCTAGCAGTCTCCCAACCACCGGCCAGGCCTGCGGCCCCGCACAGCCTGTGCATCCCACATAAAGAGAGGGGAAATCTGGTACGTCCTGTGTACCGGTGTGTGTGTGTGTGTGTCGGCAGTTGAGAGCAGGCGGACTCGCGCACGCACGCATGCACCCACCATATCGGGTGTGAAGTGGTAGTACAGGCGCGATGACGCGGGGGAGCCCAGGTGAGGCGGCAAGCTGCCGGGCGAGAAGGCTCGTTGCATGAGGTCGCGCGCAAGGCCCTGTGGGGTGATGCGGAGGGCGGGGCGGGGAAAGGAGCGGGTTGGGGAGGGGAGAAGAACAGCAGGGGGTTGGTAAGAAAGGTGAGAGGGGGTGGCTGCGTTGAGATCCTGAAGCCGCAGACGCCGGCTTAGGTTGTAAGGTTGTTTGGAAATGTAAGTGGGGTAAACAGGAGGGACGCAAAGTAGAAAGACATGCCGTGGCCCTGATGTATCGAGTGCTGAAGCTCAGCTCAAGCTGGACCCGCACGTTAACCGCCGTGCATGATGAAATCCCAACCACGTAATGTTGTCGCGCTGTTTGAGGGCACGGCAGATTCCGTAAATGTGCACGTGCACGAAGCGGCTGTAAGCTCGAACCCAAATGGGGCCCTTTGGGTTGGGCCCAAGGAAACAGGAAGCGAATTTGCTTAGTGCAAAGATCTGCAAACAGCGGTTATGCTACGGTACTCTAATGGGAAAGGCGGTGTGCCTATTGCGTCGGAAAGCGCCCGGCAAGATAGGGTCGCTTGCAGACCTACCGGCACGCGAACCGCAAGTTATCCAGAATATTCTATTTGGGTTCGTGACTGCTAACAATTGCACTACATTACAATGCTGATGTCGCCAGTTCGAAGCTTTGCGTTAGTTGCAAGATTGGGAACGCCTCGCACCTGAAGCTCCTCGACTCCGGACAATCTTTTCAATGATAGGCAATGATGTCGTGACTTTGATGCCAGCGTATGCCAAGATACGAACAGCCCAAGCGACAGGCTTTTCCTTGGGAAGCGGCTTGGTGATGCGTCAAGGGGCTCGGCGCATAATAAGCGCTTCATGCCACTGGATGGTCCCGCTTCACCAATTTCATCGTTAGCTTGGGATGGCAGATGCTCGTGTGTGTCGGATAAAGCCATGTTCGTCCGATATGGGTCAGAGTCAACACCATATACGTGTTTTCAGCAAGTTTGCTACCTAGCGCCACAGGAAGGTTTACCATGAGGCTTGGAGCTGGGGTGTTGGTTGGGAAGTTGGGCTGGTTGGGTAGCTTTTGCACGACAGTGCCGTAAGACAACCACGCCGTGATGCACCCCGTCCAACACGCTGTTGTGATGCGCATGAGTTGCTTGAACAGACCGTAGATCTAGCTATTCAATCCGTTAGCTTGGGACTCGCTTCATAATCCTGTCAGCCTTCCTCAGTTGTGCCCTCTAAAACATTTTCCTAGTACACATGACGCAAACGTGACTTTCAATGATTAGGAAAAATAGGAACATAATCCACTTCAAGAGATGTCTTCTGGCCGCTACGTAGGCCTAGTCATCCTTCTTCCTACAGTGGAGGTGCTGGCGTAGCATTGACATAGTGTTAACATACGACATTACCTAACCTAGGAGCCGCCGGACTCAACCATGGACTTGCTGACACAATACGGGTGCGGGCTGTCGCCGTCGTGCTTTCAATAGAAGCTTCAGCACCTCGTTTTGCAAGAGGGAAATAACGGACGGGAATTGCGTTCTGCTGGAGCAGGGAGGATGGCGAAGATCTAGATGTGGGCGCTCCTGAGAGCCCTACTGCCCAGGAGGCAGCAGCTTCACGTCCGCAGCTAAACCTAGCAATCTCAGCAGCGCCGCAGGTACGACCTGGTCCTCGCAGGGAAGGCTTAATGGAACACTTGCCCGGGGCCACCTAACAACCCATTACCCGTTCAATTGCTACCCTTTCCTCTCGCTGGGGCGTATTTCCGCTTTTCTGCCGGCTTCCTTTCATGTCACCCCATTTCATGTCCTGGGCTCAATGTCTAGCCTCCTGTGTGACAATCGAAGCGCCAGCTACACCGTGTTTGCCTTGGTTCTTGTCGTACCGCACGCACACATCTTCACTGCACATGGCGTTCCCGTTTGGCCATCCCAACAGGTGGACACGACTGGGATGGTACTGTACGACAATAAAGCCCAATCCCTGGGCGATGTACGGAAGTTGCAGGGTGAGTACATCCCGCCTTCCTCCGCACAGCACACCCAGGTCGCCGCTGCCCTCCTAGCGGTGTGGTCCGCTCCTCGCACAGCCACACAGCTAAAGCACAGAAGCAGGGCAGCAATAGCACTTGGCAGTCCTTGTACGTCCTGGATGTACGAACGGAAGGCTTCCTGATCAGCTCCACGGCTCCCCTGGCGTGCACTGACTTCAGCCTCACAGCCCGCAAGGTGTTTAACATGAAACACCCTGCCCACCTGCACACCCCTCCACACCTCCTCCTCTTCCCTCCTGCCCACCTGCACACACCTCCTCTCTCCCCTCCTCCTGCCCTCAGACGCCGGCGCCCGGAAAGTGATGTACAACTTGCCGTACGAGGACCTCTACGCTCCCGTACTAGGTAGGCCTCCATGCTCCGATAGCATGAAGCAGCCTGGGAAAGCCACTGTTGATGTGAAGGTTACTAGGGGTTTCCTTGCCGGGAGCTCCTGTTCTTGGCTTTGTCGTACTGCTTGCTCGTGGCTTGGCTAGTTTGGCAGGTTTAGTCTGGGTGGGGTCGGGTTTGGGTCGGGTCGGGTTTGGATGGGCGGGATGGGAGAGCGAAGTGGGGTGAGGCTGGCGCCGGGACGGGTGTCCTCGTGACGTTATGACCAAGCCTGGCTCTGGAGGACGCAGCAGGACCATCAGGGTGTGCGCAGCGCACCTTCCTTCCTTCCTTATCCCCTTCCCTTGCTGCTCGCCCACCTGCTTTGTCTGCCTGCCTGCCCACCTGCCTGCCTGCTTTGCCTGCCTGCCCGCCCACCAGGCCCCGCGCACCCCTACCAGAAGGACGGGCTGGCAGCGGGCTACAAGAACCACTTTGTGGGGCATGTGGAGGTGAGGAAGGGAGGAGGGAGGGTGGGAAGCAGGGAGAGAGGGAAGCAGGGAGGGAGGGAGGGGTTAGCAAGGCATCCATGGTTATGTCAAGGAGGAAAGGATATGGATGGGGAAGTTCTGCATCGCCCACGTGTCGCCCTTGTGTATTCCTTTCTCCCTCTCCTCCGCTTTCCACCTCCCTACCTCCCTCCCTACTTCCACACTTCCCAGGACGCGCACATGCACCCCTACCACTTCGAACGCGAGTACCACAACTTCCATGCATTGGGCTATGGAGAGGCGCCCAGCGGGATCGGTAAGAAGGGGGGGTTGGCATGCGGGCGGGGTGGAGAGGAGGGGTGGCATGCTGGGGACGGGGGCTGCTGCTGCTGCTGCTGCTGCTGCTGCTGCTGCCTCGCGTTGGTACTACGTCCACCGACTTGACTACTAGGGGACTGGAGGTGGCGGGGTTGAAGCGGACCGGACTGAATTGAGAGCCGCAACCCAGCGAACCCACACCACTGCGCCGGTACTGCTGCACCGCTCATGTGCGCTCATGCCGGTGTGTCTCGTGCTAGAAGAGGGGTTGCTAACAAACTGACACATGCATGTTGTGCATGCTGTGTGTGTGTCGTGCTGGGCCCTCAGGTGTGGTGGGGCGCCCGGTGGACGGGGAGGCGGTGGAGGTGGACGGCGAGGGCGGCCCCAGCGCCTGGAAGCGCAGGAAGACCACCTCGGAACGCAAGGCGGAGCAGGTGGGGAGGGGGGGCTGGGGTGAAGGGCTGGGAGAGCATGAAGTAGAGAAGCTGGGAAGGTGTGAGCGGGGCTGGGTGGGGGTGGGTGGCGGCAGCAGGGTTGCCCAAGTCGCACGCCGTACGACAGTGAAGTGGAGGTGAACATCTTTGTGAAGGATCCGTTTGGGTGTGCAGGTGTGAGGGCGAGGGCGAGGGGCCCTGGCATGGGGCCCTTGGGGTGGGGTGGGAGCGCGGTAGCCTGGGGTGGGAGGCCCAATTCCTAGCTCAACTTACCCTGCCCCGCCCCGACCCAAATCACATCCCCAACCACCACCCCTCCCCTCATGCTTTACCCCCCCTTGCCATGCATGCATGCATGCATGCCCCCCCCAGGCTGTTCGCGCCAGCCGCCTAGCGGAGCCGCTGGACCCCAGCCAGCCCTTCCGGCTCATGGAGCGGCAGCCCTGGGCCAGCAAGGAACGCGAGGTGGGCAGGGGTTGCGGGTGAAGGTGCAGCGGGGGGTGGAGATTGGAGATGGGGGTAAAAGAGGTCAACTAGCCGCATGGCACGGCTCCACCAGCGGGGTGGGGGGTAGACCGCATTGCCCACCGCATGTGCGACTGCATGGGCCGCAGCCTCGCACTGCAACCTGAACTGGCACTGTGCCTCCTGCTGCTGTGTACCTAACTGTGCCTGTTGTACCCCTCCCCGCCCCCATCCCCTCCCAAGGCATTGGGACTTCAGTTGCTTCGCTTCTCACTTATTTCCTCCCCCCCTGGTCTTCTATGGTGTTTGACTCCTCCTCCTCCCATGCTGTGCCCCCCCCCCCCCAGGTTGCTGACCTCACGGAGGAGCAGAAGGAGTACATCGCCAAGCTGGATGCGGCCAAGCTGGAGGCGGCGGCGGGGGCAGTGGACAGCAGCGGCCCCACCTCGTTCTTCCACGGCAAGGAGGAGAAGGACTACCAGGGCAGGTGGGAGGGGCGGGGGGGAGGAGGGTGTGGGGAGGAGGAGGGGGAGGAGGACAGAGGAGGAGGAGGAGGAGGAGTACAAGGCAAGGGAGGGCAGGGGAGGTGGACATGTCCTGGTAGTGTTGAGCTGTTGACGGATCGGTACGCAGGGTGACGGTACACAGGGCGGGGGCGTGATCTGTGATTGTTAAGCACTTCTCGTGTACACCCTCCCCCCCCCCCCCCCGTCCACCCCTCAGGTCCTGGGTGCTGCCGCCTCGCGACAAGCGCAGGGAGTCGGACAACTGCTTCCTGCCCAAGCGCTGGGTGCACACCTGGTCGGGGCACACCAAGGGTGTCAACGCGGTGAGCGGGAGGGAGGGGGGCGCATGGGCGGGTGGGGTGGGATGGAGTGGGATAGGCAGTTGGGATGGAAGGGGTTGGGGTGGATTTGGAAGGGCAAATGGGATGGCATGGGTCAAGGTGCGCACATGACAGGAGGTTGGGTTGGTTTGGGGGCCGGCTTTTTCTGTAGCGCGACTGACCCATGGGTCCCATGGGTAACAAATGCCACTCTTTCGCAGCCTTTTCTCCCTCGTGGTAACCTGCCTTCACAAGGCCTCCTCCTTTCCTCAGCCCCTTGCGTTTATCCCGCACCGCCACTACTCCTCGCTGCGCCTTTCACCCCACCCACCGTACCTGTCCTCACCGCGCCCTTCACCCTTCACCGGCTCACCCCCCCAAACACACACGCACCCAGGTCCGCTTCTTCCCCGGCAGCGGCCACCTGCTGCTGTCTGCGGGCCTAGATGGCAAGATCAAGATCTGGGACGTGTACGGCAGCGGCAAGTGCATGCGCTCCTACTTGGGGCACTCCAAGGTAGAGAGTGGGGGCGGGGCGGGGTCGGAATGGGGAGGGGGCGCGCAGCGACATGCATGGAGGAGTGTAGGGCCCTCAGGACACGAACTGGGGGGTTGTCCACCAGTGCAGTGCTCCCCTGCTGTGTACCCTGCTGTGTACCCTGCCCCCATGCACCATCTCCCCACCTCCTCTGCCTTTCTTTTCGCGGCCACTTTTCCTAATCTACACACTCACGCACACGCCTCTGCAGGGTGTACGCGACATCTGCTTCTCCAACGACGGCCGCCGCTTCCTGTCCACTGGATACGACAAGAACATCCGACTGTGGGACACGGAAACGGGCACCGTCATCAAGAGCTTCAACACCGGCAAGGTGGGGGAGCTGGGGGGGGGTAGGGGGCCAGGGGGAGGAGCTGGGGGCAGCAGGGGGTTGCTATGCGATCCCTTTGCTTTGCTTTCACCTTTGCGTGCCATGTACCCACTTTGTTCGTGCGCTGCCACAGAGTTGATACAACAGAGTTCGTCGTCAAGCTCGTAGTTAGTGTGCGAATACCGGTATATGCGGGCCTCAGTCGCTGGACTGTATTCACACGTATTCCCTCTGGCTTGCCCGCCCGCCTGACCCGCCCGCAGGTGCACTACTGCGTCAAGTTCCACCCCGGGGACGACCGGCAGAACGTCTTCATGTCGGGCTGCCAGGACAAGAAGATATACCAGTTCGACACGGACACGGGTGGGTGGGTGGGTGGGTGGTGAGGTGGGCATGCCGGTCGGGGGCCGAGGCAGCGGCAGGGCTAGAAGCAGGCACCTGTGGGAATGCGACAAAGGGGGGGTACGACTGTCGGCTAGCCGTACACCTACGCGCCCGCATGTTTGCATGCCTTGTGATGTGTCGCTTGCAGCTGACCTCTCCCGCATCCTCTCAATCGCAACAGCTTGCTCAACACACGTGCATGCCTGCCTGCCCTCTGCCCCTTCTCGCCTGCCTGCCTGCCTGCCTGCCCTCCTATTCGCATGCTTAAATGCCCTCCTCTCCCCTCCTCCTCCCCCTCCTGCTGCTACAGGCGAGGCGGTTCAGGAGTACAACTACCACCTGGGCCCCGTCAACTCCGTCACCTTCATCGACGAGGGCCGCCAGTTCGTGTCCACCTCGGATGACAAGACCATCCGCGTGTGGGAGCTGGGCATCCCCGTGCAGATCAAGTACGTGGCCGACCCCTCCATGCACTCCATGCCCGTGGTGGCCACCCACCCCTCCAAGAACTACCTGCTCATGCAGAGCTTGGACAACCAGGTGGGTGGGTGCGGGTGCGGGTGCGGGTGCAGGGGGACGGAGAAGCACCAAAGCACAAGTGGGGGCAAGGGGACAGAGGGGATAGGACCCCATAGGAGGTGGCAGGGTGCCACAAGGCATGGGATGGTTAGCGGTGTGTGGGGTAGTAAGAAGGAGGAAACTGTGTGGGGGTGGGTGGGTGGGTTCGGGTAGCGGATCAGAGAGAAGCCAATCCATATGAGACCGGTGTTGCTAGTTAGGGCAAGGCATTGGGAATAGGAGGCGGCGGCGGGGGTCGCGGGGTGGGGTGTCTTGAGGCATGTGGCGGGAGCTGGTCCATGCTTTCTTTAATGATCCTACAGTTTGTAACGGGGTTCTTAACAACCCAGTTTCCTCCTCCCCTCAAGTGCTTGTCCTGTGCCCCTCGCGCTGAGCCCACCCCCGCGCTGCACGTTCCAACATGCATGCGCACCTGCAGGTGCTGACCTACATGATCAAGGACGGGCGCTTCAAGTCGCAGAAGAACAAGACCTTCAAGGGGCACAACACGGCGGGGTACGCCTGCCAAGTCAACTGCTCGCCAGATGGGAAGTAAGTTTGCGTGTGTGGGGAAGGGGGGCTTCGCGCAGGGGAATGAGTGACGTGGTCCGCAACAGTTGGTACGGCAGTGAGGGAACTTCAAGGAGGGCCACATGTGCACATGACCATACAGTCCAGACAGTCATGAAGCCAGGGACCGGACTGGCTTCGGAAGCATAAAGCAGAGTTTGGTACCCGTCTTGACTTTTCAAGATGCTGGGACGAGGGCTGCTGTTTTAATGCTTTCATTAAGGTCAATGACCATCTTTGGGTCGCTAAACCTGCACTCCCCAACCCTCCATAGCTTCCGAGCAGCAGTAGCAGCTGTACGCTTGCGCGGCAGCCCTACAGCCCCTTTGCACCGCACTGAAAACCCTAACCACATCTTTCCACATCAACCCCCCCTACTTGGCGACAGGTACGTCATGTCAGGCGACTCGGAGGGGCGGTGTTTCTTCTGGGAGTGGGGCGCGCCTCAGAAGATCGTGCGCACCATCAAGGCCCACGACGCGGTGTGCATTGGCTGCGAGTGGAACCCCATGGAGAGCAGCAAGGTGGCCACATGCGGCTGGGATGGGCTGATCAAGTACTGGGATTGAGGGGGAGGAGGAGGGAGAGGAGGAGTTGTTGCGACTGGGAACGGAAGTGGCTGGGAGCGGAGGGGGGGGGGGTTGCAAGGCTGCTTTGGGGATTGAGAGCTGGAGACGGCTGGGAGGGTGAAGTTTATTGGGATTGAGGCAGGTTGGGGTATAGGCTGTTGGGATGAGGGTAAAGAGGAAACATCTAACTGACCGTGGGATTAGGGTGGTGTCTGCTGGGTGCCTGTGAGTCGTGTGCGCGGTGCATCAGCGGAGCTATCGGTGGTGTGGGGTAGCTGAAGGGGAGGGGATGCGGCGGAAGAGCTCGCTGGCTAGGGGCCATCCTAGGCGTTACTCGTGCATTGGCTCTCGGGCTTGCTTCTCCGGCCGCGGCTGTGTGGAGTTAGCTGAGGAAGTGGGTCAGGGGATTTGGGGGCTGTGGGAGGACGTACCAGCGCCTCCGTTGGAACAGCGTCACGCTACTAGTGACGGACAAGGCAGGCCAAGGCCAGATGCTACGATGCGCCGTGTTGCGGGGCAACACAGTGGATACAGCAGTAGTTGGGAAGATGCTTAGCGTGGATGGTCACTGTGCAGATATACCCACATGGGTCTCGTTATTTTGTTGCGGACACAGACCACGAACGCGACAGGTTAACCGAGCGAGCAGGGATTGGCTGCTGCACCTCCTTGTAATAAGCTGCCGTTCTATGCAAGACGGTGCAGTGCCGGAGGTTTTGTTCGGAAAGACCTGATATGCTTGTTACGTGCGGCGCCGGGTATTGGAATTTGATGTCAACCGTGGTGACAGCCGAGAACGGTAAATGTGACAAGTGAGTGCACGGTCAATTCCCATAGGTACCCCTGGAGCATACCAAGTCCTGGTGCGAGACATTGCTGATTGCTGCAAACCTGTTGCAAGTCAACCTTGGATACCGAGTTTCAACCCAGGGAAGATTTGGGCAAGGATATATATATGCCCTAGGAATAAAGCACATGGGAATTGCCGTCATACACCCATGAGGGTTCGCAGCATCACAAGTACAGATTGCACGTGGGTTGGTTCAAATATTGGTGAACGGCACCCTGTTACAAGTATACAGCTTTAGCACTACGCTGAACGTATGACTTCTTCATACTGTTTGTAACACTGCCTGCAACTCCAGTGGCCTTTAATGAATTAATAGGACTTACTGTCACGTCGACAAGGGACCTTGAAGATTCTTTTCAGCTGATGACACCCCTTCGAAACCAACTCGTTTAAGGTTTACAGCCACAGCTGTAAGCTTGCTTATTAGGGGGTACGCTCGGTAGTCCTCAAAATGAGCGCCGATGCTGAGGCGGCAGCTGAGAGCAGATATGAAGTTCGGGAAGTTATTGGAAAAGGAGCCTTTGGTGAAGTCAATCTCGTAGTGGAGAAACAATCGAAGCAGAGGTATGTTGGATGTTCCTCCCCTGAGGCCCCGGGCCTGTTCAAGCCGTTCGCTAGGCTTCATAAACTAGCTTTATGTATCCTGCCATTCTAGTTGCTCCTATCACACCCCGAGTAATTACCTGGAGTGTCTGTTTTTGCGTAATTGCATTTGAGCACACGAAACCAAGCGATTCATTTTGCCCCCAGGTATGTTCTCAAGCGCATTAAGATGGCTCGCCAGAGCGAATGGCAACGGAAGGCTACGCGGCAGGAGATTGAAATTGTAAGTAACAACATGAAGGAATGTAACTCGACAACCACGTCAGGCCCGCCCTGCAGCTATCTGCCCATCCTCTTATCCTTCATGTTCCACATACTATTTGCGCCACTAGTCTTTGCAAAGCGAAGCCGGCTTTTGTGGCTCTTCGCCATGGGTCGAACTTTGTCCCTCGTCGTCGTGACTTCATGTCTTGCATTCCCTTCGATTCGCGTGATGCATTCTGGTTTACGTAATTAACAGGGAAAAGCATGCCGCGCAATGCGGGTTGCGGAGAAGTGCGACGGCTCTGGCTAAGGGTTTGCGCCTTACTAAGCCTGACAGGCAACGGCACGCCATGTATGTACCGAGACGGTTCCCCAAACGTCTCCCGTGCAGGTCTCTCGCTTGCGGCACCCCTTCATCATGCCATACAAGGAGCACTGGATACACCACGGTCACACCATTAATGTCGTGTATGGCTACTGTGAGAAGGGCGACCTGTCATCGGCCATTACAAAGCAACGGGTAAGACGCTACGTAGCCTCCAGCGCCCTGAGCCAGCCGCCTCATTACCATTCCCGTCATAAGCCAAATGCGTCAAATTCATCCTGAGCAATCACCATTCAATCAATTTATACCTGGATTCCTGACACTGGAAGTACACAGCATGGGTCCTGGCGCCGGGGGGTGGTGGCGCCCTACAACGCATCCTTCACAACACCTTATCCCTTCCCTCCCATGCGGAAACCCTAACATGCGCAGGGCAAGCCCTTTCCCGAGGAGACGCTGCGGCTGTGGCTAGCTGAGTTGCTGCTGGCCGTGGAGTACATGCACCGACAGAACGTGCTGCACAGGGACATCAAAACCCCCAACATCCTGCTGACCGGCGACGGCGACGTGCAGATTGGCGACTTTGGTCTGGCCACCGTACGGTAAGAGAAGGCGCGTCGCACAACGTAGCATCCAGGGCTTGCGAATCTTACCAAGTAGCCTGCTTGCACCGGCCGTAGCTCAACCACGTTATCTACTTTTCGCCTATCATTGCCTGCTTGTTGGGGCTGAGCTGCTGCCTGTCATTCAACTGCTTCCCCACACTTCTTCCCCGGCATGCAGCGTGCACGGCGACGTGATACAGCTGGACTTGGGCTCGAGCGGCGGCGCAGATGACTCTTCGGACACGCGGCCGGACGCCTCAGGGTCTTCGGACAACAGCCATGGCGGCTCCGCGGGCACTCCCGAGCGGCCGCACCCTGCACACCTGCATGCCAACGCGCACCTGCCGCAGGCCGGCAACGACGGCGATAAGGACCGCGATAAGGACCAGGCCGGGGGGCACACGCCCGTTCACGATAAGGTTGGGATCTGGGCCAAGGGGTTCTTCTGGGCGTTGTGCGAAGATGCAGCTGTAAGACGTGGCGTTTGAAGCAGCTGCCGGTTTGTGTCGGGTCCAGAGGTTGTCGCCCTGCTCTGCAAATCTTATGCCGCTTCCCTGGAAACCAACCCAGCCTCCGCCTTCGTCTTGTCTTGCCTCCCTCCCTCCCGGCGTAGGTTGGCACCCGCAACGACTACGCGCTAGTGGGCACCCCGCACTTCATGAGTCCGGAGCTGCTTTCGAGCCAAAAGTACTCATACGAGACTGACATCTGGTACGTGTGAACAGTTTTTACCCACAGAAAAGTGCTCGTAGCCCCTGCTGTGACGGTGCATATGGGGCGCAAGAACGTATCAAGTACCTGGTGACAAGGCTAGAACCGCGACCGTATGAGGGTATTGCATGAGTCAGCGCGGCTCGCTGGCTAGACGTTAGTCCCTCCCGGCCCATTCCCCCATCCTTGCACCATTAGCAGGAACCCGCATGCATGTGGTATCGGCGTCTCTTTACCTTATCCTTTACTCCCGTATTATTGGCTCCGCCCAGGTCGCTGGGTGTTGTGATGTACGAGCTGACCACCCTCAAGCCGCCCTTCAACGCCTTCAACCTGGCGGGCCTTGTGGCCAAGATCAAGCGAGCCGCGCTGCCGCCCATCCCGACCACCTACTCTGCTGACTGGGCCTCGGTCCTCAAGAGGTGCGCGCACTACATACTGACATGGTTGCTCGCTAGGGAATGCTGTTATTAACAGCCGTCACTACTGAGGAAGCTGACGCCTTTCGATCCAAGTCGCTTACGTCCTGCCTTTCTTCTCTTCTCATCTTCTCTTCTTCCCTTTTCTTTCTCCCTCCCGCTCAACAGCATGCTACGCAAGGACCCCACCCGCCGCGCTGGTGCTCTGGAGATCCTCACCATGCCCTCCATGCAGCCCGCCCTCCAGCAAGCGCGACAGCGCGCCCTGGTCATCGCACCAGACACCGTCTTTCCGGACATTCCCTACTCCGAGCCCTCACCCGCGCCCAGCGAGGGCGGCTTCTGCTTTGACGTGCCTGGCGGTGCGGCGGCATCCCACCGCACGCCCTCTGCAGGCGGTGGCATGTCCACCACGCCCGTCCTGGTCTGCCCGGATGAGGGCGGGAGCCTGAAGGCCGAGACCAGCAGCGAGGGAGCGGAGGCCTCGCCCATGCCCAAGTTTCCTGACCTGGAGTCCGAGCCCTCGGGCGCATCCGCCAAGGCCCCGAGCTCTAACGTCACGCCCAGGCGCGCACGCGCTAATACCGTACCTAACGTCCACCTAGCTGGTGCGGGTGCGGGTGCTGGGGCTGCAGCGGCTCACGAGGGCTGTCGCGCGAAGACGCCTGTGGGGTCCCGGAGGACTGCGGCGACGACCGCGACACCGACGGCAGCGGCCAAGCGTCACCCCACGCCGCAGGCCGCGGGTGCCGGAACCGCACGTAGCCGGACGCCGGCGCGGGCTGCGGAGGACGCAACCGCACCCACACACACCCCGGGCCGCATGGTTCGTAAGGCGTCATTGCCTCGGACACGGCCGATCGCCACGCCGTCAGCGACGGCGACTCCGGCGCCGTCGGTTCCGGCAACGCCGCGTGACGAGGCCTCTGTTGCTGCAGGGCATGGGCACGCGGCTGCGGCTCCTGAGAGGCCCGTTAGCCGCCTCCGGACAGAGTCACTTACTGGCGGAGCTTCACGCCACCCTACTCCGCTCAGCGCTCGCTGCACCAGCAGCAGCCGGCGGGCTACTACCGACTCGACACCCTCTCCAACCGGCGCCACCGCAGCGGCGGCCGGAGCAGCTCCCATACCTCTCCTTGTATCCCCCATTGCCGTACCCTCGCCTGTCACCACCCCCAATGGCGACACGGACGCGGAAGCGGTCACCCCTGACGCCCACGCCGCAGCTGGTGTCGCTGGTAAGTTTGGCAGCGCGCCTCCCACCGCTACTGCCACCACACCCACCAGCGGCCCCCGCGCTCATCACAAACTGCCCCCAGGCGGCACCGCAGCCTCCACCGCAGCTTCCTCTGGTCGCACTCGGGACTCCTCCGCGTGCCGTACCACCCGCGCTAGTTCCTTCTCAAGCGCTCGTCCCACACGTACGGGTTCCGGCGCCTCTGCGGCTTCACCGGGTGGTGTTGCTGCTGGTGTCGCCGCCGCTAGTCCCACCTCGGCTCGGCGCACGTCCGCTGCCACGACTGCTGCTGCAACCACTGCGGACTGTCCCGGCACGGGTGCCGGAGGAGCCTCGGGGCGCTCCATGTCTGCGAATCCCATCACCCGCCGGCGGTCGCAGCCCGGTAACGCTCTCAGCAAGGAGTCCAGCAGAGAGGGCTCCGAGGGTGCTGCGCTATCGACGCGGCCGACACCAGAAAGGCGTGTACGGCGGACGTCCTATGTGTCGCACAACAAGCCTAGCGGCTCGGACGTGGCGCACCGGAAACCGGCCGGCGTGCCATTGCCAGCCTCGCCTGCTCCGGCGGCGGCCACGACGTCGGTCAAGGCGCGTAGCCCGCGAGCGGCAGCAGCACCTGCTGCTGCTGCTGAGTCGTCTGTTGAGCACATCGGCCTTTTGGCCTCTCACCCCATCGTGGACTCTGATACCGGAAACGGCAGCTCCACGGGTACCTCGGCCGTTGCCTCCGCTATCACCTCGGCCGTTACCTCGGCCGGCGGAAGCTCCTCCTGCACTGAATCCGTGCCTGTCGTACCGCCTTCTGGAGAGCCCTCGGCAGCAACCGTTGACCTTCCCGCCATTGCTTCGGAGGCTTCAAAGCTGTCGGTCTGCAGCGCGGCGTCTGTGGACGCGTCACGTGCAGCAGTGGCAGGAAGGGCAGTGGCAGAGCGGCCGGGGATTCCGCTGCCGCCGATGGGGGCTTCGCCTCCCGTCTCCGGCGGTGGTGCGGCGGGCTCGGTCTTCAACCACTCGTGGATGTCAGCGCCGCGCTCTCAGTGCTCGCTGATGTCGGTGACAACCGAGGATTCCGAACTATCGATCCCGGATGGAAGGTCCGTAATGCTGTTGATGTTGGAAGGGTTGGGTAATTGCCAGTCTGTGGCCTCGTTGACCGGGCGCTCGTCTGTTACCACGGTACATTAATGTTCCGATGTTGCCGATTAATGTTCCTTTGGGAATCTATGTGTCTGTTTCCATTCGTTGTTCCTGAAACGTAGAAACAACATATCAATGCTAATTGCACTCGTCCCCAACCTTCGAACATCCTGTATTACCCACCCATGTTGCCCGCTGCAGATACGCCACCCCCGAGGGCTCCACCGGTGGCGGCCTGCTAGACGGCGAGGCCAGCTCGGGCGTGGGAGCGCAGCCGGGAGCCGTGCCGCTCTGGAACAGCAACCAGCTCTACTCGGGCAGCTACGGCAGCTTTGGCGGCGCCATGAGCGAGTCTGCCGCAGCCGCGGCTGCAGCCGCCGGGGCGGCGGGCGCCAGCCTGGGCGGCGCCCGTTCTTCGGAGCTAGGAGGACTCGCCTCGGCAAGCCCCTCGGGCACGCTTACAGTCGACCTGCCGCGCCGCGTGTCTATCTCTGTGTTTGCGCCGGCCTTGGGCGCCGGGAACAACATCAACAACGGCAGCGCTGCCGGGCCAGATGCCCCCGCTGCGTCTTCGCCTAGTGCCGCCGCTCCTAGTGTTCTCCAACATCCTGACGATGACCGTAAGCAGCATGCTGCGAGTGAAGAGCCAGAGGGCAAGGCATCCCCACACAGCAGCAGCGCGGGCGGCGCGGCAGGTGATGAGGCAACGACTGCATCGGAGCAAGCACGTGGCAGCGTTTCCGTAGCAGATGCGGATGAAGTCGCCTCTTCATCGCTATCTGGCGGCGGTGACCTGGGCGGCGAGTTGGGCACCCTTAGCGAAAGCGTGTCCACAGGGGCAGCCTCCTCACCCTCCGCTTCCTCACCCTCCGTTTTTGGCCCTTCCCCGGCCGGCAGCCCCAGCAACCCAGCTGCCGCAGGTGCCACTGCGGCTGCCACTGCTGCTGCTGCCAACGCAGCCGCAGCAGCAACTCGACGACGACAAACTCAGGACCGAATCTCCCCCCGCAGCACATCCTCTTCCCAAGTGCCGCAGCTGCGCTCCGCTCGAAGTCTGGACGCCCGTGGCAGCAGCGGTGGCAGCGCCGCACAGGGCTTGTCTCCGCGCCTCTCCCCACGCATTTCGCCACGCACCGCCCTGCTTGCGGAGCCCTCCTCAGGTGGCTGCTCTATGGCTTCGACCGCTAGCGCTCAGCGCTCGTTCGCCGGCTTCGTCATCCACCAGCCCCCCAGTCCCTCTGGCTGGCGCATCGGCGCCAACGGCTCGCCGATGTCCATGGCGGAATCCGCGGGCTCCTCCACAGACGCCACCTCCCCGCTCCGCCCTGTCGCCGAAGGCGAGGAGGGGTTGCTACGTGACGAGGAGGCACAGTCCGCTCCACCACCTGCCGTTGCTGCCGCCGCTGACGGAGCCATGGGGGTGGCGGGCAGTCGCGCGGAGCGGCTCCGAAACCACGCGGTGTACTCGCTGAGCTCCTCGGAACGTGAGCAGTTGGTTTTGTTGCAGCGTGTGGTGGGCATTGCGAGCTCGCTGTGGGAGGCGGGTCGGCACGAGGAGCTGGGGGCGGTGCTGTCCTCCACACTCAGTCGGTCGCTGGTGCGTAGCGCCTCGGCAGCTGCAGCTGCAGTGGCGGTGGTGTTTGCTGACGTGGAGGAGCACCCGCAGTCGGGGTCGACGTTGCCGGAGCTGGGCGACACGGTGCGGGTTTTGGTTGGGCCGCTGCGAGGAGTGGAGGCGGTGGTGCGCTACCGGGGGCCTTGCCACTGGGGCGCAGGTAGGACACGTGGGGCGGGATCTGGGTTGGGCTGTGGGAATCAAATACGCCTGGCATCTATGCGTGGTTTGGGACGTCTGCAACGGTCATTCATTCATACATTCCATGTGCGTTGCGCGCTGTTGCATGGTGGTCTGTCGCTGTTACCTGCTCGCTAACGACTTGGTTGCATTTCTCCGCAGGCGTGGTGGTGGGCGTAGAGTTGCCGCCGGGTACAACGGAGAATGCGGACGCGAGCCTGCCCACCGGCGTCCGAGACGGGGTGACGTACTTTCGCTGCCAGAGCGCCGCTCACCGGGCAGCATTCCTGCCGCTGGACCATGTTGCGTTGCTTGGCTAGGATCATGAGCAGTCATGCCAGTCATGAGCTGGGATGACCCATGGGTCGGGGCTTTAAGTAATACACTTGGTTGGGTCGCGCGGATAGGTCAGGTGGTGCTGATCTCTGGGTGTGTTGTGGAGGTAAGGTATGGCGCAGGGTGGGGAGGTAGCGAGAAGGCGGCTGCTGTGGGCTACTAGGCAGGATCGTTAGCAGCATCGCTGCAGGTATGTGACCTTGACTTTAGCAATAGAGCTGTTGAATGGGGTTGCCTCCTGGGCAGCTCTGGTAACTTGGCAAAGGTTGGCAGGGCGCAGGACGACCGCGATGTAAGCTGTGTTGCTGCGGGGCGTGGAGGGGTTGTGTCGACGGAGTAGAGAGGATAGGGTAGGATATGCATGTACGGTGTACTAAATTACAAAGCCGATCCGAGGTATTCCTCGACGAGGGAGTTACCAAACCATGGTAGAGACACAGATAATGCGGATGCGCTCGCGAAAGGGCAAGGCAAACAGTACCGGTACCTTTATGATGTTCCATGGACGTTTATATCCACGGTGTGACTTCTATTCTATGGAATGCCATATGCGTGTGAAGACGGCCCTGGGGTTGTTAGGGGCTGTGGCCCCTATGCCATGAGGGACATGAGTCGGGCTGTGAGCCTGTGACGTGCCGTGACGGTGCTTTATTGCGGATATCGGGTCGCAAGATGTCGTTCATGCGCTAATTGCAATAAATTCCAATTGCGACGCATGACTGGGATACTGGTGCCGATCTGGTGTGTATCCATGTAATTGTATGACTAGGGTTAGCTGTGGGTTTGGTGTGGTAAGCGGCATGCCATATCAGATGACCAGGAGTCATGTAAGGCCCACTGTTGTCCTGCGCACGATTCAGCAATACATGTCTGGCCCAGAGAGCACTAGGCTCCCCTTAATGGGTCCGGTGCTCTGCCAAGACAGGCTGATATGCCTCCTCTGTATGGCTTGTGCACTGGCATCCTGGGACCCATAGCTGGCGAAGAGGGGAAAGCTACCACACACCACACCCACCAGCCAGGCAGCCACGATCCACCTACACCATGGACACTATCCCTTCCACCAGTACATCAGTCGCCCCCCTAGCGTACCACACACCAGATCCCCCGTCTCCGGCATGCATGCCACACACAACGGCCAGTCGGGCAGTGCCTGGGATAGCCCTGGCGGCGGCACCGCGGCCGCGGCGGCGGCTGCAGCAGCCATCGCCGCCGCCGGACCCACCGCCACCGGCACTCCCACTGACGGCGCCGCGGCACCTGTCGGCGCTCGGGACGTCGCCGGCATGTAGCTATTCATGTAGCGGTAATCCGCCAGTACCATACCGGGCCCCAGGGTGCCCCCTCCCCCTCCGAACGCATCACCACCAGCACCGCCGCCTCCGCCGCTGCCACTAGCAGAAGCCCGGATGACGGCTGCAGGGTGCCAGAAGCCGCACACCTCGCTGTCCCATGTGCCGTACAACGTGCCCGCCAGGGTACACACGGCCGACATGGCAGATCTGCCCCCGCCGGGGCCGCCGGCGCTGCCATGACCAGCACCTAGCGCCGCCAGGTTGGCCACCGCAGTCGTCGGCGCCGCGGCAGCCGCAGCCGCCGCTGCAGTTGCTGACCCAGGCGGAGGAGCCCCCAAGCCTGCAGATGCTGATGCAGACGCGGGGACTGGGGCGGGCGCGATTGCCGCGGGGCAAGCGTGTGTGACGCGTGATGCCGACAGCGACCATACCGCTGAGGAGCCGTCCTGCACGGGGGAAATGGGGGAGGTACGGGTTACATGGTTGTTTGGATGTGCACGTTGAACTCGGGCAAGGCCGCAAGGCATAAACCTCCTGCCCCCTGCCGTCAGGCAAGTGACAACGCGTGATCGATGTCAGCACATTACGTACGCCACTGCTAGCCCAAACAACAACAGCCCAGCAGTAACCCGAGCAGCCCGCCCACCCACCTGCGTCAGCAGCGCCACCCTGCTCGCGTCCCGTGGGTCGGCCGCCAAGCTGCTGATCACGGGTCGCCAGCAGCCGGCGGCCGCCAGCTGCCCCAACACGTCCCAGCATCCCACCACGGCCGAGTGGCTCGGAGCTGCGGCCCCAAGGCTGAGCAGCGCCCCGCCTGCTGTGGTGCTGGAGGCGCGGCGGACGTCCCACAACACCAGCTGCAGGAGCAGCCGGCCGTCAGGAGCAGTGACATGCAGTTAACAGGCAGCAACAGCAGCAGTGGTACCGGACATGACAGCAGGAAAGGAAGAGGACGCATTAGCAGCGGGTATGCTGGTGTTATTACGCATTGGGGCATTGAGCTAGCAAGCAGAGGGCAGGTGTGAAGGATGGCGCTATAGAGGTAAGAGCAAAAGGGCACATCGCCCCATCGGGCAGGAGGGCAGGTAAGGGGTTGGTGCCCTCGTTGGGGCTGATGGCGCCAAAGGTTAGCCAAACGCAATAACAAGGAAGGAAAGGCGCGACACGACCCACATCAGGACGTGCTTTCAGGATAATGTGGAAGCGCGTGAAGAGCACGGAGTGCAGCAAGCCCAAAGCAGCAAGGACTCCACACCGTGTATGCTGAGGAGCCCGCAACCGGGTGCTCAAGGAAAACCAAACCACACTCCCAGACAACTCCCACACAAACCCCAAACCTCTCACCGTGCCAGGGTGTACGACACCCATCAGCGCCGTACCGCCCAAGCCAGCCTCCAAAGGAGTCACCAGCGGGGCCCCACCGGGGCAACTCAAGCGGGACACAGGTGTACGACCGCGTCGCTCGTCCCACAAGTGTACGACAGCCCCCTCGCCACTGGCCCGCCCCGCCGCCGCCATCGTGTACGGCGCTGACAGGCTGCCGTACTTCATGTACGTCAGCGCCCGCGCGGCGCCGCCACCTCCGCCAATGCCTACGCCTCCGCCGCCGAACGCCCCGATGACTCCGCCGTCTGATGATTCCGCTGTGAGGTATGACCGTCGGTAGTCGCCTCCGCTCCCTGCTGCCCCCGTTCCTCCCCTGTCGCTTCCCAATTCGAGTATCAGGATGTAGGGCGAGCACCGGTCCACCAGTGCGAGCCTTCCAGGCCTCCTGGGGTCCCAACCCACGGCCCCAATCTGCTGATGTGTGTTTAACGTCACCACGCAACGGTCGCCACTGCCGTTGCTGCTCCTGGAGCCGGGCCAGAGGGGGCATGACATCAGCTCGTCCAAGGGGAGCAGCATGTCAGTCGCCGCTGCCGCCGTTGCTGACCTGCCGTTGTCGCGGCCGCTTCGGCAGTTGTGGCGCCGGTGGTTATGACGGTTACGGCGCTCATGCACATTCCCGTCGTCACCAGTAGCTCCACGAACGCTGTCACCGTCATCGTCGCTGTTGCTGCTGCACCCAGCTTCCTCGTCCACCTCGGCTGCCTCCATACGCGCGGCGCGGCGAGCCTCCGCATACCTTCGGAGCGCCATGTACGGCACGATCCGGAGCAGTTGGTTGGCCTGTGCAACGGCCAGTCGCACATAACCGGCAGCACTGCCCTCGGATGCACTGCAGCTGGTGGCGATGTGGGTCACTGCGTCCTGTTGAACGACGGAGGGCGCTCGGAAACGCATTGCGGCGTCCCAACAGCCCATCTGACGGTGATGATGATGACGATGATGATGATGAGGAGGAGGCGGATGTTGTTGTTGTTGATGATGAGGCGATGATAGGAGGAGGAGAATGGGAGGGGAAAGGGAACGTCACCAGTTTAATCCACATTAACATAATACCGGTAACACAACACAGATGGAGGCGAGGGGAGTTTTGAATGCTAGGGCGGACGCTTGGAGCCCACAAAAGGTCTGCATCTACCATGCAATTCTGCCCACCCCCCACCAGTGTTACCCACCTGAACCAGCCCGGGCCCGGCGTCCCACCAGAGCTCCCGACGAGCCCGCAGACGTCCCTCGCTACGTGCGTGCAGCAGCCCGACTATACCGCCCGCTGCCGCTAGGGCTCCTGCGCCTGCGGGCCTTCTTCCTGCGCCTCTACCGATGCCGCTACCAGCTGCCGAAACATGCTGCTGCTGCTGCTGTTGACCGGGTACTGAATCCTCCTCTGAGGACCTCACAGTAGCCCGTCTGCCAGCAGCTGCGGGAGCGCCGTTCCTGGTATCTGACCTGTCAGCAGCAGCAGCATCAACAGCCACTGCTGCCTTTGGTGCTGTTCGTGTTGCTGCTGCTGCTGTTGGTGCAGGGGCTGCGCGTTGGGAAGGTTGCGCAATGGTCTTGGAGACTGCAGCAGCAGTAGGGCCCAAGCAGGGCCGCTTGGGGGGTCTGCTGCTGCTGGGGTCTCCACCTCCGGCGCCGCTTGATTGCTCACGTGTGGTTGCGGTCGGGCGTTGCTGTTGCGGCATGGGCTGCTTGTTAGGTTGCTGATGCCTGGGCGCCGGTGGCAACTGCGGCTGTGGAGGAGGCTGGGACTCGGGCTTGGCAGGCGGAGGCTGGCGCTGTTCCCCCTGTAGTCGCTTCTGCTGTTGTTCATGCTGCTGAGACTGTTGCTGCCGACGGCCAGCTGGAACTGCGCCTTTTTTACAGTCGTTGTCACTGGAACTAGCATTAGCATCAGTCCCTGGCGCGTCTGAAGCCGAGGCTGGAGCTCCCTGCAACCGGGATTCGTGGGCATGTGCTGGCTGACTTTGAGCAGCTGCGTCTACTACGTTTGAGACGGGTTCTTGTGAGGCGCTGTTATCCTGCGTAGATTGCTCTGGCTGTGACGTCCGACGAACCGGGCGGAAGAACGCCTCAAGCGTCTTAAATGTCCCCATCGGGTCTTTTTACAAAGGCAAAGCTGTTTGCGCATTCAAGTACAGCAACACAAAGCCAGATATACCAGCATCCTTAATATACAATGCCGGGCGTCTGGGTCTTTGCCTTTGCAAAGCTGTTCCCGCCTTTCAACCGCGGATTTACTTGCGCCTGAGTCACGCGAACAGAAAAGAACTCACGCATATTGTGTTTGCACAGCCTTTTTTAAAACAAGCATCTGCATGCAAGTCTCTCTGATGTAGGTCGACCAACCGTCATCAAGTACGGTTACATACCGACCCAAGGATGTGCAGGGACCAGCGCGTGCCAGGTGTGCATCCTTTGCTGTTTCCACCAATGGGTCCACAAATTCGGGCTACACCGGGCATACGTCGTGGCGCACTAACACGGCTGCCCCCTGAAGGTGGAAGCTCATGCCCAGCAACGCCCACCATGGAGGCGTGTTCCCGTGTTGCTGGTGGATGGGAGGCGCTCCCGAGGACTTCTCCAAGCAAGCAGCGTACAAGCTTGCGTTGAAGCGGCTAATCCCTCTCGCCATGCATGGCTGGCAGCAGTGTCACAGCGTTACAGCAACTGGCACATGTATGGGGTTAGATCCAGAGCAACTGGTACATTTTTTCCGATGTGGACTGCTACAGAGGAAGGACAGGAAGACCACCAAGAAACCAGCGGAGAAACGGTATGGGGTTAGCTCCACACGCAGATAGAAGCATTCAGGCGGCACACATGCCACCCCTGAGCGACATTGATGGTTCAATAAGCAGTAACAAGTATAATCATTATGGGAGCAACAAGTGCCGCATTTCAATGTCAAGCGTTCACTCGTACGGCATTGCACTTATGGTAGGGCGCTTGCCGCTTCATCAAGCCACTTGCAACATACAACCCAAATGCCACTTGCAACAACCTACCATGCGCTATGGCTAATCACCCCTGTTCCTACCCAAAACTATGTCCGTACTCCTCCTTAATACGGCATCAGCATAGAGAACTTGTCATAAAGAGCATATCACATACCGTTTGGGAAGATAAATGCATGGGCAGGGTAGGGCCGTTCGCCAAGTGCAGTGCACAACATGCTAACAACGCTCTGAATGCGTCAAACGGTCAACGGCTTTAAACGGTCTACAACGGGCATCTATCTAGCTACAACCTTCCCCGTCGTTTACCCCACAACTCACACCCACTTTCCTCAACCGACGGACAGGACCGCCGTACACCTACCGCATCAAGTGTACGGCACATCGATACAGCAAAACTCGAAGTCTTTTACGTTTTTAACAGTGACATGGCAGCGCCAGGCAGCGCATGAGCTGGATGGCCTCCTCAAGAGGTATCACCATCAGCAGCAGTTAAGCTCACGCACACACAGGTACATATCGCATCACCTCGCCATCGGGCAGCCAGGCATGCACACCGGTACAGACAGGCAGACAGGCAGGCAGGCAGAAGGACGGACAGTGGACGGACCGACAAATGTTGCCAGCAGCCATACATGTCCTCGCTCCCCACTGCTGCTCCTCTGTATGCTCCATCCATCCGCGGCTCTATCTCCAACCCTGCCCCCGCTCCAGCAATACCAACATCAGCATGCATGCATGCGCCCAGGGCTGACACAGCAGCCGTACGTCAGCATCACATGTATTGTCATGTATGTCCGACATGGGGTGGGATGGACGGGCGTGCACGCCGCAATACCGGTACGTACGGAGGCAAGCATCCCCCATCACAAACCAGAACCGCATACTCCTGCGCGCGCTGCTGCCGTACCGTGAACGAGGGTTGAAACATACATATAAAAACACGCACAGAACACACACGCACGTTCCCTCTCTCCTCCCCCTTTCTCTGCTTAACCCATCTCAGCACAGCCAAAGGACGCCAGCAACTGGTAGGTTTGGAGTTCGGACGGCTCTCTTGCTTCCGGATCGCTTTACGCAACACATAAACTAACACAGCAATGAGGACAGCAGTAATTACTCAAGTAGCACCTCTTGTTGGTTATTCGCTTATATCATGTATACCTAGTATCGCCCTTCCGGTCGCCCCAAAAGCAAACACGTCGATTGTCGGGAAGCTACAAAGTTGATTGGGCCATCAGTTATATCTCGCGACAAAACAAACCGCATACATCTTGTAGGTAGGCAGCGCGTACGTACGGTGATAACAAAAACGTACGGCACATGTCCCGTAAGACTTTAGCGCTTGCGATGTGCTCTTTTGTTTTGATTGATAGGTTGACAACCACGCACGTAAGAGAACTGCGCGCACATGAGAACAGCACATCACCCAAACCACAGCGGCAGCAATGTAGCAAGAGCAATTACGACAGGCAGTAGCATAATACTACTACCGGTGACCGCCGGAACAGTGATTCACTCATTTTCATTTAAAAGCCATAACAGCAATACCAGTGCCTTCACGACCCAGCTCAACGGTACGTTTAATACACCAAGACGTACGGCAACCAAAAGCAGCGCACCAAGCAACTTCCCCTACCATTACACATTCACCTACTCGACAGGTCTCTCGCTCCGTCTACAGCTTAAAAACTGAAACACATGCAGACGTTAGCCACTCCCTACCGCATATTCCTTCCCCTCTTCAACCCCACACTCCACTCCAATCCATTTCGCACCTTTCGCCACTCAACCAAGCCACGACGACGTCCAACAGCCAAGTCCTCCTTATTCTTTCGTTGCCGCAATTGTAATCAATGCTCTAATCCTGACGTAGCAGCACCGACGTAACAGTAACAGAAACATTTTGAGTGATTTCACTTCTAGGTAAGAATGCCATATCTGCGGGGACGAGGGGCCCATGGGACACTTTGACGACCGGCAATTCGGCATCCACACTTTCCCAGCAACGCAAACGCACGCACATGCATGCAAAAATCGCCACGCACCACCCCCCCCTCCTTTAGCGTGCATCCACACATTACACTTTCAGCCATTCCACACATACATGCCGCCGCTCATCGACACGCCAAGACAGCACCAAACATGCCACTTAAAGATGGACAATAAGACACAATTGCAATTGCAAGAGTCAAGCGTCTTGTGCACGTACCCTGCTATGTTTACGCCACATTCCCAAATGTTGGGGCAACAGTCCCAAGGTCCTACATCCCAAGTAGACAGTCCAAATCATAACCCCTTAGTAATGATCGAAGCCCCTTCGCAGTATCGCGCTTCCCTTAGCACCTGGGTAGTCAGCTAGCAAAGCTGACGGTAACGGCTAGCCATCCCGGTAAAGGTGAGAAGAAGCCCCCTCACCGTTTCCCCCGCTACCTGTGGCTGCTGCTGCTGCTGCTGCTGCTAACTATAAAGCCTGCGAATACAGCTTGCTACTTTGCAGCCCGCAACAACAGCTGCTGCAGCTGCGGCTATCTACCGCAGTCGCTAATGGTGGATTATTCCAGCTGCCGTACTCCAGCCCCCCAGCGGTCACCACAAAGTAGCTGCATCTACTGCAGCTGGACCCTTTGCTGTATGTTCCGCAAGCAGCCGAGAGCACACACCCCGGGCGGGGTGCATGCTAATCAACATTGGGAGCCGGACCCGTGAACCAGTGCTTGCCTCCAATGCCAGGTGCGTAGAACAGAACGGCGGCCAGAGCAAGTACGGCAGCTATGAGCGCGGATGTGTAGTTGGCTGAGCCCGCCGTGACGGGGTAGGAGGTGGGTAGCATGAAGACGACACTGGTCTGTGTGGTTCGGGGGCGGGTAGGTAAGGGGGGTTGGGGCGGCGGGGGATGTACCGTGATCAATCACACGGGATGTGTGCTTACAGCAGCGGGCGGGAACTGGGAAGGACAGGCTTATAAAAGGTATTGACGCGGCAGGTGTACCAATTGCCTCAGGGAAGCTGCACGTCAGGATGGAGGGCAGGTCCCTCGACCCATGGGTCCATCTCAACCCAAACCCACACGCCACTCTTCCAACAACAGCATCCACACACATCAGTTATTGTGAGACACACAAACATTCGTTAACTTTACACGCACGCACGCACCAGCAGTATCCACGTACACGCCACTGCCGCCAACGGCTTGCTGGCCCGCCCCAGCGTGAAGTGCCCGGGCAGGAAACCGGTGTAGCGGCCGCGCAGGAGGCGCAAGCAGATGGGGATGCCTGGACAGGGAGCCCGAGGGAGTGGGGGAGTGAGGGGGTATAGAGCTTAAGCGAGGGAGTAACGGGTCAAGTCCCTAAAGAGGAAAACCAAACCACAAAGAGGCCTTCCTTGTGGACGGCGCGGAGCTGGCCCCTTGCCCCGCCTCCTTCCCCCACCATAGCTCGGGTAGCCGGCCCAACACAGGTCCGCCAAGACCCACCACACGACGGCATGAACACCGCCACATCAGGCACCCACCACCATAGGGCCCAGCAAGGACATCAACGAACGCACCAACATCAACCACCCACCCACCCACCCACCATAGCTGAGCGACAGCGCCACCACGCTGCCCGCACTGACGGTGTGGAAGAAGCGCTTGTTGAGGACGCAGGGCACCCCGAGCAGCCCCGCTAGGGCAGCCATCAGCCAGCAGGCGTGCAGCGGCAGGCGGGAGGAGGGGTGCAGGCGCCGCCAGATGCGGAAGCCTGGGGGGCATGCGGGGGCATGCGGGGGTGGCCGGGCAGGGGGGCAGGCGGGGCGGGGACGGGGGTAAGAAGGGAGGGGGGGAAAGAATTGAGACGTGAAGCAACGGAGTCCCAATCCCATATCCCGACTCATGCAGTGGGGAGGGAGGGGGTGATGGTGCTCAGGAGATAACAAAACCGCAAGTGAAGGACAGATAGTAGAGGGAGGAGGGAGTGGCGGGGCAACGAACGAAGCAACAAAAGGCACGGTCAAGCGGAGTCAACCAACAAACCAACTCCCAAGCAAAGGCGCCAATCAACCAACCGACCTGGCATGGCTCCGTCCCTAGAAAAGGCGTACAACATGCGTGCATTGGCGGCGAGCGAGGCGTTGGCACAGAAGAAGAGCCCGACCAGGGGAATGTACGACAATCCCAGTGCGCCGATACCGCTGCCGTACCGCGACTGGAACACATCCCTGCGAGTTTGGGCGAGCAGGGTGTAGGAGAGGATGGTGTCTTGGCATGCATGCGAGCGAGGGAGCTGGAGAGAGAGGGCGGGGTTTGATGGTGTGAGAAGAGGGGGGTTAACCGCATTCAGTCAACCTCCCTATCCCGCCGCTCTCAACCCGCCCAAAATCTCCGCAGCTTCACATACCAGTAAGCCTCTCCCCCCTGCAGCACACGCTCCCCCCCAACTATGACCGACTCCCATGTTTGCACCCCATGGTGAAGCCTACATGTCAGCCAGCTCGTCAGTTGCTTCGGCAGTGTCTCATTATATGTTTCAACCCAACTATGACCATACGTTAGTCCTCCAATACAGCCCAATGTGGAACTCCCAACATCTGTTACCCTCTTCCCCCCCCCCACACACACAAATGGTTCTTCCTCTTCTTTTCACTCCTAACCCCCTCCCAACGCCCTCCCCTTCCCACCAGAAGAGCTGCGTCATGGCGCTGTGACCTCCGGTGGCGTTTGCGGGACTGAGGATGGAGGCCATGCTCTGAGGGGCGGTGGGGGGGAGGAAGGCAGTGGGAGGCAGCGGGGGGGCAGGAGACAGTGTGTTAAAATAACTGGCCGCGAGGCGAAACGTACTGTGACAGTGACAGTGACAGTGACAGTGTGTGTGGGGGGGGCGGCAGGCAGCGGAAGGCAGTGGTGGAGAGCAGTCGGGAAGGCAGGAGGCAGTGGGGGAAAGGGGAGTCATAGACCAGAGGGAAAGGGGAGATGTTTGTGATGTGGAACGAGCTCACCGCCCACCCACCCACCCACAAACCAGTGGCTATTTCTGTCAAAACCCACTCCCTCACCCCTACAGCACGTTCCTGCTCGCGGTCAGTCTTCGCAACCCTCCCACCACCACCACCACCACCCACCTGCATGGCGAACGTGAGGCTGAGCAGTACCCCCAACCCCAGTCCGCTACACAGACACACGGAGGCAACCAGTGCGGCACTGGCGGCGTTCTGGGCGTCGATGGTCTCCTGGGGGGGGGGGTAGGGGTGAACATTCCGCTGGATTTTAGGTTTGCGCATACGGTAGTCAAACTTGTTGGGTTAGTAGCAGGGCGGGTGGGTTAGGAGGGCAGGTAGGGGATGGGGACGGGGGTGGGACAGCGCGGATTGTAACCCTCAGTTCATCAGTTTCTTCCTTTTGTGACCACCCCGCCCTCTTCCCTGCCCCCCCCCCCACCACCACCCCACCTCCGCCACGTGAATGCTTGCATCGTAGCCCATGAGGGCCCACTGCGCCATCAGCAGACCCATCAGGAAGATGTAGGGAGGGCTGCGGATACCTGGGGGAGTTGGGAAATTGGGGGGGCAGGAGGCAGGGGGCAGGGGGTTGAGGGGGGGGGGTCAAAGACCATACCGAACCATAGGAGGGGGGGGGTGTATTTGGAAGGGGGCAGGGAAGAAGAATACCCCGTGTGTTGAAAGCATGGAGTACGATCAATGCGGCTGGCAAACAAGACGACAAGCTCCTGGTGAGGGGAAATGAGTTGGTCGAGCCGTAAGTTGGTCCACATCTGGGCGGTCAGGTAGGGAGGGTCTTGTTTCTCCCACCACCACACGCACGGCCTCCATTTATCCAGGCAACCCCCCCCCCACGCACCCCCCCACACACACGCCCCCAACACACCCACCATGCACGCTGCTGTTGGGGGTCCATGCCGTCAGCACGTAGCTGGGCGCGTTGAGGCTGCGTGCGGTGGCCAGGAGCGCCCCGCACATGGCGATGGAAGCAAACACGTGCCAGAAGAAGGAGCTGGAGAGGGAAAAAGGATAAGCGGTGTGTGGAGGGGAGAGGGGTAAAGAGGAAACAACTAACTGACCGTGTGATAAGGCATCATCATGGGTATTGGGATACACAGGGAGAGGGGGGAGGGGAGGGGGAGAAAAACCAATGCGTTGAAAAAATGATAAAGCCAAACCAAACCCTCCTTCCCCCTGGGAGGGTCATACATATATACATCTACATCGACCCCTTGCGCTTTGAGTGGCCTGCCCTAGGCTTGCTGGTGTGTGCTCGGACGTCTCCATGCGGGAAGGGGGGGGGGTAGGTCCCACCACTCACAGGGTGTTTGTGAAGGCGGTGACTCGGGATGAGATGGAGTTGAGGGCGGCGTGGATCTGCAGGCGGGGGGGAGGGGGGGGGAGAGAGGTGGGCGGTCGTGCCGAACGTGTGCGACGAGGGAGGAGGCAGGGTGGGTGGGAGGCGGGAAGGGGGGGGGGGGAGGGGGCGTGTGTGTATGCAACCTTGATGGCCATCTGCCCCCGACCCCCGCCACACACCACACATTTGAATTACTTTTTTACCCCCGCCACACCTCACCCCTACCACCAGCAGGCGGTTCGCCTCTACCCCCTCCGCCCTCCGCCCCCACCCCTCCGCCCCACGCCTTATCACACAGTCAGTTCGTTGTTTCCTCTTTACCCCCCTCCACCCCCCGCCCCCCTTTCCCCCTCACCACCAGCAGTCCCAGCAGCAGCGCCACCAGCGCCCCCTGCGACAGCGCCCGCCCGCCCCCGCCCGCTCCCCCCGTGTGCAGGAACACGGTGGAGGCCACACTGCGAGCCAGCGAGTACTCCAAACCCGCAGTAAAGGCAACCTGCAGGGGGGAAAGATGGGGGCGGTCAAAATAGACCAAACCATAGGAGACCCCGATTGCGGGCAGGACAAAGGGGGGGAAGGAGGCCGCTGCTCCACTTCTCATTTATCTTCCCCCCCTGCCCCCCCCTGCCGCCCCACCTGCCCCAGCAAGTTAAGCCAGCCCGCCATCCAGCACACCAGGGTGCGGTGTCGTACGGGGGCCATCACCCAGCACCTGTGTGGTACGGCAAGGGGGGGGCCGGAGTACGGCAGGGGGCGGTGAAGGGGTTAGTGGCTCACACGGGTTTTGCTCCACATGTCGTGCGTGCCCAGCAACCCCCTTCCCCGCTCCCCCCCCCCCGCCCCCGGAGTGGTTTCACATGGTCTAATGTGGCCCCCAGAGTGCTTCAGTCATCTTTTTCCTTCAACCCCACCTCTCCCCCCAGCACCGGTACTTCTAGCAGTCCAATACCACCCACCCCTCTGCCTCTATTTACTTTATTTGCCTTAACCTTTGTTCTCCGTACACCTCTGATCCCCCCAGCTCGTTATTTCCCTCGTAAGTGTTTTAATTTCTAACCCTCTCCAGCCTCCAGATCGTCAGTTTTCCTTAACCTTACCCCCAGCCTCACCAGTAGTAAATCCCGCCGCTGGTGGGGTAAGCGCTGAGCAGCTCAGCCAGGCTCAGCGCCACCGCAATGCTGAACACAGCGCTGATGGCCCAGCCCCATACCACACTCACGGGGCCGCCGTACGCTAGGCCCTGCGTGCCGTACATGTCTGCATGCATGCATGGAGGGTGGTGGTGGTGGTGGTGGTGGTGGGGTGGGATGAGGATGGGGAGAGAGGGGAACAAGAGGAATGTATGAGGACGGCGTTTGTGCGTTGTCTTCTTGACTCTAAACCGGTATCCGCCGCCATCATAGCTAGCTAGATACAGGTATAGGCGGAGTTTCTCGCGTGGGTGATCAGATGCCAGCTGCGGAAGCACTGACCCGGACCGTGGTATGCCGGGGATGGGTGGGTGTAACCCCCCCCTGCATGCGCCTGGAGCCCATGCTGCTTTGTCTCCTTCACGTACCCGGTCACCCACACTGAGTTCCTTGGAGCTGAGCCCCATGCGTTGCATGCAAGCCAATCGATGCACAAGCTGCGCACGCGCGGAGGCAATAAGCCCAACACACATTGGAGGCACGCAAACCCTGTGCAACCACCGCCGCCTCGGGCTGGGCGGGTCGGGCTGGCTCACATGTTGCAAGCCACGTTGATGCCTTATCACACGGGGGCAGTTAGTTGTTGTTTCCTCTTGTTTTCCCCGCCTCCACCCACCCACGATAGCGAAGAACGACAGCACGCTGGTGCATATGGCCATGTTGTTTAGCATCGTGAACCTGCGCGGCAGCTCCTGTCGGTACCCCAGCTGCCAGAGCTTGACCTCGTCCCACTTGCCGGGACGCGACCGCGGCGGCACGATATGTCGCCCGCTGCCGCCACCGCCCCCCACATGGCTGCTGCCGGCGCCGCCGCCTGTACCGCCACCTCCACCGTGAGCACTGCCGCTGGCAACGCCACGTCGGTATCTACCGCTGCCGGCGGCGCTACTGAATCCGCTGCCGTACAATGGACTGTTGGCGTATAAGCCTCCAGCTCGGACGCTGCCGCTGCCGGCGCCACCGCCGCAGCTGTTGGCCTGTTGTGTGGTGGGAAGTGACAGGGTAATGTCTGGTGTTTGCTGGTGTGTTAAGCAAACTTGCCGTGAGTCTGCTTGTGTGTGTGCGCGTGGTAATGTGGGTGTAACAGGGGATGCCGCGATAGCTCATGACTAGCTGCTAGGTCTTCAAGCTAGGGTTACTTTGAAGTTCGGGTTAAGGCTGGCGCAAGATTGCATACGCGGTTGTCCTGATTAACTGGGTGACGCGGATGTGACGTGTGACGTTTGCTCACGGAATTGGTTGTAGGCGTTGGGGCGTCATTTAAGGACAGCAAAGGTCGTGAGGGGTTGGCAGCTGTTTGTCCGCCCAGGAAAGCGGGCCGTTTGCTTTATACTTCCATTTGCCTAGCACTCTACAGCGCTATGCTTTTCCCAAACGCCGAAATAGGTAGGAAAAACGGCTCCTATCTCAGAGTCTGTTAGGTTGCCAATCGTAAGCAACCCTGTGCATTTCCCTGGAATCTTACAAAACCTTTACAAGCTCAAGTCGTTCTGCAACGAAACAGCAACCTCTGCGCACCTTTGAAGCATGCCTCTGCACCGTCGAAGGGCCTAGCTTGGCCTGGTTAATACTATCCGCTACAATGTCCAGCATACCGACGCATCCTGCGCCTGAGCAAGTGCCGGCGGCCATAACGGGTGCCAAGCGCCGACTCTAAGCCATCATGGAATTGTGACTGTTGAGCCGCAAACGGCGAACCTAGCGCTGGATTTCGCCTTCAGGCGCCGCAGTTTACTGGTGCTGCGCGCGTTAGCGAAAAATGGGCAGCGACGCGGCGGTCTGGCCTCGTGCGTCAAGCGCCGGGCTAGTAGTTGGCCCGTTTGTTGAGGGATAAACTTGCAAAGCGTTCGAGCATGGCAGATTGTAGCTTATAAGGGTAAAAACGAGGCATTTGTTGTTATTATTAATAAAGCAATTATAACTGTCATGTGAATCGCGGCCCGATCTTTATGTCACAGCAAACTACGAAACACAACATGCGACACACGCTTTAAAGTCATCACAACATTCATTGTGTGGAAGCCTAACTGGAGCACGTGTGCGCCGTATTATCAGCCTTTCAGCTGTTCAGCACCTTCAAATGCACGGGATCAAGATATCCATACCGGTAGTAGGTATTCAATACGGGCAAGTCGCATTGCGGCTTGCAATCCGCCGTTTTTATTGCCGAAGACGTACCAACACCGGTGTTTCCTGTGTGTAGGTCTTCGAGTAGGCTGAAACGACTGCGGCCTGGTATGGAGGTATGAACTGCCGCTTGCGCAGGCAAAGCAACGGGAGGGGTCAATGGATACGCAAGAACTGAGCGTTTAATAACCTTGCACAACACACACATAGAGACCCTAGCTTTGTTCTCAGTGTGGTTAGCAGTCGTCGGTCATTGGTTTACCAGCACAGCGACATGGCACAGGTTACCAAAACGTCATTGGAATCCACACGGGTGTGAAACAAATAATGCATCGCGCGGCACTGATTTAACCCGACACCAATCTGCGGCCCGGCACTGTTTCAGCTGATTCGGCATGGTCAAGGGGATTTCTCGGCAATTAGCGTAGACTGCTTTGCAGCGCGACCGTGGTCCGAGTTACGTGTACCCGGATGAGCCAAACTTGAAGGAGGAATAACAAACTTCGGTACATGGTTGGGCCTTCACACGACCACAGACAGTAAATCATGGAGAACACTGTACTACCCCCGGGTCGAACATATCCAGAGAAATTCGAAGATGTGCCAACAAATACACCTTTCTAATATCAGGGGGATGGGTCTACGGCAGGTATGGCCTGGAAGACCGAATGCCAAAGGTCCTTTGCGGTAATGCTTTCCGTTGCGCCTGCCTAAGCTCTTCCGCAACAATTGGGCATGTATAACCCCTTTCGGGCGCCTGAAAAAAGGAAAGCCATTGAAGAAGTTATGCCGTTGTTATGCGCCTTGAAAGACATAAACTATGGCTGTTATCAAGTGGAAAGCGACTCGTTAGACGTCTATACTATGCTTATTTCTTTACACATGAGTGGTAATGGGATTGTACCAAGCCTCAAGGTCAGCCCTCCTGGAGCCTTGTGTAGTACAGTGCTCATGCATGCCCTCCGCGGAGGAAGACCGCTCCGTACGGCCATTCCAACTGGCAAAAAACACTTAAACTGAATATAAAGGACAGCCCACAGCTGCCCACGTCTCATAGGTGAGTGATCCGGCGTTACGCTTTTTGCAAATTTTACTTTGTCGATCTGGCGTCCGGCGCACCTTGAGAGACCCTGTGAACCAAGCCCTAAGTTCTGTCAGGTTCTTAAGCGTGCGCGTATGGCTGTATGTAATTTTATGATGAGTCTCGCGGCGCCCCGCTGCCAGGTTGCTTTGGCGCAGGTTCTCGGCCTCCGCAGCGGACCGCTTGGGCGGACCGTTGCCGGAGGCCTAAGAGCCAAGAGCTTACTAGCCGATGAGCCACTTTGGTCAGCATTTAGCCTGCGAGTAGCGGCTCACTGGGCGCGCGATGAAGCTGAAAATTAAGTTGCCAGGCGCAGCTGGGCAGGCGCCTAGCTCCAGTCAGGCTGATCCCAGCACCAGCACGGCAACGCCTTTGGCGCATCCCACGGCTTCCACAGCTGGCACCCCAAGCAGGAAGCGTAAAGAGCTCACAGACGATGTCAATGGCGCGGATGGCGGATTCCCAGCTCCCTCCGGGCCGCCGCTTAAAAGGGTTGCAACCGCATCATCCATGCAGCTTTCAGGTACTCCGGGTAGCGGTATGCCGCCTCCTCGCCTTAAAATTTCTCTACCTGGAGCCCGTGCAGCTGCTGCGGCTGCAGCCGCTGCTGCTGCTGCCGCGGCTTCCACGCCCCTCGCAGCATCAGCGGGCCCCGGTCCCGGTAGCGCTCGCCTAAGCGGCGGATTCGCCACGCCTGCAGGATCCACACACGTTTCCCTCGGGGGAGGAGCTCCTCCTCCCTCTGCTGCTGCTGCCTCCTCCAAGGGCCGTGTAAGTGACGAAGCCATGCGAATAGCCCAGCAAGTTAACCAGGCCTTCTCCAGCACGCTGGTTGGTGGGGAAGGAGGAGGAGGAAGTGGGTTCGGAGGGGGAGCTGCTAGAAGACCCGGACCGGGCCCCCCAGGACCCGGACCTGGACCCGATCCAGGGGGGGCTACAGCAACGCCAGCAGCAGCAGCCGTACCCCCCGCAGCGCTTACCGCACCCTTACCTCCCGCTTTAGCCCCACTTCCGAGACCCAAACCCCCACCACAGCAGCAGCAGCAGCTGGTGGCTCCACTGCCCTCTGGACCAGCCGCACCCGCAATTAAGAAGATCAAGCTGTCCGTGAAGATGCCTAACCTGGCTAGCCTGGCAGCTCGTATCGCCCGTGGTGAGGCAACGGGGCCGGAGGAGGGCGGTGGTGGGGGGGCGGCAGGCGCCGCTGCCGGGCCGCCACGACCCGGTGACGTCAGCCGGCCCGCTGCTGCTCCTGCAACGGGCGCCGGCGGCGCCGCCGCCGCCGACGCACCAGGCGCTGCCGTACCGCCGCGGCGTCCATTCAAACTTAAGATCTCCATGCCGTCTCTAACCGGCGGCGGCGCTGGTGGCGCCGCCGGCCGAGGCACGGGCGCAGGTGCCGGCGCCACCACCACCATCAAAGCCATCAAACCCATTATCGCCACCGCCACGCGGCCCACAGCCATCTCCACCAAGCCCGCGGCGGCGGCGGAGGCGGGCTTGTCGGACGAGGAGGATGAGGACTACGGCCCAGATCCGGAGTTTGCGTTGCCACGCCGCGGAAGGGGTCGTGGTAGGGGCAGGGGTACCTCACGTGGGGCAGCCGCTCTGGGTGGCCGCGGAGCGGCCTCAGGCCGCGGCGGTGGCGGCGGAGCCGCCGCTGCCGCTGCGGCGGCGGCGCCTGCTGCCGCAGCTGCCGCTGCCGCCATGGCCGGCGGCGGGGGCCGCGGCCGGGGCCGTTCCAGTGACTACGCTAGTCGGTTTGACCTCGAGCGATGTTTTGAGCAGATTGTGAAGCAGGACAAGGACGGGCTGTTCGCCAAGCCGGTCACGGATGAGGTGGCGCCCGGGTACTCCGAGGTGGGAGGGGGGCAGGGGGGAAAGAGGGGGTGGGGGGGAGGAAGGAACGCTGGTGATTCGCTGGGCTCGCTCGCTGCCCCCCGCCCTAGTTGCCACCAGGGTGCCCATGAAAGCATGTGTAACCTCCTCTGTGTGATCCTCCTCCTCCTTTGTATCTTCCCTCGCTCCCACCACCTCCTCCCGCTCAGGTCATCAAGAACCCAATAGACCTGTCATCCATTCGGCAGAAGCTGCACAATGGGGAGTACGACACATGGGCGGGTCTTGAGGTGAGCTGGGGGGGGTGGCCTTTGCTGTGTCCTGGCTCCAGGGAGTGGTCGAGGGAACTGGTTTGAAGGAACATGTGTTGTTGGGGGACTTCCCAGGGGCGTTTCCCGATCGGGAACGTGCTACTTCCTACCACAAACGGACGTTCCCCGGTGGACCGCTATGGTCAATACAGTTACGCGGGTAGTTATGAGGACACTGGGAGGTGTCCGTAGCGGTGTTAGGATGTGCCCGCGAAAGACACAGCCCGCCGAGGCATTTTTACCCTCATTGCCTCGGCGGGCTGTGTCTTTCGCGGGGACATCCTAACACCGCTACGGACGTTGAGAAGTAGCACCTCTACCTGCCACTCGCTGCGTCCCCACTTCCCCATCCCCTCCTGCCGGTAACCCCCTCCCGCCTTCCCTACATCCCATCCCCGCACCCCCCCACCACCTGCCCTCCCACCTCCTGCCCCCCACCTCCTGGCCCCCACCTCCTGCCCCTCCATCTCCTGCCCCCCAGGCCGACCTGCTGCTCATGACCACCAACGCCAAGACCTACAACCCCGAGGGCAGCAACGCCTGGTGGCACGCCGACCTCATGGAGAAGATGACGGCCAAGTACATCAGCTGCGGCCGGGCGGGGCTACAGAACTACCGGGGCGTGGCGGCGTCGGTGTGGCGGGACCTGCGCAAGCCGGCGGAGGGGGCAAGGTGCGGGAAAAAAGAAATTCCAAAGTGTGGTGTGATAATGATATAAGTTAGGTGCAAGGTGGCAAGGTGCGGGGGGGCGGGCGGGAGAAGTTGCATTAATAACCGGGAGGGAGCTGGAAGAGGAGATTGGGGATGCGGGGGGGGGGGGGGTTTGCGGAGCCCGAGTGGGAGGGTGGAGGGAGGGTTACGCAAGCCGGCAGAGGGGCCCCTGTGTGGCGAGACGGTCTGTGGGGTTTACTATGATTGTTCAAGCGCCGTAACGTCACCGTAACATCCCTCCTCCCGGCACCCCCCCCCCAAACCCGCAGTGCCATTCCGCTGCTCCCACGCTACACCTCTGCGGGTCCCCGGCTCGATAAGAACGGCAACGAGCGCGACCCCGCAGAGCGCCGGCGCCAGCAGCAGGAGGCGCACGCGGAGACCGCATCTCTCATGCTAGAGTCCAGGCTGCGGGAGCGGCGTCCCGGGCCCGGAGCCCTGCGGGACGATGTGCTGGCCTGGGGTGGTGCGGGGGGTGCAGCAGGGGGGGCGGGGGCCGGAGGGGCGGGGGTGGGGGGCGGCATGGGGCCGGGAGGGGCGGCGGGAGGTGTGGGTGTGGGGTTGGGGGTGTTGGGTGGCATGGGTGTGGGGGGCGCGGGAGGTCCCGGACGGCGGAAGCACCGCAACCAGGGGATTCGAACGATCGAGGCGGACGCACGGAGGATGATGGCGGCGCAGGTGGGGAGGGAAGGGCCTGGAGGGGAGATGGGTTGGGGGTTAGGAAGTGGAGGGTTGGGTAGGGTGGAAGGCGCCGGAGAAGAAGCAGCCTAGTATGCCTAGTATGCTCGTCCCTAACGGTGGTTGGAATGTGCACGGGACATCCTCCATCACACCACGCCCCCCGGCCCCGCTTGCATGCAACCCGCACCAAGCCCCCACCCCATCGCTCCTCTTGTTCCTCCTGTTCTTCCCCCCGCCCCCCTGCCCCGTTGCTGCACTTATCATTTATTTTCGCTCCTTTCCCCTCCTCCTCTCCTCCTCCCCAGGTTGGCGACAACCGCTTCAGCTACCGCTCCAAGCCGCCAGCCAGTGTGGCTCCCTTTGTCAACATGGGGGCTCTGGCGGGCGGCGCATCCGCCGAGGGACTGCCGTACACCGCCGTACGGCCCTCCCTGCAGCCCGCGCTGCTGGGATGCGACTCGCCGCCGGGCGCCTACGCGGCGAGTTTGGCGCGGTTCATTGCCAAGTGTGGCAAGGCGGTGCAGGTGGGTTCTGGTAGGGGGGGTAAAGAGAGGAAACTGACGAGCTACGTGTGTAAAGAGGCTTTACCATGGGGGGCTAATGGGGCTGGGGGGCATGTGGCGGTCGGTATGTGGGTACCGGGCTGAAAGCAACTTCCCATGCAAGCCGAGTTCCCCGAGCGAGATCCTTGGAGAGGAGATCCAACACGCACAGATCGTTGCCCGCCCTTTTCGCCTTCGCCTCTCAGCTCCTCGCGGCTCAGTTTACTTCATGCCCTCGCCGCTGTGCTCGGCTGTGCGACTTCCAATCCACAGATGGCAGCCATGAAACGGCTAGCGGAGCCTCCGCCGCCGCCGCCACCCGACCCAGCCAAGCTAGCTGCCGCTGCTGCTGCTGCTGCTGCTGCTGCAGCGACTCCGGCACAACCGCAGCAACCGCCAGCTCAACAGCAGCAACAGGACCAACCGCCATCCTCGCAACAGACACTGTTACCGCAACAGCAGCAGCAATCAAACCTTCAACAACAGCAGCAGCAGCAGCTACCACAGGCACCTTCGCCATCGCCGCTGCAGCAGCTTCAACAACAACAGCAGCAGCAGCAGCAGCTGCAACAACAGCCCCTAGCTGCCATGCAGCAAGCCGCAGCCGCTCTTCAACAGCAGAGGCAGCTGCTGCTGCAGCACCAGCAGCAACTGCAAGCTGGTGGACCCATGGGTCAGCCCCCTGCTGCTACAGGGCCAGCAGCCGGGGCTGGGACCGGGGCTGCTTCTGCTGCTGCTCCTTCCATGGCGCCAGGCAGTGTTGGTGCTGCTGCGTCGGGGGCTGTGGCCCCGAGTGCTTCCGGAGGTGGAGGAGGTGGCTCGGCGGATGGACTGCCGTTGCCGCTGCCCCAGCAGCATGCACAGCAGCAGCAGGCACAGCAGCAGCAGGCACAGCAACAGTATGGCTCCCTGCCGCTGCCCACCCCAGGGCAAAACATGCAACAGCAACAACAACAACTGCAGCAGCAACAACATCTGCAGCAGCAACAACATCTGCAGCAGCAGCAGCAACTGCAGCAGCAGCAACAACAATTGCAGCAGCAGCAACAGCAGTCTCAATACGGTGGCACTCAACAAGCAGGAGCAGGAGGCAACCTGCAACCGGCGGCTGCGTTCCCACAGCAACAGCAGCAGTACGGGCAATGCAGTACGCCTCAACCAACCGCCCACCAACCGCACCAGCGCCAACAGCAGCCGGGGGCTTCCCTCATGCAACCAAGTCCGCATCAGCAGCAGCAATACCAGCAGATGCAGCAATACCAGCAGTTGCAGCAGCAGCAGACGCCCCAGGCGGGGCCATTGCCGCCGTCGCAGCAGCAGCAGCCGTACCAGCAACCGAACGGCCAATCCATGCCACCCGGGGGCTTCCAAGCGATGGCCCCGCAGCAGCACCAACAGCAAACACAGTTGTCCCAACAGCAGCAGCAGCAACAACAGAACTACCAGGCAGGTATTCACGCTTTGCCAGGGCAGCAGCAGCAACAACAGTATCTGCCACAACACGCGCAGAATCTCCCCCTTGCCATGCCGGCGCCATCACAGCAGCAGCAGCACCCGCAGCAGTACCACCAACAGCCGTCTTCCTACACGCACTTCCCTGCACCCCAACAACAACAACAGTCGCAGCAGCAACAGCAGCAGCGGCACCATGACTCCTACCAGCAACAGCTGCAATACCAGCAGCAACAGCTACAGCAGCAGCAAGCACAGCTGCTTGCGTCCCGTGCAGGCTTGTCCATGCAGTCCGGCATGCCGCAGCAGCACCCGCACCAACCCTACTCGCAAGGGTAAAGGCCCCGGTCTGTCGCCTTTCTGGGGCCCAGGTGGTGCCGGCATGCCAACAGTGGAAAGCAGTTGGCAACAATAACCTAACCGGGTGTGGCAGGGGCTACCGGTTACCGTTCACTGCTCTTTGCTCCGGAGTAACGCTGCTTCGGGGTAGTTCTGCCCTGGTGGGATGCCGGTGGTGTTCGTCTGTCATGTCAGGCGGAGCGGAGCGGAGGGAAACCTTCCGCCGCGAACTGATGCGGTGTTACTTCGCCCCCTCCGCCCTGCACGAGGTCTGCGGAGGCTCCCCTTCTTCGCCTGCGCCGCCGGTCGCACATGTCATGGCCTGGCTGTTGCGCACTTGTTGGGAAGTGGCATGTTGAGTGGTGCTGGATGTATTTCTTCGGTGCGTGCCGTCAGTAGCGCGTGTGCTTTAATGCGTGTTCGCCTTTTTGAGATTGGAACATCGCATGCTTTCGTGTGCTAAACAGGGGAAACAATGGATCCGTTGGAACGGTTGTGATGTGTCGGTTAGGAAGGGTGGGACCCTGTAGGCGGTAAGCGCTATAACGGCCAAGGGGTACGTGTGCGGATGTGGCGTAGCGTTGTGGGGCGGTAAGCCTAAGCAACCGTAAGCAACGGGCATGTTAGGTGCGGCGGCCGTGCCCGTTACCGGGTGAACTAGGAAAGAGGAAGTGGAAATTCGATGGAACGCATCGTTCTAGCGTGGCAAGGGTACTGAACCTCTACTGCCCGAGCTTAGGGTTGGTGCCTTACAAGGAGGCGTACCTGTCACGGCAGTTGTTAGGCGGCCAGTTGCCTGCTCAATCGCTGTGTGTATTTGCTAGCTATTTGCAGTTGCTGTAGTATCGTGGTTTGTTACACACTCCATGTTTGTAGCTTGATAGGCCGGGCTTACACGTGTTTGCTGAGGAGCCATGTGGCCGATGTAGACCAATTTTAGGACCGTACGTAGCATGTAGTTGGTTGCAAGGTGTGGGCGAAATGTGTGGTGTGTGTGTGTGTGTTCGGAGAGGGGGACATCTAATAGCACATGTCCAATATAGCTTGGAGGGGACTCCGCGTCTCTACATACATCCCTCTAGGTAGTGTGCAGTGAAGTCAGCAGTGCGTGCTGGGACAGTAGATATGGCGCTATTGAGAGCTGTCCCAAGTGGCCCCGTTCTTGGGATGGCTTAGGGAGGAAAGAGGAAGAAACTAACGAACCGTGTGGCAACATTGACATGGCTTTACCATGGGTTACATGCTTACATTGTGGTCGCCAACTTTTAGGGAGGAGAAGGTTGGGGAACACGTAACAGACACCGGTACTGCTTGTATAGTGTCCAGTATGACGACTGGAAACCAGCGAGATAGGCAGGGGGGTTTGCAAGTTGTTGGGACAGGCTGAAGGGTGCGGGATGGGTGATAGCGTTGTGTACTCAAGTGCACCGAGTTGTTTGCCGCAATTGGAGGACCTAATTGTGACGAACGATACACGTCGACTGCCGTTGAGAGGAGCGGCGAACCTCGTAACTGTTACATGCCAAACATGCTTGCCAATCTATACTAACGCTACAAAGTAGTCATTTCAAGCGACTTGGGTCCAAGGTATACAAAGGGCGGCAATCAGGAGTGATCCTTATTCTCCATGGCAGATCCTACCAGAGACCAGGAACCCAACACAGCTTAAGTCCTACCTAGTTGTCCTAACAAGTTCAGAGCACTTCAGGATCTTTCCCCCGCGCGATGATGCTCCCGCTTGCTTTTCTACGCAAAAGAGCAGCTGAACGCAAACAGCCGTGCCAAACCGTCAACTGTACATGCGCAACAAGTCGCTCGATGGCACGCGGCACAACATACAGCGTGACCACCAAAACAGACAGCCGCTGGCTGGCGCAAGGCTCTTCGCTGCATGCCTTAACCTAGCCCCCGCCCGCCCTACTACCTAAGGGCAGGGCAAAGCCAGTAAATGGCAACAGAATGCCATGCTACCACACTCGGCGCCATGGCAAAGCGGCAAACTAGGGGAATGCATATGACAAGTAGATCCAGCAGCCAGAAGACGAAGACAGGCCCGACCAAGGTTATCGTACAGCTTGCTAAACATCAGTTTGTCATGCGTAGTTCAAAGTACAGTCCTACACAACCGCTGTTATCTACCTTAGGTAGCTCCTGGTAGATCCAGGCAGCACGCACCCTGAATGCAGGTCCCAGCCTTGGGACGACGACTGCCAGCCAAGAAAACCATGCGCTTTGCCGTGCTATGCAGGCTGACACATCTATGTACACCGTTTCCATGAACCTTCTCACAGCCTCAGCCTCTACCTATATCTGCAACCCCTCAGATCTGCAACCCCTCAAGGCGTCTTTGCATCCCTCCTCCAGACCATTACCGCCCCACAAAGGGAGGTCTGTATCCGTCGGCAGTGCCTAACAGAGCAAAATCTAAACCAGCGACCCAAATCAAATTAAACACCATGCCCCCCAGCTACCCAGCCAACCTAAACAAGAGCCACACCGTCCCCAAAAAATGCCAATGGGAGTGCGGGGCAAAGCATGCAAGAGGCCACTGGATGAGCCCGCTGCACCCCACCAGCAACTAGATAGACAACGCAAACTACCTGCAGCCCCAATCCGTTGCGAAACAGGTGAGACGACCCATTCCACGAGCGCGTGGTGAGTGTGCTCCTGCTGTGTGCAAGTGTCAAACCCGCAGACCGCCTGCCCCACCATGTGCCACCACAAGCCGGCCCCCGCGCTGGCGGCCTAGCACCGCTCTTGCCGTACAGCCGCAGCGCCTCCGTCAGTATCTAGTTCTTGTTCTTCTTGAGGCAGTTTCCTCCCGAGAAGCAGACGAGCAGGAAGATGACCAGCCCCAGCAGCAGCACCGCCGCCAACACCACGAGCTTCATGCGGCAGTTCTGCCACCACATCTGCCGGCGCAGCTGCCGCCCCTTGCGCTGGAACTGCTCAGCCTGCGTGCATGCATGCGTGCATGGCGCAGCATGGGCGGGCGGGCGGGTTGGAGGGTGGGGAAGCAAAACATGCAGCCGCAGCAGTGCAGCTGCTGCAACGGCAAGATGCAGGCCAAGAAGTGGACGTAGGTAACCTAGCACCGCCAGCGTGTGTACCGTATTTGCTGCTTTGCCCTACGACGGAATAATTGCTTCCTGCCCCGCCCCCACGTTTGCTGCTCTCTGCCCAACCCACACTACCGCTTTGCTGCTTCCTTCTGCCCCCACCTGGTTCCTCAGGTCGTCCGTCTTATCCACGAGCAGCTCGATCCGCTCCCCGCGCTCCAGTACCTTCTCGATGTTCTCAACCATCACATCCTTCACCTCGTTCACCTAGCAGGACAGAGTACGACACGACAGTAGGGGCACGAACGCCGTACGTACGGCAATTCGGGGATGATTGCATAGGGCTCCTAATGCCTTCTCAGGGCGCACAACCAAGAACACAGCTTAACACAGCTTAACCGTGAGCAAAAGCGAAAGCAGAAACCACCTTGTAAGTCCGGCTGTCGTACGTACGTACCTTCTTTTGTACGGCGGCGATCTTGGAGATCTCCTCCGGGTGGGCCATGCAGTACTCCATGTGGTTCTTCAGCCGGGGCCTGCGGGTGAGGTGACGTGACGTGGCGCGACAGCAGCGGCGAGGGATTCAGCTACACAGATACACGGCACAAACAGACATTACAATACAGACAGAAAGGACTCGGGTAAGCGAGGTGTTGGGGCGCTCATGCCTCGTGCCGCTGGCTGGCGCGGCAGTGACCTCCGGGTTTCCACATGGATTCGTGGACACCCATTTGGCATCCTGGTTACAACCCCCCCCAGCCGCAAACGTCGTCCCTTTTGAGTTCCAGCACACATGGGAAGCAGCCCCTCTACTCGATGCTACCGCCCCATCAACCCGCATTATTGGGAGCCGGGCCGCTTGGCTCGCGCTAAGGGCTTCCTAGCATGCTGTCCCTTCGCGCGGCGTAACCCCGTGCAAGGCCCCTCCCTCTTTGCAGCTTGCTCCCAGCCGGACAACTCCAGTGGCACCGCTCGTCAGCAAGGCTAAGTCCGTAGCTTGGGCTGGAATGCACGATATGTGTGGACAAGTATGGACACCGCCTGCTTTCTCACCCGAAGGAGCGGTCCAAGCTGTGTGCTGCGGACGTTCGCGACTTGTCCGCATACCGCTCCTCGAATTCATCCCTGATACGCTCCAGAAACGCGAAGGGTATTTGGCGTCCGTATGCCTCATCCGCGACGACGAGGTAAGCTGCAGTGCACCAATTGAAAGGCTGTCACCGAACAGGCGCTATGTCGTTAGCTGTGCTGCTGTAACTCACTGTATCCGTTGTGTACAAGGAAGTTGAAGGTGTGCCGGTCGCACGCTATAGTGAATTTGCTTTCTGGGTTTACCAACTTTTGCAAACACTCAATGGCCACTGTGTTGAAATTTCCACTGAATGGCGTGTACTCGGCAAGCACAGTCGTCTCTCGAGCAACGAAAGCGTAGATTAGCGGCATATTAGTTCCCTAGCTTCCTGTTGCGCGGGAGGATGGGATCTACCCTGGGCTATGGTAAAGGCTAAAGCTTGTCAGGGGTGTGTAATTGTATAGAACTTTCGTTGTGTTACAAATAAGGGCTGGCAAGCTCTGTAACCGCAGGACTAACTGTTTTGCGGGCACCTTCCCGTCGATCCAGTCGTTGACGCGCCATCCCTCTTCCCATGTCTGCAGACGTCACGGGATTATTTAAATCAAGTTTTCACTGCTTATGTACATGGTTGCACATACTCTACGTTACATAAGCAAAACGCTCATAGCGAACGAGGCAACTGCTCGGGCTTCCACACCAAACGCACGGCGCACGGTACCATGTGTACACCATGATACTATAGTTGCATAGGGTTTATGTCCATGACAAAGTAGCATCTCTTAGCGCCTGGGAGCAGGGGCGGCTGGGAGCATGCCGCTCATATACAGCAGCGTCTCCCAAGGCACAGTGACGCTCGCCGAATATTCCGCCTTTGCGGGAAACTTCGGGGCGGTTGCAAGAGAATACCTTGCAAAGGCTAGCAGCAATGAGGGCAAGTTTACCTACATCGTGGATGGCCACACCTTCAACTTCCTTAATCGGGGCGGATTTGGTGAGCAAGCGCAACAAGCCTAGGGAAGAGGTTGCGCGCCGGCGTAAACGAGGGACACCTCCAATAAGAACCGCTAGCTCCGCCCTTGGATATCCCTTGCCGCCACATCCACACACCACATCCACCCACCACATGTAACCTGGTGTGCCCTCTTGAGCTACCTCACAAAGTTGTTTATCCAAACCACCTTGTCGCATCCGACGCCATGTAACACCCATGCCGCGCACACGCCCAACGGTTTGCCGTACCAACTGCTCCTCGTGCCCTTGTGTCGTACGCAGTCTACCTGGCAGTCGCAGATGAGGCTTACAGTCGTGCCATCTGCTCCGCCTTCCTTGATAAGATGGCGAGTGAGTTTGCGCCCAAATACTCGGAAAAGGCGCTTCCAGGGGCGAAGGAGGGCGCTCTGAACTCCTCCTTTGGGTAAGCTTTGGCCCAGGTAGCTAGCGCCTGGGCAGCTGAACCTTGCAGAGCTAGCAGAGGGTAACAGCCCATTAGAAGCACGCAAGCACGGCCCCATGTGTTGTCTCATCACACGCCCATGTCAGCAACTTGTATCATTATCACACCACACTTTGGAATTTCTTTTCCTCCCCATGTACTGCTAGCCTGCGTGCTTAGTCCTCCCCTAAGTCCCCTTGCCCATGCAAGCCATGCGTTTCGATGCATTCCCAGCTGCTAAGATGTAGAATACCGGTAACAGCTCTTGCCCAGCTTGACGGAAAGCAGCTTGCTGGGGAACAACTCAGCCGGCTTTGCAGCTTCCCCGGCTTTGCAACTCGCACCTCGTCTGTCGCCCATGGCTACCCCACCTTGCAGCTCCCAATACCACCCAACACGTCAATCCTTCTGCCACCCACCCTTTTTCCTGCCCTTTTCCTCTCCCGCCTTCCAACCGCCTTCACCCCCCATGTCAACCCCCTTTGCTTGCTCCTGCCGCCGCTCCTCCCCGCTCCTTTGCCCCACTCCCGCCGCCTCTGCCGCAGCAAGCAGCTGAAGCAGCTTATGGAGCACGCAACACAGTACCCGGATGCCTACTCCAAAGTGGCTTCCGTACAGTCAAAGGTACGACAAAAGGAGGAGGGACAAGCAAAGGGAAAAAGGGGGGGGGCGGGTTGCAGGAATGGCTGCGCTGGAAGTTATGCGCGTCTTTGGACTCTTGTGGGCTCCGGCAGCAGCAGCAGCAGTTGCGTTGTTGGCCATTTGATTGGGGCTGTGGTCTAGACTTGCCACCTCCACCCTCAACACCACCACCAACACCACCTTGGCAAACTTACCCCACTGCCACTGCCACTGCGGGCTGACGATACAGACGCAACCGCAGCGCCCTTGTGGGACCTCACACGCCGTGTCATTACCCGCAACTCCACTCCCCCTCCAATGCCCCATTCTCCCACTTACACCATGCCGCACCACGTCCCCCTCGTCCCTCCTCCCGCGCCCCGCCTCCTCCCGCCACACACACGCCTGGTGGAGCCGTGTCACATGGAAAAGCCGTGTCTTCTTCACCTGTCTAATCCGCTGCCTGCCACGCCATCCACACCCGCGCAGCATGGAGAGGACTCCTCGGGATGTCCAGCATCTCACTGGGTTTGGTCGGCTTGATGCCCCACGCACAGGTTGACGAGGTGAAGGGCATCATGACGGAGAACATCGAGAAGGTGTTGGCGCGCGGAGAGAAGCTGGAGCTGCTCACGGACAAGACAGAGAACCTGATGTTCGAGGTGGGGTGACAGATGAGGCGAGGTGGGGCCCGGTTTGCGTGTGGGCTGGAGGCAGAAGGGCCCTAGCGTGGGATTAGGTCAGCATGCGGAGGCAAAAGCCAGGGAGGGCAGCAGCACATGCTGCCAATCAAGTACCAAGGTCGTCATACCGGAGGCGGTACGCTTTGATTGCAGCACGCCTGCTCCCAGCAACCCCAATGCACTCCACGCATGGCCCTGGCACCTTCCTTTAGGCTATCGTAGCGGCAGTCGTAACGACAACCCACATCGGAGGAAAGAGACACACCCACCAGATCCGCTCTCCTCCTCTCCCCAGCACAGTATCGCTACCAACAGAGTGTTACTGGCTTTCCCCTTCCCTTGGTCCCGCGGCCTCTCCCTTTGCCAACCTTATCCAGCCTAATCCGGGATGCGTATCCCTATTAATCCCAAACCTGCCAGGCTGACCGGTTCGTGCGCACCGGCCGCTCTCTGCGCCGCAAGATGTGGTGGCAGAACTGCAAAATGAAGATCGTGGTGGCCTTCGCCGTCATCCTGCTGGCGCTCGTCATCTTCCTGCTCGTCTGCTTCTCGGGAGGAAACTGCCTCAAGCACTAGGGTGGCAAAATAGAATGTAAGAGCAGCAACGGGGCAGGAAACGGGGCACTAGGGGGGCAGGAAGGAGCAGGAAACCCTTCATGGCTCCAAAGCCATCCGTGAAGCGAGCAAGGGGTGCTGTCCTGACTGTCTAGGAGTACTCGAGAGAGGCAATGGCTGGCTCCTTTACTAGATTGACGTGGCGTGTGGATGAAACATCTGGTACGAAGGTTTTAATTCCTGGGGGCGCCCCCCGGAAGGGTCCGTTGGGCTCCACAGTTCCATACCGTGAGAACGGCAGCCAGAAGGGCAGCACGTTCGGATGCAAAGGATGCAAAGGAGGGGGGAGGCAGGGGCGCTGCTGCTGTCCTGTATGTGTGTTGGGTCCGTGTCGAGTTAGTTGGGCGGCGATGGCCGCGGTGACGGAGCCTGCGGGGAAGGGAGATCGTCACGAAGGAGGGCGGCTGATCGCAACTTGATGGTCGGCGCTGCATACGAAGTCTTCGGTTGCTTCCGCTGCATACGGTACACATCCAACACGCATCTGATAAAAGCCCAATTCCGCTACGTTCCGACTCGTTTGGGCTCACGACAAATTTGCTAAACCCACACATTCAAAAGGGGAAACACAGCAACGCCCTGACTACTCCTTAATCGGCACGCCGACAGCCACCCAGCAACGCCAGACCCTAAGCCTGCTGACTTCGCACAAAGGCGAAAGCCCTCCTTAAAGAACGCAAGCGCGAGCCAAGCGGCCTCACATAAGTCTCGCCTATGTTCCACATAGGCCCGACCACCTCGCAATTTATCTTTCTCAATACTAAACCAATTACTGTTCTGTTTTTTGATATGTATTCCTATTTACCTATTTAAGCCGCTGCCTTTGCTTCCGCTCCTGAAAGCTCCCACCCGGATATTTCGGCACGCTAGCAACATCTACTAGGCATGTACACACCTCAATGCCTGCGCACTAAAGAGCTTCTGCTTTGTTGCTTAGGTTAGATAGGAAGCCTAGTTGCTGACGTTTACTAGCCCTAGAGAGGCGCACGCGATGTGTGCGGTCGGACTCATTGCCTGTCTCTTTCCACCTGTCCCCTCACGTACAGCGCCTGCCTCCCTTGCCGCTTCCCTGTGCGGTCGCCCTTTCATGTGCAACACCTGCCCTTCCCTGTGCGGTGCTCGCATCCCCACGGTTGGGTGTGGCCCTCCCCATGCGCGACTTCTGCTTCCTGTGCCCTGCTCCGTGCAGCGTGACGTGCGGTGTCCTGCGCCCCAACAGGACCCCTTTGCCCTTCCCCGTGCGGTGTCTGGGTCCTTATGCCCATCCCCACACACTACCTGTCTTCCCCGCGGTGCCTGCCTCCCCCTGCTGCTGCCCATGCCCCGTGCGCCTCGGCCCCTCATGGGGGAATACCAAATTAGACCAAACCATATGAAGGGAGGCGGGAGAGGAGATGGAGGAGCTCGTTGGCTTGCGCTCGTTGGCTGCAGCTGTGACGTCGCGTGCTTCAGCAGGCAATTCAGAGTCTTCAGGAGCGGATGCAGCGGCAACGGTTTATATATATATATTTAATAGAAATACATATCATAAAACAGAACAGTAATTGGTGCAGTATCGAGAAAGATGCTTTGCGAGGTGGTGGGGCCTTATGTGAAACATAGGCGAGGCTTACGCGAGGCCCAGCCGAGTTAGGCTAATGTAACGGCTCCTGCAAGTTACAAGCACAGCAAGCAAGCTTCGTAGACGGCGTGAAGACAAACAAACGACTACGGCGTGTACGACTACGGTGTGTCCAGGAGCTCTGGACGGACAGTATTCATTAATCGCAAAAAGATACGGCAAAGGGCATTCACCATCGTACATGTACTCTCTACAACGTTCATACACAAAAACACCAACGTACTCGGGCACGCCAACACAAAAAGACTGAATTATCGGATTGATGGACCCCTCTCCTGCAGATGAATTCAGCACTTCATCAGAAGGCTTGCGGCGACTCTCCTGCACATGACAAGAGCGAGATGCTGTCGTGGTAATGGTGATTATCATCGTTCTGGTCATGGAGGAAAGGCCACTCTAATAAGAAACACGTCTCTGGGCTGCTACGTTTACCGTAGACAGATAGGAAAGAGGTACGGCAACTGCTGCATGCCATTATCGGGCACAGAGCAATAGTAAACTTGTGTCAGCTCGTGTCAGCTCAACGCGTCACATCTCAGAGTGTCATCGTCCAAAATACCAAATCACGATAACATGAATGTCTCAGTCAGCAGCAGTCAGGTTGGGGGCCATGAATGCATGTCCCCATCTTCAAACAACCACAAGCCCGACGGAAGCAAGGTGCGGCAGGTCTGCCTTGCCGGCATGGACGGCCCCCATGTTGATGTTGATACGTACGGCAATTACGTCAGCCGTGTTAAATCCTGAAGACGTCATTCCAACTGGCAGTTGCAAAGCCGTTGGGGCGGGAACGGCAAAGTGGTTGGCTCCAGGGCACGCCAGCTCCTCTTTCTGGCCCGAGCTGACGTCGTATATCGTCACCCAAGAGGTTACCGCCTGTTAGCGTTGCGCAGGTGGAGGGAGGGAGGAAACCGTTGGAAGGCATTCGCCGTGGGGGGCGTTACCGTTACCCAACCAATCGTTGAGATTGAGGACAGCAAAGTATCGTATACTTTGGCCTGTAAATAGCAAAGGGTAATGATTTTGAAGTAAAGCGCAGACTGCCTTCTGGACTGGACTTGTAGCCAAGCTGCATGTTACGAGCAATGCATGCAATTTCCAAAAGCACGTTTCCTGCAGAACCCTGCTAGCTAGCCGCCCACCCATAAACAGTACACCGTACTTCCAACCCTTCACGGTTACGTTTTTATGCTTTCCCGCCCCAACCACCCATCCACTCTGGCCGGTTGGGTGCTTGCTCTGTTGCAGTTCCATCCACACGCCCTGCCCTGCCCAGCCCCTGGGGAGTCGCAGCCCTTCCCCGCCGCACCTCCCGTTTGGCATTGTAGGTCCTCAGTTGCAGGGCAATGGAGGTAATGGGGGGGTCCAGAATGCCCTTGTTCATGACATACACCACAACGGCATACACCTGCCCGCCCGTGGCTGCCGGGGTCTGGTTGAAGTAGGCTGTTGCGAAACGAGAGCCCTGGGGAGCCACAAAGATGGGGCCGGGCAGGCAGGTGGGTGAGAAGAGAGAAACCAACCCATAGGGGGGGCGCGGGTGGATTGCGGGGGTTGCCGCACACGTCATCGTTAAGTCAATACCAACGAATACCGGCACGTCCACGTGCACGTCCACGTGTAGAAATGAAGGGATTCGGGTGTAAACGTCGACGACTAACGCACTGTAAGGGTGCAGCACATACGGTACAATCCCGTACGAGTAGCCTGGTAGGTCGCGCGGCCTTTAACAGCACAAACACTAGTGCCTGGTGCTAGCAGAGCATGTGCAGAGTGTTCCGGCGTTGCGAACATGTATGCGGGTGGGTGCTCTTTTATGCCCTACCGTTATCGGTGGAATCCAGCTGACGGCGCCTGCTGGGGCGCACTCCTGCGCTTTCAGCACCTTGGACTTGGGAGGTCCCGCCAAGTTGCCTGGACCGCCGAGCTGCTGGGGCTTGTTGCTGGCAGGGACGGCGTCGCCCTGCACGCATGCAGCAGGGGTGTGCGTATGATTGTCGGCAAGGGCATGCGCATTGAGCAGGCGCAGGGGCATGCGACCGGCCGGCACGCTTGGCGCGTTACGGGGACACGAACCTTGGAGCCGGCAGCGGAGGTTGCCCAGTAGACGGCAGACCGGGGTGGTGGAGAAGGAGGTGGTGGCGTTGGGGATGATGGGGGTGGGGGTGGATGGGCGGGTGTTGAGGGTGATGGGTTCAATGGTGGTGGGGGCGGTGGAGGGCGGCGGCGGCGGGGAGGGGGTGGCTGGGAGGGGGGAGGGGGGGAGGGCGGCGGCGGCGGGGATGGGGGTGGTGGCGAAGGCGGTGGGGGTGGGGGGGGGAGGGGGGGAGGGCGGCGGCGGCGGCGGCGGGGATGGGGGTGGCGACGAAGGTGGTGGCGATATGGAAGGTGTAGGAGACGGGGACGTAACAGGAGGCGGCGAGGGATGAGGAGGAGGCAGTGAGGGAGGCGGTGAGGGAGGTGGTGAGGGAGGTGGTGAGGAAGAAAGAGGCGAAGGTGGGTTTGGCGGCTGGGGCGAGGGCGATACGGTAGACGGGGTTTGGCTAGGTGGCGAAAGAGGGGACGGAATGATCTTGGGCGGAGGTGGAGGAGGAGGCGGGCTGGGGCTGGGAGGTGGTGGAGAGGGCGAGGGGGGAGAAGGAGACGGCGGGCTTGGGCTGGGTGGAGAGGGCGAGGGGGGAGAAGGAGACGGCGGGCTTGGGCTGGGTGGTGAGGGCGGGGGAGACGCAGGGAGGGAGCCGCCACCAGGATAACCACCATAGCCTGCAGTATTCAGCAAGCGTTACACAAGCGTTACGGCTTACGAGGCGAGCAATGCCACATGGATCCTGCGTGGCCTAAGCAGGACCTAAAAGCAGCCAAAGCAAGGTATGAGAAGCTAGGCAATTAACGGTCAGCCTAACGAGGGGGTCGCTGCTGCTCGCAAGCTAGCTCACCGGGGTCGGTATCTGCCATGCAACGGCGCTTCATCTGGGGAGAGAGGCTCGAGAACTCCCGCGCTTGGCGCCGGTTAATCGCCATCCAATATGCAGAGGTCTTCATCGCAACTAGCTCGGCGGGATGCAAGGAATGCTTTATCTGCATTACCAGGATGCGTAACCAGGATGCGTTATCCGTTAGGAAACGTGCGTACGGCACCATGGTGGCGGCGGCAACAAGGCGGTTCGTATGGTTCGTACAGTACGTCAGGCACAGTACGTTGCCGTACCTTGTCAACGGCGCCCGGCGGCAGACACTCGCTGGCGCTCGAGGCTCCTGGCATTGCGGTGTAGGTACCTGCGGGACAAGCCGTGCAGGCAGTAGAGCCGGCGTCGAAGCCCGACGTGGTGCAGATGCGGCAGTAGCTGCTGCCGATGCGCTCTGCAACCCTGAGGGCGAGGCAGCAGGTACGGAGGTACGGGGGTATGGATTTAGCAGCAGTCCACAAATAAGGTTGGGTGGCTTGGAGCTGCAAGACAATTTGAAACAGCCACACGTCCTTCTTCATAAATCACCAAGACAACAGCAGGTGCAGGAGACCTGAGATTGCCGTCCTTGTTCATAAAGCATCATCAAGGCAACAGTAGGTGTAGGAGCCGCAGCCCAGGACCTAATTTGTCATACATAATGAGCAGGCTAGCATCCAACACATCCAAGTCTCTCAAGTCATTAATAACTGGCCGCGCAAGGCATGTCATATCGAGATGTCGTTGCGCACCGCTCCTTACCAGCCAGGCGAGCAGGGCGAGCAGGACTCGTCGTATCCCGTACTGAAGGTTCCGGGGGGGCAGCTCACGCAGGCGCCTCCTGACGCCGCACTGGGTGCTGAGCCGCGCGGGCAGATAGGCTCGGCGCCGCTCTCACGTGCAATGGCCCAGCGGAGGGTGGAGATGACTTGCTCGATGGGCACGTCCGAGCCGGGGTCCAACCAGTAGGAGCGAGGCAGAGGTACCATGTAGTATTTCTGCATGGAAGGGAGCGGCGGCGGCGAGGAGAGTGGAGCGACGGTTGCACCCGACAGGCAGTAGCTACAAGCCGGGAGAAACCCTGGAGCTGGAAACCGTCAGTTCAGGAAGGTAATTGTGGTACAATAGCTAACCGGTAGCTGCAGTGTGCAAAACCAGCATACTAATAGAGACTGGAATTGTCCCGCGGAGTGGATGATGTAGACGTGGACATGCAAGTCAGGGCGTGCCCACCTGCTTCAGCGCATGAGTCATGTGCCAGAGGTCCATGCCGGTGTTGTTGATGAACATGAGCTCGATCAGGGCGGTACCCGGCGGGGCGAACATCAAGTGCGCCAAGCCAGCACCGTTGAGGCCCATGACATACTGCGGTGTTGAGCAGAAGAGGAAGGAAGAATGGGGTCAGGAGAGAGTTCCTAGCTAGAGGTAGGACCCCACAACGCAAATGAGCAGTGTCCCCATGGCGCGGTGTGAACTGTGAAGGAGCGAAACTGACCGGCAATCCCACATTGCCGGTTTGCCTTACTATAGCCGCAATTCCCAAGACAACGAACCTTAGCGCGGCGGAAGAGCTCAATGTTGTCCTCGTTGGTCTCATTGCCACTGTGTACCACGAAGTTCAAGCCGTGCAACGCTGCCTGGGCACGGAGAGCCTCCAGCAGGGCCTCCTCATTGGTCACCTTGCGGTCGCCAGCCAGGAGACGCGATACGTAGATGAGGTGGTCATGTTGGCTCTCAGGCAGCGGCGGAGGAATCTCCAACGCGGCCAAAAGCTACATGAAGGTGGGTTGGAGGAGGAGGGTCGTCTTTAGCAACTCCAAGGGCCAGCCCGTGCGACTATTTCCTTATTTATAAGATTTGCTAGATCATACCTTGTTGAAATCCTCCCTCGGGGTGCGGGAAACGTCCACAGGGTTGGTGAAAATAAGCTCATCAGCGTGGTAGGCAAACATGGGGTCGAACGTAACCTGCACACATCCCGGTTGAACGCTTATTTAATACAAGACGTTGTACAAGGTCGAGTCGCTGTCCAAGAAAGCCATGAAAGAAGGAGCGACCCACCAATTGGCTTTCCCGGATGCCGAGCTTCTTAATCCAAGCAAGCTCCCAGGGGCTGCCATATCTCAGGAGCTTCAGCTCAGGATCAGACTCCAGGATCGGAGCTAACTTGGCAATCTTCGGAAGTCCCTCTACGCACGGTAAAACGGTTAGTCAACGAGTACGGGTACAAGCCGTAGGAGCTTCTCCATATACGACTTACCCGTCATGAAGTGCCAGTACATAAAGGAAACGCGGTGGATTGCGGTAGCAAGGCGCTTGTAGTGCTTAACCCCATAGGACTCGGCCTCGTCCTTCCAGGACTGTTTTACGGCAGGGTTCGGAAAGATGAAATAATTGTTAAGTAGCATTCAAATTACAGAAACGCATAGAAGCATACAAAAACAATTGCCGAGTAGCATGTAGAACAACAGGTGGAAGCTTAGGGGCTCTTCGTTCACATCGAGGCCAAAGGTGTTGAAGCTGTAACCTATAAGGCGTCTTGGCTACGGAAATCTCTTTTTAATGTTTAAAAATAATGTTATTTTATTTTTAATGTTTAAGGTTTTAGTGTTTACTAAGCTAGAAGTGGCTGCGCCCACCAGCCCCACCAGCAGCGAATCACCATGGCTACTCCAAGAATGCCCGATTGCTGTGTGGACGGAAACGCTGTTTTCAGCCACGGCATAAAAGCCTCATCCTACCCTATGTGAAGGGCCTACCTTCAGCTTGTCATATGGATGCCGAACCCAGGTACTTGTGCGGTATAAGCGGCCAGCGGAGTCCCAAATGTCGCCTTCACTTCCAGCGACAGTGGCGTTCCGAAGTGCTGCAACGTACTGCAGGGAAAGTCCGATAGGGTTTACCGGTACTTTGCATTGCACTTCGCTCAGCAGTGGGACATACCTGCTGCTCGGAAGGTGGCTGATACGCATTGTCTCCGACAGGGTTGAAATGAACCTGTGGTAAGAAGCAAAGCTCAGCCAAGCTTGTTGCGACCCAATTCATTCCGAGTAACGTCTCGATACGCACATGCAGATAACCCTGAGCTCCAAACTCCTGGAGGAACTGTGGGTCCAGAACCAAAGGCGGCTCCCTGTCAAAGTGGGCGTACTTATCCCCAAGCGTTAACAGCCGAAAGCCGCCATCGGTGGGATGAGACTGAAGTAGGTCTTGGTACTCTACCACTTCCGCTGAAACAGCCAATATGAGCAGGACACATGTTGCAGCTATGAGTGGAGGTCTCATTTTGGCCATCTGTGTCTCTTCACTAGTTCACAACGGACGCAACGATGCCGGGCAAAAAGAGGTTCGCGAGGCGACCCTTAGGCGCCAACCTCCCTTATAGTGGGCCCAATACAAATAAGCCTTAGGAAGCGGAAGTTACACTGGAGGACAGTAGCTGAGACCATCGTCAGACGTACATTCTAACCGGTCAGACGTACTTCCTAACAGGGCGTCGACAGGGTGCCGTGCACAAGGCAGGGAACCGTGCCTAACAGATACAGGGACAGGCAACTAGGTCCCAGAGAAACAACACAGAGAGGCTGCCAAATCAGCTCCCGAAAGTCCGACATGCAGGCACTGCCAACCCAGCACCTGGAACAGGGGCCGGCAACCAGGGACCCAGGGAAAGGCGACACACAGATGCTGCCAAACCAGCACCAGAAAGATCGCGGCCCGCGACCACAGAAGCCGAAATGAAACTGTCTCGGAGAAGACTGCAGCAAGCCACCAAGGCATACCAAGCGACATCTGCGCATCAGGCCGTCCAAACAGCGGCACGCCGACAGCCACCCAGCAACACCAGACCCTAAGCCTGCTGACTTCGCACAAAGGCGAAAGCCCTCCTGAAAGAACGCAAGCGCGATACCAACTGCTCCCAGTGCCACTGCACTCAAAGGTTTCCTGATGCCGCACAAGCCCAACAGTAAGGACCTAAGGGATAGCGCGCTGTAGGGCAGGCTAAACTGCGGGAATGGGCTCCAGAGCGGTCCGAAGGAGGTCATCATGCCGGAACGCCACAATCACGCCAGAGCGCCTCGCCAACGCCAGCAAGCCCAGCAGCTCACATCCTGGAGACCAATTCCAGACTTCAGAACCATGGTGTAGGCCGCGCCAGAAATTGGGCCATGGATGACGGGCGAGCAGAGCTCAAGCCCAATCAGAAAGGCAGAGGACTAGCAGACGAACATACCGGCAGAGTATTAGGAAGGAAGCGAGGATTACACTGGAGGACCAACCAGTAAGGAGTCCGTACTGGCCAATCGTTAGACGTACATTTCAACAGAGCGTTGACCGCCCTACCCCAGGGGGCACACCAGGCCCGACAGGAAGACCGCAAACCACCTACGCCAAGCACGGACAGGCGAAGTACCGAGTACAGAGAGCCACAGGGCCCACAAAGGAACTGAAGGAAACATGTCCGAAGGGGGACATCCCGCACTGAGGAGGGAGCCGAAAACTAAGTGACAGACCATGTGTCACCAA